GTAATCAACCGAATTCGGATAATGATTTAAATTGCAGTATAATTTTCGAGTTCAAAACACGCTTACCAGATTGTGCTCGATCTACTAGATCCGCTTTCACCGTTTACCGTGCCATCGTGGTACATCTGCCGATCCCCATTCTCAATATAGACCAAAGGGATGATTCGTGGCTCTCGATCTCTAAATCTTTCCGTTTGCGTTCTAAAGGATACAATTATTGTAGTCTTTCCTGTACGAACCTTTCACAGTTCATTGGCCCTTCGAAGGAGCGGTCGAAAAACTAAATTGCTTGCAAAGGGCAGAGTAACGTTTCTCGCAAAGAAACAAGGAACAACTTCTTCTTTCTATAAAACATTAAGTAGCTTTTGGTTCGTAGCTGTTATTAAAAATAATCAAAAGTCCCTGAAGCAACGTGAGCGAAAACTATGACTGTCTTTGATGGGGAATAAATTGTCTGTGAACGTTTAAATTATTCTTACTTTGTCACGAGGTATAACGATCGCCTTATCGTTTTTAAATTAGCCGTACGCGTCCTTCGTATTTCTATTAAAATAGCTATTTGAAACGCAGTTTCTCTGAGCGTCTAGCTTCGAATAATTTAACTTACGATTGCTTGGGCACGTTGAGAAAATTCGAACGATTATTCGGTACTGTCTGTTTCAAATATCTATTTTCCCCTAACTTCGATGATGTTATATACCTGCGTGGGGTAGGATTTAAATTAAATTTACCCTAAAGGCACGGACAAAGCTTCTATGAATTCTAATATGCTCCCCGCTATGGTGTTCATGGAATTCGAAACCATCCGGGCAGGTTCAGGTACGACTGTCGTAGAAGTCGTCGAGTTCATAGTATGATTCCCGGTTTGATCTTCGGCTGCAAGGAAACCCGACTTTTCATGACGCACGAAACGACGAATATTATTGGATTTTCAACCCATACACATGAAAAATATAATAATACCACGTTATATTTTCCTCTCGTCGTTTACAATTTCTATGCAAAGTGAATCGTTTCTCGCAAATTGGCGATCTACTGTAGAAAAAATAATCTCTGATTTACAACATAACTGTATCCATACCAATTAAAATTCGTTTCGGATGAACAGAATGACTGGAATCATAGCAGCCATAAAACTACATTTTTTTGGACAGATGTTATATGAGGACACGTAGCTTCTATAATAATCATTACTTTTGTATAAAAAGAATTTATTTCTAAAACATTACCAAATATATGTAAAAAAACCTAGAACCATACAATCTACTGTTTTAAAAAAAAAAAATCCCAAAGAAATCAAGGGTTAATTAAATGAACGAAAACAAGGTACCATCGATTATTTTATCGTCTTTTATCATTACTGTTGTATAAAAAGAGTTACCTTGTATTTCTAAAACATTACCAAATATATGTAAAAAAACCTAGAACCATACAATCTACTGTTTTAAAAAAAAAAAATCCCAAAGAAATCAAGGGTTAATTAAATGAACGAAAACAAGGTACCATCGATTATTTTATCGTCTTTTATCATTACTGTTGTATAAAAAGAGTTACCTTGTATTTCTAAAACATTACCAAATATATGTAAAAAAACCTAGAACCATACAATCTACTGTTTTAAAGAAAAAAATTCCCAAAAGGGTTAATTAAATGAATGAAAACAAGGTACCATCGATTATTTTATCGTCTTTCTTATCAATAATTTAACGAAAGATGGTGGCAATTACTTTGGAATTTAAACTTTTAAAATCGTCGAGACATTGTTCGTTTTACAAATGAAAGAAAATGGAAAAACAGAAATAGCAATGGGAATGAGTAATCCATGCGTCACCGAATTCAGATATTTCAGTTTTTTTGATCGATAATCTCGCACGAACCTTACGATCACCCTTGCAATCAACGACTCAAAGTGCGTGTATTACCGTCAGCATATGTGGTGGAGGTTGAAGGTCCTTCAGAATCTAGTGTCGTGAAATAAATCGAAGGGTCACAGCTAGCGTCGGCGTAGTGCCACCCTGTTTCGACCACCTGGTTTACGGACCAGTCGACCGAATCCCCATCTTCCGGTATACTCCACCCATTGATCGTGGACGCTAACGATTATTATTTCATCATCAACAATTCGGTACAAACAAACGCGAACGGTAGTTCACACTAAAAATTATCCACCACAGTTCTTTAAAAAAATATAACACATAAGCAGAGTACGTTTGCAACAAACCAAAAATTGTATCATCGTAAAATATTTAATGAAACTCATATTATTCATAAAATAAAAAGCTACCACGGCGCGTAAACTAAGAATGAAGAGCAGAGTTTTCGAAAATAGGGGATGTGACCCTCCAGAGGAACGAATACATTATATTTAATTTTTTAAAAATTAAGAAACCACTAAAACATTTCGATTGTCCTTAAAAATATGTAAAATATATTCCTTCTATGCGTTGTACACCGAGAGAAAATTAAACTTTATCGTTAAAAGACGAACTTTTAAACGTTCATAATATGGATAACGGAATTTAACACCAAGGACCTACAAAAATTCATTTCAAAGGTGAGTTATTTGAGAAAAGAAATTTAGATACGATACATAAATTTTGATGAGAATTACAGTCCCGTAAAAGATATCAGGGATATTTGACGCGACAGTCAAGGTGTTAATTATAAAAATTTACCGTTAGGAGTTTCCAGAACCGCACAACTTAAAATGCTCTCCGTAACATCAACGATTCCAGGGGAACATCTGTTCGTATTCTTCTCGGCTCCGAACTTTCCTTCGATCTTCGATCTTATTAAACGCTTCAGCTGGCTAGCGACATTCGGTAGCTTCGATCTAATCTGTCCATTGAAAACGCTAAAGCTAAATTCGTTCGAAAACAAAACGTAATTTCACGTCACGTGTGCACTTAGTTACTCGCGAAAATATTCCAATGCACGCTACTAGTTTAAACAATAAAAATATGCCTGTTAAATTTAAATTCTGAAAATAATATTGTAACTATTATGTAATATTATAAATTGCGTACGTTTGTTTAAATACTAAAAATATCATTTTACGTGATTCCAATATTATACAATATTATCGACCATCCCTAGGAAAAATTTTAATGGGAGATTCTAGAGGCCAAAGTAAGACGAAAATCAAGAATATCAATTTCTTAACTGAGGCTTCATTAAAAAATTATTAAATTAAATTACAAAAATTTCAAATCATTCTGAAAAAATTATTTCTTTTACGCAACGCGTATTTTAGTGAAGCATATGTAGAAATTCTAACAGTATTGAAAAAGTTGTTCCTTGACACCCTAAAGTGAGAAAAACCCCCTAAAACTGGTACAGTTTTCAAACGGCCATACCTCCTACAATAGTAAAGATATCTTATTGAAAGTTTTTTCTGAAGCAGAGCCCATGAGTACCTACAAAAAAGTATAAGACAACTTTTCTGTAGAGCGTCAAACAAATTTTTAAGAAAAATCGACAGTAGCTGCCTAAGTTTTTCGGCGAAAAAAAAAAATTTCAAATCGTTCTGGAAAAATTATTTTCGGTTGCAGGGGTTAATTATAATCAATTTTGGTCATTAGACATATCTTAGAAATCCTACCCATTTTCGAGAAAAAAATTCGAGAAGGTGTGAAATTTTTCGACAAAATTGAAAAATTTCAAATCGTTCTGGAAAAATTATTTTCGGTTGCGGGGGTCAATTACAATAATTTTTGGTGAATAGACATACCCCCGAAATCTTGTGCATTTTCGAGAAAAAAATTCAGTACGGGCAGAACTTTAAAAGTTAATAACTTTTTAACGAAGCCTCCATCAACAAATTAGTATTCTTGATTTTCGTCTTATTTTGGTCTCTAGAATCTCCCATTAAAATTTTTCCCAGGGGTGGCCGAACACCCTGTATACAAATTGGAGAAAAATTTAACTTGCCCTTAAAAGGGTCTCGCCATAAATTTAAGACCACAGAATTGCTGACTACGCCACTGCATACATGCAACCATCTATTACAACTACAAATATAACTTACTACAAGAACGAATTAAACCGTCTATTTGTTTTCGAATTGCAATGAAACGTAATTTTTATAACAATATTTATGGGACAACTCGATAAGACAATCGTATAAAAAATATAGTGTTTAAAACGCTTTTTGGAGCTGAACGGATATTAGTATCTTTCTTGCTTTCGTAGAACGTCTTATAGAATCTTAATACTAACCTTTTTGGCTATGTTACTCGTAACAGATGATTTTACATTCTTAGCGTCCCTATCAACCGAATCTCGCAAGTTTAATTCGTTCTCAACGTTCGAAATAGAATCTTCGCTTTCCGACACGGTGCTTTTCGATGAAGACCGATCGTTATTCATCACAATGTTCAGAATATCTCCGAAATGATACGCGAAATATAGGCGTAGGTCTTCTAGGTTACTTGTCAATTTTCATATCGTGAGATTTTACGTTACACGTCGCTTCTTATCGACCGTCGTTTTTCTACCGGCATTATTTTCATTGTTTTCCTTATTGCTCACGTTATTATCTGACGTTTAAACGAATAACATTAATCTTTATTTTAACAGACATGAATGACAGATATTTCGTACGTTTTAAAACATAAATAATCAAAAAATGAATCACAAAAAGGTATGTTATTTATACCAGAAAAATATTATGAATATACAGTGTCATTTGTGTTCAAAGTTTGTAAAATTTTACAAATTATTATCGTTGTCTTTATTTGTGAAGTAAGAACACAAAATTGGAGTGAATTCAATTAACTGTCACAGCGAGCACTTCGTCTTCGAAATGTCTATACGAGGTACGATCACGGTCATAATACTTTACTTACAATAAAAGAGGAAACAAATACTCCGATTGTTACCGGAAGAAATTGACAATTCGGGAGTACTCGTTTAAAAGACATGGCGATGCAGGAAGCAACAATTATTGGAGCCACCGTGCAGCATGTTGTGCAAAAATTAGAAGGATATGATTTTCTTACCTGATCAGCGTAAGGTGCACAAGAAACGTAAAATTCTCTGCTCGTAATAGACGAAGCTCGGGGTGGTTGTAAAATCCAGCTGACGGATCTTGGGCAAGTGTCAAAATGCCGGTGGCGCCATCTTGAACTCGTCTGGAGTCGAGGTCGTCAAGCTGTCACGAGGAAAGATTCTCGATTTCTCGCAAGTACGAGTGCCATCCTTGGATTTCCCACTCGAAAATCGAATCACGTTTGCTTAACGAAGACTGTGCGCTTCCTTTGAGCCACGTAACGTTATGAGGAACGCGAACACATCCGTTGTCAAATCACAGTACAAGTCACCAACACACAACACACTTTTCACGCTGCTATTAGGAAAAATGATCCATCGAATTGATCACAATGCTATTGATTGGACGGTATCGTTACGAATGCTCGGAAAGTCAAATAACAAACGCCCGAACACTGTTTAAAACTTATCACGGTGCATTTACATGATACGGATTACGGCATTATACCACCTTACTACGCCATTTTCAATGTGCAGTTTCAACTCAACTGCTATACGTACAAACCACCGCACGCGTCCACTGGCAAGTGCCGACTGCCGCCAATCACGATCACCAAGCGGATAATAATCATGGCGGTGTAATGTTTAACTACACTAGCGCCATCACTTAGTTCATTCGAGTCACGATATAACCTCTGTTGGTAAAATAACTTCCAATAGTAACTTTATTTACTTTTTCTATCAATATTTTACATACGTATCACTCCTTGTTTAGAAATTTCGGTAAAACGATAGAAAAATGCATGCATTTGCTCGATATAACTCTTATTTTCCTTTCGTTCCAACAGATTGTTTCAATACGTGGTGTGAAACACCCGTCAAATGACTTCGATCGGTTAAAAATAAACTCAATGAAAAAAATTCTGGGTGCCCTTGAAGTCATGAAGGCTTGCGTAATATAACTCCTCTTTTTATATTGTATAATTATCAATATTTAAATACAGAATGGTTTCGAACAAACGTAAAGTATCGAATATCAAACACAAATCGTCCTATTGTTTTATACTACCACAGATGGAATATAAAATGTACCTCATCTGTAGTATTACTCTTTAATAATCATATCTTATGTAAAATGTAAAACATACATTTTTCAAATATTCGTTTAACGTCATATCAATTAATTGTTAACAACAATTGTTTAATATTTAATGCTTACATGAAATAAGTGAGATATAATTTTATTTCACAACTCAAATTCTTACAAACGATATTGCTTGAGAATTTTGAATAGTGAGTATCGTTATTTGGTTTTCTATGAGTATCGAACTAATAAAAAATTTCAATAGAAAGTATCAGTATATTTGAAATATTCTCCTGATTTGAAGTACGCAATCGTATTAAAAATGAAGTATATTCAAACAATCATTAAAAAATAAAAATTTTGTCCAGTTCATCTACTATCTTCATGAATTATTTACAAGAAGCAGCAGACCTCATTCCAGTTCCAATATTTGCGCAACACCTTGTGCACTTCATACCTGAAATTGACGTGGTAGATACTTGGAATGAATACTTTTTCTTTTCTGTGACTTGATAATTATATTTCGCGGTATTAAAATGTCATCCCATGGGATTTCAACGTCATCGTTGACACAGGCCTCTTCCGTTGGAGCTTGTATTTCTATTGGTTTTTCGAGCACAAGATCGTTCCATGGAATTTCCAACGTGGTGTCGTAACTCTCGACATCAGCCTGTTTCGGCTGCACTGTTTCCGTGATCACCAAATCTTTCCACGGCAGAGCCATAGTACCCATGGATTCCTCTGCCGTTGGTTCTATTCCGGCGTCTTCGTCACCAGCTTGCTCCTGGTGGCCACTCAAAGGAGTCAACGAGACCTCTTGACGAATTTTCATGCCGGCTGCTGGTAATGCAATATCTCTCCACGGCAATTCAATTTTCGAATCGCACAATATAGATACATCTGAGAATTCCTTTTGTAAATCTCTCATATACGGCTCGTGCCACGTTTCCTCCTCTGGATTATAGACGAGCGTTTGTCTTTTCCTTTTACATTGTTCTTTCCTTCTCTGTTGCTGCCTTTGAAATTTCTGGTGGATACAATAACATCCTTTCACCTTTCTTTTCTCTTCAGCCATGAGAATCAGTTGATGCGAAAATAATTATAATTTATATTACGATGGTACTTGTCAATTTTGTGACCTTATCTAACCTTGTGTTATAATTGGTATCGAAACTGTTTGTTTTGTTTTGGCATACATACAAAGTGAAGTTGATATAGGCATGCTAGAAAATGTTCGTTGCGTACGCGGTCATGTACAAATGTTTTGCAATTTAAGGAATTTACAATCATATTTGCCTTCCTTTTCCTTGCTTTTTATTAGAATCATACATTACAGGATTATTCTCGGGGCTCTAAATTACATGTTATTCTGTATTTACTTCTGGATGTACATAAATGGATGACTTTATACAATATTTGAAATTTGTACGGTCATCGTTGAATTGTAAACATGAATCCTAGAGTGCCCAAGTTCATGCTTATACATATACGAAATAAGAACAGAATACGTTTTAATCACGCGCATTGACCAATAGTTTGTGCCTTCCATCGCGACATCTATCGAAGAAAAGGGGTATAATGTTAAAAATCCACTAGTTGCCGATAAAAGGAAATCCGTGGTGGCTCTGACTTGATTTCACAATAAAAGATTTAAGAGAAAGTACTGCAATACCATTTTCTTTTGAATCGTTCGCGTTATAAAATTTACCTCTTAAAATAATAATAAACCCAATTAAGAATAATTTACTTGAATATATAAGAGATATTGGAAGAACGAGTTTATGGTGTGTGGTTTGACAAACGCAGTACGACTACGTTTAGAGGGCAGCCATCTTGCAATCCCTAATCAAAGATCTTCGGCTAGCGGCTATCGCTGTCTGGTTTTCAGCCAGTTAATATCAACACACAATTCATCAAATGGCTTTAAAACGAATTAATAAGGTACGTGGATGATTAGCGGTGTTCGTATTGTACAAAGACAGTCGGGTGTTGATGTGATGTGTGCTAAAAGCGGTTGAACGCCCTTAACGATTTTGCAGTGAAGCAATGTGAGCCAGCATTGAAAATCATGTTGGCTTTTCCCCGTTTTTTTTGCATTCTTCGATTGTGCTTTGATTTACTTACGTACGCGTTTATGTCGACACAGTGCATTGCGCACGCAGCACAGTGCCACTTTGTGCCAGTGGATATAGCTACGGTGACAGTGAAAATCTAAAAAAAATTTTAAGTGGCTAGCCGATAAATTACCGGAAGTAACGTAAAACCGTGCGTTACATACATCTATATACATATACATGGATGCTTGGAGCTATAGATAACTACGAAATTACGAACATTTCATTAGTGTATTCATAGTCCATTTGTGGCAAAAGATGACACAATGAATTTTTCAGTGACCGCCGATTATTTGTTTCAATACATACCGTGATTTTCACCATGTGGCTATAGCGCACATTAGTGAGATAAAGTGAATCATTCAGGACTGATAGTACATGATGCATGCTAGTGATCTGATCTGTCAGTCATTATAATGTTTTCCAATCGAATCACTATTTGTAGCAGAAATCAAAAAATGAAAAGCTCTAAACGTATCATGCTTGAAATGACCACATTGGATAATAGAAAGCACCATGCTACTTTCCTTTTTAAACTTTGCTTCCATATTCTATTTATCTGCTGCGATGGAATATAAATAATGCCTATACTTAACAAGTTCCGTCATCAGGCTTCATTATACATATTACATTGCAGACAATAACTCTATTTTAACCGCTTCTTTTTATTATTAATTGTTACAATTTTCACCATAGCTGATTGCAATGCTTAAGTTAAGTTTCATTTACCTTAGTTTTCTAGCAATATTACTTTAAGAAATTACAGTATTTTTTTAATAAATGTTAAGTGTTCGTTCTCCTCCATTGAAGGGCTATTTTGTTTTCACATAATGGTCAAACTATTCTGATTAAAACGAGATGTATATACTCTTCTAGAAACAATCCATTTTTTGTCATTTTTTGAACTATTCAACCAATGTTAACTAAAAACCATTCTCATTCCTTCCTTGTCTTTCTTTTACTATCCCCCTCTATGATGGCAGAGATTAAACAGGGCTGAACTACAAGCACTTATTGAAAAAATACTGTACTTTACTAATCTATACATATTTTAAGCATGGATGAATCAGTTCATCGTGTCTTTAGGATGTACAATGTATAATAGAATTATTTCATACATTTACAATATCATATCATAAAAATATTATGTTTGTCTAGTTTTTGTCCATCTGTGATACTTCAGAATGTTCTAGAACATTTTGTTTACACCTGTCTCAAACAGTATATATCTCGTTTAAATCTATATATACAGATTTTTTACTTAAAAGATTATGATGCAACACATAAAATAAGCATATCGTTGTAGAACACACTCTTATTTTAAAAGTATAGCATCTAAACATACCATACATATTTATATTTAATATGGAAGTATGCAATAATTATAAAGTATTTGATTCATACATTAGGATTTACGTTGCTATAAATTCATATGAAATCATTTTTACTTGCATTATTACTAAAATTTCTTTTATTATTCAGGAACTTCAGGACCTTGGTAGAGATCCACCTGCACAATGCTCTGCTGGTCCTGTAGGAGATGATTGTAAGTCTTTTTCATTAAATTTATTTTTGTTATACGCATGTTAAATAATTAAAGTATGTAAAACCATAATTTGTATATTATTAAAACGCAATATTATACTTTATATAGAAATACTACTTTATTAAAAAATTAAATACGTTTGTCTGTATGAAATAAAAATGTATAAGATTTTTTATCATTTGCAAATTTTTTTCTATTAAAATCAAACTTTTGTTACCTGTGTGTTTAGATATAAATAATTTTTTGTTGTATGCACAATAATAATATATAATGAAATATAACTTCTACATGTAATTATGTAATTGCTTTCAGTATTCCATTGGCAAGCAACTATAATGGGACCAGTAAGTATATATAGATTTTAATGTTTTGCTTATATGAATTAATTAATAAAATAAATTAATATTTATCAATTTAGAAATGCATCTATCTTGAAAATATTATATTAATATAATATGCATACATGTAATTTGTCAGTATTATTTCCAAGTATCTTCGCTTTCACTCTGATCTTGAAAGGTAACCTTCAAATAATGGAATTCATATTGTACTATATCTGACTGATATTTCAAAGATATAATGTAATTGCATGTATTGTTTAATTTAATAATAATTCCAATCAAATTTTACAGTTACTTTTCACTTGGTGAATGTTTATGTAATATCATAGGCATTTGTTTTTGCATTTATATTATCTAATTATTTTCATTGTATTAATTTAATATTAATAGTATTCAATAATTTAATAATACAATGTAATTTAAATCATTGTTTTTTGTGGAAAGCAAATTTGTTTATTCTAAAGATTGGTGAAAATTACATTATGTTAACAACAATTATAATGACATATTATTGTACACTTAGGAGTAAATAATATTTTCAGCCTGACAGTCCATATCAAGGCGGAGTATTTTTCCTTACAATCCACTTCCCCACAGATTATCCATTCAAACCACCTAAAGTACGTACATTAAATTTAAACTAACTTTATGCTATATAATATAATATGAGTAGCATATTAATTCAACGCACGTTTCTACAGGTTGCTTTTACAACTAGAATTTATCATCCAAATATTAACAGTAATGGAAGTATTTGTTTGGATATTTTAAGATCGCAATGGTCCCCGGCACTCACCATATCAAAGGGTACATATATTTACAAACATAATGGAAATTTAAAAAAGAAAAGAAAAAATGGCCGTTTCAAATAAATTACTTCTAATTTTCAGTGTTACTATCAATATGCTCCTTGCTCTGCGATCCAAATCCAGATGATCCTTTGGTACCAGAGATAGCAAGGTTATACAAAACTGACAGGGAGAAGTACAATGAATTGGCACGTGAATGGACGCGCAAGTATGCCATGTGATGCGCCAACCTCCGTTGACTTCAACATCTAAAAGCCACCAACAAGCAGCCCCAGCCTATTGCCACTTATGCATCAGCACCGATTGAAATTAGTTATGGCTCGTCTACTTTTAAACTTAAGCCAATACTCGGGCTCGAAGAGTGCTCAGACAAACGTGATCAATCTGAAATTCCTTTCGTCCTGAGAGGCCTGCGAATATTGAGACGTTGCCACAATGGCAATTGAGGCAATTTTAAAGGTGGTCACATAACATTATATATATAAATCAGGAAAAAAAAAAGAAATATGTCCGCTTTGATTTTCATAAATAAAAATGGAAGTAAAATATAGGAGAGTGAAAGTAGGATTTGTATTTGAATTTAATAGTTTAATTTCTAATTATTATGCTTATAATACCGTAATATTATATACCTACTTTCTCAGTGAAACGAAAACCTTGAACTGACAGCACACCAATTGTTAGTTTTAACGCAAGTGAGCAATGTTTGCCCGTCCCTTGGAACGATGCAGTCACTTTTTTGTAAGACTGGGCTATATATAAATACTACTGAAACTATACCTGTATGTTTTGTTCAATTATTAAAATTCCTTACCTATCTAACAAATTCTACGAGTAACTCGAAATTTGTGGTTTGGTTCCTGTGTGTGTGTAATAGTTTAATTATGCATATCGTTAATCGATAAATCGGACTATACAATTCGAAGCAACTAAAAGTATGCAATAGAACATTTTTGTGACCTATCTAACCACGACATAAGTACCTGCCGTTCATGGGCCTGTACGATACTAATATCAATCAAAGGCATTCACTCTCTTATGACGTGAGTCATTATTTATCGATAAATGATTAGAGCGAATTACATTTTGTTTGAATTCTTACATAAAACGCGTTACGGCATAGATAAGATCTATTTCAGTGAGCTCTGGAGCTTAACAAAGGATTTGTAAAATCCTTTGGATTCATTTTATATTAGTGCGTCATTATAGTATCCAGTAAAATCAAGCGTCGTACCTTGCGAATTAACAATTCGTCGCTGGTTTACTCGAATCAATGCGTTTACTATTGTTTTGCGTGTAAATTTTTTTTTCTTTAAGCGATAACTTTTTATTATTATTATTATTATTATTTAGAATTTGTCTTAAGTTTCCTTTTCATCCACAATATAAGTACGTATCTTTACTTTGCAAACTCCTGTACCACGCGAGCAAATTAATCGTTAAATAGACTTTAGTCACCGACTACCGCGATACGTTTTCAATGCTATATTTTTCATATATTGTGGCTGCAAAGGACTGCAGTGAGGTTTAAAACTATTCTACCTAAATCTATCTAATACAATCTATATAAGATTGAAAGGCACGTCGTTAACACAAAACGTGTCGTTCATTATTAGTTCGTTTAAAATAATCTAACGATAATGCACCATGTCGTTGGTGCTAGCAGTGTTTTTGGCTTCTAAATCTAGGTAACGAATAAAATCCGAGACATCGTAAAGATGATTACTTAATTAAAGAATAAGCAAAATGATTTTGTCTTGCGAGCGATGAAAAGTGCGTTAATGATCGAGTCTTAAATGTAATCGGTGCTTAAAATATGGGAAGCTCGTGGAGCAAATACGAAGCCTAGAAAAGACAAATCGATTAGTATTTAATACGTCGTATCACTTGTTAATGTCGATTTTGTCTAATACGGATATGTACCGCTGTAATTTAATTACGAAGTAAACGCTCGGCAAATTAGTTATCTAAACATTTGCCACGAAAAAATTGATCATCGTTCACCTCTATTAGAAGGAAACTACTCATGTGTAATTAATTATTACTATCGCAATAATGAACATTTTTAATAACGTATCTTGTGTACATTTTAGCATTAGCCCTTTATATAATAAACTCCACATGATGATAAGCCATGTCCATTCTAATCACTTCTAACCACGATCACCAGCGATAACCGGAATATCTTTGTACTTTAAATGTATCTAAAATTCTATTCCTAATTAAATTCTGTTACTATGATTACCATTCTTTTTTTTTGTATCTAAAAATTCAATATCCTTGATTATAGTTATCAAAATATAGTCTCCCGCTTCGAATAGAACTAGCCTCATGGTCAATTGCTAAAAAGTTTTATGGGTATAGGTTTCCAATACATTACAAACTTAAGGCAAACAAAGAAACTTCGTGTGACCGGCATTCAAGGTGTACCTCGACCGACACACTTTGTTAGACTTTCACGAAGGACGAACGCGACTATAGTATCCTGTGTAGAATCTGACGACATATTTAAAAAACACCGCGAAACGGTGAAAGTGGTGATGTTTTTCTCCCTTTGCCCTGACCGCTCTTAACCATGATATTTCATCGCATATTTTAACGCAAGTGTCGACAGGAACCCGCTAAAGCATCGTACTTATTGTTAGGGACGGAGATAAGTGTGCTTTCAATTGATCAAGCGATTTTGAAACTCGTGCACGGGATTAAATTGAGACTGGAATTTAATCAAACTTCATTTACGCTTCTAAATTCATTCGTCACGTTTTTTAATTCACGTTTATAATCACGTTTTTTTTTCGAGAAATTATTTACTTTATGCGAACGATCTAAACATCGTGAGGTATCTAATCGTTTTACCGCGACATTGACATATCTAATCAAAATCCAAACCAACAAACGAACAGACAGACATTTTTAAAAATGTATAATTAGTTTAGTTACCCCATAAATTATTCATCTACATACGTCAAAAACGCCTACACATTTTACAGTTACAGAAAAAATTATAATGTTAATTACACACATAGATATTAAATATTATTGCGAATAAGGTAAATGGTGATAAAATAATTGTAATTCCTTGAATAAAAACCTTATACAGATTTATATTTTTGTATTTATTTGAATTCTTTCCATTCCATTTCCTTGGAAACTAAACAATTATAAAATTGAAAAGTAAATACTATTTTAATATCTGCTTTTTTACGTTTTGATTCGGAGTTTAAGGATTACATTTTGAATTTTATATTATTTTAAAAAATTTTGCTATTATGATTACTCTATATTAATTATTAAAACCGAACCTTGAATTAATATAAGCGTTAATTATTTTGTTCATTACGATTAAAATTCTCGTTTTCATGTATTATGAATATTTAAAGAATGTTTCAATGCTATTTCGGAAGAAGTGTTTTCATCATTTGCTTACACGAAAAAAGAAACACTGTACATATTTGTACATACATATGTAGGTCGTTCATAACAGTGCGGCCCACTTATACTACTCAATTCCTAAAAAGATAAAGTCCATTCTTTTGGACGTTCATTTTTGAAGGTACAAAAGGTATGGAAATGCTCACTTTTATTCTTATTTAAGTTTCAATATAATATGTAGTAATATAAATTATTTTCAAAAGTGCTGTATCATTTCGTTACAATACGTGTTCACTAAAACTGTTCTCTTAATCTCCGATCATATAATGAAAGCAGTAGAAAGTTTGTAGAATCTACGAACTCGTATCCGGTTTTCAGTAATATTCATTTTTATTGAAACCTAACGTTAACTGACAATGAGTTGAATCCGTCGTTCGCCACTTTCAGTGTTTCAGGAAATACATTCTTCAAAAATTGTTTATTTCAACAATCATAACAAACAAAGTGTTTTTTCTGGTAATTCGATATAGTCAAACAAATGATTATGAAATTCATATACTGCTGAATTGAAATTTTTATATAAGGAAACATCGAAAATGTATCACGTTGTATCTAAACAAATCAAGATGGCGAAGAAAAAATTGGAGAAATCTTCCATTATTACGTAAGACCAATAATTTCGGTGTGAATTCAAATGGCATTCATTTTGAATTATCTTGTATATATTTTATACACTTACGGTATATGGTAAATATGGAAAATACATGCTAAACGTATGTAGAATACATACACATATATTTACACAAAATGAAATATTGATATTTTTATATTATGAAATATATTGAACATATATTTTGCATATATTTATTTATATTAGCATGTGCCAGAAATGTATAAAATCTATAATCTATTAATAATAATAATATGTTTCTATTGTACACAGGTACACGTTATCTCTAGTGCAAAAAGCGAGAGTTAACGATACATTGTTACTAAAAGTAACCTTGAGCTAATTAGTTATATTTATTTCTAAAGGTACATTATGCCATGTGGGTCAATTAAAGTGTTGCCAGCTGTTTTCTCAGAAACCAATGAAGATAACTCTTTTTCTTTTAATACTTGTCCCCTGGACTATTTAATTAAAAAAAAAGAAATCTTTATGATATATATGTATACACAAGCTTAGATTTTAAAACAGTACTTCTACTACTCCTCCTCACTTTAGATATATTTTATATACGCACAGATATAGACTTTTATATTTCACGTTACTTATTAATATGGGTTACTTGTGTTAGACACACACACACAAGGTTAGATATTAAAACAGCATTTGTAGCTACATCTGCGCAAGTGGCAAGGTGCAGCTAAAAGTGCTAAAATTTAACCTTGCGTGTACGTATAACACAAGTAACGTATGTATATGTATAAATAAGCGATATAAAGTGTAAAGATCTAAACGAACGACCAAGCAAACACTGGTATGAGAACGTCTAAGGACACAACAGCTATTAATTTTTCCATGAAATAATAAATGAGATTGCAACGGCTTATACGAAGCCCCACGAGAAATGATGGAGTGTCCAAAACTGATAAGAGGAGGATACTAACGGAACGAGCGTTAAAGTCTAGGACACGATGAACTTAAATACCATAACCATAATGAGACTTAACTAAAGCTAGATATTATACTTATTAAAATAAATTTATATAGCAAATATGCAGGTTTTAAAATTATTTTATCCCATAGTCGTAAATTTGGTTTTTCTGTAGTTATGTAAATACCATAACCATAATGAAACTTAACTAAAGCTAGATATTATACTTATTAAAATAAATTGATATAGCAAATATGCAGGTTTTAAAATTATTTCATCTCATAGTCGTAAATTTGGTTTTTCTGTAGTTATATAAATACCATAACCATAATGAAACTTAACTAAACTTAAATATAATACTCATTAAAATAAATTGATATAGTAAATATGCAGGTTTGAAAATTATTTTGTCCCATAGTAGTAAATTTGGTTTTCCTGGACCTATTATCGAAACGAATCTCCCTGTAAGTTCGAATAATGGACTTTATCGTAGTGGATTTTATCATAGTTATATAAAAATGGCGGTAGTCAAACAGTGGTATTCGTGTAACAACATTTGAATTTGATTGGCAACGTTCGAATATCAGACTAGCGAAGTGTTGGAGTAGTTTTAATCGTGGTTCGAAGCGATTCGATCCGGCCTTGAGCCCATCGCTACCGACGGAAGTCATTGACTCGAACCCATCGCTAGTCCGTAGTACGAGGACGAGTTTCGATCTATCGAGCGGCGCTTGGGACCGTCTGGTGGCGGTGCGGCTTGTTCAGTGTCAGTGTTGTTCTCGGCACGTTCGGTGATCGAGGAGGACAAGGTGACTCGCTCATGAATACGCGACCGTCGCCAGAATGCGTCGATAGATCGACGACCGTCTGACTTCCGTCTCTGCCGCGACCTTTTCGAAACTCGGATTGCGATCGCTCGACAAAATCCACTCGATCGTCGAATACTTTGCAAATCGGTACCCAGCAAAAGAGTGGTACGTAAAGTTTGCATTTAAACTAACATTAATCGCGATCCACGCGATCGTCAAGCGTTAACAAAGGGAGACGTTTGTTAATCATTGCAAAGCACTAACGCCGGGTATTGCGAGCAGCGTGCACTCACCGCCGTGTGTCGCTACCCACCTGGGGCTGCAACTATTCGAATATTTTATAACCGTTCGAGTACGGTGAGTTCTCGATTTACACGAATCGTGTTCCCACTTGAATGGAAATTTTTAACTTCCGCGTACGTTTCCTGGATAAAACAGAATTCATTGATGAATTTTTTAAACCGGTTTTCGAGCGAAATTCTATTCGTTGTTCGCGTATAAAGTTTGTCCATGCATGTGTTTAGATATCGGGTAAAGTTGTACCTTCTCGCGAGGGAGGTTTAATCAATTCGTGAAACTACAATTGCACGAGAAACGTACTGTGGAAAAGAAAAACCAGTTTTCCGCAATACATCTATCTCTGGAACGATCTATTAGCGTAAGTCGAGAACTTACTGTATCAGAAATTATAAGTTTGTTATATTTTTCATCCAGAGGATGAAAATTCGTTTCAACGAGGCGTACAACGTTATAAAAGATTTGTAAATGTACCCTCTGTTTTGGCGCCGTCAAGATGACGTAAATCTTTTAATTGGGGTGAGGTTAAATATTCTTGCTACTTCTGTTTTCGTTGAAAGTTTTTTTTACTGCAAAAAGATGCTGTAAGAGCAGCTGTTATAATAAACTTGTTACGTTCGTTGCCGTGAATATCGTTAATGAAATATAAACAAATGGAATGATGAACTTAACACGTTGCTGTGGCTTTTTTGGCGGACTTTCATATTTACGATACGGGTCAATTACACTTCGTACTAGACTTTCATATCTGGCGGTACGGAGAAAAATAGGAACGTAGACTTTTCAGTTACGCTCCATAAATTTCCATAAAAAGCAGTAGAAAAATTACGGAGATATTTTCTTAGTGTGTAGCTAAGATTCAATGAAGTATGGATCGCGCGAAACAAAATACGATAGGGGACATACGTGACCCGTATCGCAGTGTTACACAACTTGATGTATAGACAAGATATTCAGGGGGTCATATCAGAATTCGTTGGGGTCGCAGAAAATTTTGCAAAACGTTTCAAATAGTAGAATATTTCTGCTCGTTTGGTTCAACGTACTCGCTAAAACCACACGAATAAACACAGAAATTATTTGCTCGTTGATGCAAATGCTGAATGCATTTTATAGAAAAATCGAACAAATGATTCTGCAATTTTTTGTTAGCCTCCTCCCTCCCCTTGGAGCTCTTCTAGATCCGCCATTGAACGCTGTTTTGTAACGAATATATTCATCCTTTTCTCCGATGACCAAACAATCTTTATGTCTATTCATTTATCACAAAATTTTATCGATGAATAACGTACTTGTGTAGCGATTAGATTGCAAACAGATTAATTTATCCATCGAGAGCAATGTGTTATTTCTTTAAATTGTCTATGATTACATTCTTGTAATATTCGATCAGCGAAGAAAATATTTAAATATTTGAATGAAAATCCAATAAGTATCAGCCCTAGAGTCTACACGTTTGTTCTTGCGAACAACTGTTCTCTGCGGTTGCCGGATTCTAGACTGACAGTTTTCACTAGCTAATCATACTGTGTCAGACAAGTAGTACTTTCCTAGCTGTTGTGCCTCGGGGCCTTTGCGGACGTTTACGAACATTTCACTAGAAAGAAACGATGCTTATGGGAACATATGTCTGATCAAGAATTACGAGTGTTACTGCGTGCAGATTTTTGATTCCATTTTTTTTACAATTATTTTAAGGCTCAAACCGTCGTTTCAAAGCGAAATTTTAACGAACGTGCGATGGATTTTCCGTGTTTCATGTATATTAATATCAATGTAAATGAAAGAGTGCAAAAATGTGCAAAAAAAAGAAGAATCTCGAATGAAACGTTCAGTGCAAGAATTTACGTACAAGAATATATTATCTCTATCAGCGTTTAACTCTTATTGACTCGTCTGGATTATAATATACGCGAATAATGTTTAAATTGGAATGCATAATGAGAATTATGAGTTTATTGTAAGAAAATTTTTACTGATTTATTGACAAGAATGATGTCTGTCGTATAACTTTTCCCTGAAGATTGTTTTTTAATTCTTATGCTTAAGTCCAAATTAAATATATATATCATTATTATATGTTTGTTAACAAATATAGTGTAATAATATTACAAAGATAATAAATACTCAAATGTGACTACGTTCCAGTCTAGGTTTAGATCAAAGAATTTCGAATTTATTAAATAAAAGTTACAATCTGAATTATAGAATCAAAGTAAGTTAAATGTTGAACGATAAATAGTTTGAATAATTGTCCAATCAAATAAACGTTACGAATATATCATTACACAGTTTCTATACGTTATCTGTTATTACAAATGAAAAATGCACTAACCACGATGAGAGTATTTTGCAGTCAAGATTATGCCTTTGTAATCAAATAAAACAGAATCAATAATTTAACCTCAAGGATGTATAATTTATAGTATAATAAAATATAGTGCTTGATAATAATTACGCGTGTGATTTATCTTCGTTAATTTCAAACGTAAGGTCAAGTTACAAACGATTTTTCTTTCGACATATGAACGCGTTACTAAGAGAATATTTCTCAAACTGGAGCCTCTCAGAAAAAAGAAAGGAGCACATTATATAACAGTATAAGAAATTGCTCGAGCCAGCTGGAATAATAATAAAAATTCCATTTTCACCTGCAGCAGTTACACAAAGAGAAAGACATAGAAATAAAATACATACAATACCGTTAAATGCAGTAAATAATTATATAACAAATAAATATTCCAGACTAAACACATTAATAATGATAATACCAACGAACGGTGTTTTAAAAATAGTAAACAATCGGGTTTTTCTGCTGGATTATAAAATCCACAGTGTGCTTTAAGCCAAGAATAGAGAGCTATCGGTTATACATTTCTGCGAATGGAAACACACGGTCTCAACAGGTTCCGAAGAGCGGCTTCAACTTTCTCGTAGATTAAACGTGAAAGATCAGCACGCAGGAGAGAGTGAACAGATATCTCCGTGGCACACGAAATAGACGCAGGCTATTATAACCTTCGGTTGAACGAACATTTTCTTTTGAAGTGTTCCGATTATTTACGACCAAAAGAATCTGCGTTTACGCCGAGTGAAAAGGCAACGTTACTTTGGACTTCTTTATCAAGTGCGTTTCTTAGAAAATTTTCTAAGAGAACGTTCGATCTTAAATTTTAGAAAAAGTATAAAACGTTTCTTCGTTGCGTTTAAACAATATTACGTTCTATACGTCCGACGTTTAAACAAGCTTCTGAACGAGACGACATTTTAATTCCGTCCCGTATTCCGCGCAAGAAGCAGCAATTTAGTTTACGTCGTCTTGTTATCTTCTTCCAGTTTACCAGAATTTTTATCTGCTTCAAAGGAAGTTGCATACTGGATGCATAATCTTCGTGTGTAACGCAAATAGATTACATTCACGCGAGAGTTCTGTAAATCTTCAGACTTCGATTCATGGATATTATTTATACGATATTCGAAACTGAAGTCACAGATTTTTATTTATAAAATAATTGAAATAATCGAAGTTACGTTCGAGTTTAGAAAGCTGAAGTTATGGTCATAACAAGACGCGATAAACAGACGTTCCAGTTAGCTTGCACATGCAGAACTAAACGACAAAAAGTTAGAACCTCGTTTAAAACAGAAGTAACATATTTTAAGGATCGTTTTGTCATGGTTCTTTACTTCAGAAAGTCTGTACAATTTCGCTTCTCTAGATGATAAATACATTCTTGCTCTGTTACACTCGCGATTCGATTCACACACTGATCTATCCATAATAAATCGAGCACAGTAGGTCGAAAATTCTATCACAGTTCGACAATTTGCTTTCAGAATTGAGGAACATTTAATTTCTATTTTCATTGAATATATAAATCTTAAAAAATTCTTTCAATTTCTTCAATTGGTATACTAAAACTGAGACTACAAAGGATAATACTATATCAACTAAAAAATTTCATCCCCTAACATTATCTCAAAGACTATGGAATATACGAGAAAGTCTCATAAACAAATTCTGCATGGCATTCGATGGAAAATAATATGGTATACGGCACCAGTTAGAAAGATTGATAAAATAGTCAACAAAATCACTTATATTCTATTCTCAAGATTTTTGAAACTTTTTATTTTGAATTCACGATTAGTCGCAAGTGTCTTTATTTTTTATTCACAGACGCGAAATAGGATACCTCAGTTTCTCTAATGATGAAATTACTGGCAGGAGTGGAAGAAGTAAACGACCAAAAAGAAAATGTGTCCGACGATGATCAGCCACACAACAACAATCATGAGATACAAGCAACGGCGGAGTTCGCGCAGGAGACGATCAAGCTGCTCACCGGCGAGGTAATTCACTTTTTATTCAATGTTGTAACAATATATCTCGATTTGTTCTTGCCGGAAGCGAGACGAAGGAACGGTTACTTTTACCTGTCCGGCGTTCTTTTTTCTTTGCGAAAATCATGCATGTGCGCCCGAGTATTTGTACCTCGACTTTCACTTTTAAGTAGTACGGTAATTACTATTAGATCACACGGTGGCCAGTTCAACAATTGCGACTCGCTTTGTGCTCCGTTTCCATTCGAAGCTTCGGATTTTAAAACGTCGATATGCATTTATGAGTATCTAGGTTGGCGCATCGACATTCGTAATTACATACGTCTTCTTATTACGACCTCTCATTAAGGTTAGACAAGCGATTTTCTAACGCAAGTGGACGATGAAAAATTATGTTTAACGAGCAACAATGTTTTATCCAGTCAAACGTGCGTTTCAATAAAGTATCTACCTTTATTGAAACCATTTAACCGGTCACTTTTTATCGGAAAACTGCAATTTCGCTATAGACGATACCACCAAAACGTGGAATAGCAATTTTTTGCACGGAGATTCGTTGTCGAGAACATCGAATTCTATAGAGAAATTTTTTAAAGCATCGATTGCAATTTTTTGGAGATCGAGAAATACAAGTGTTCACGACGTTCAACCCATCTTGTTGCGCACAGCTCCTCAAGTCGCGTCACTGACACTTCAGGAAGTAATTTTTCTATTGACAGCTCGAGCGTCGTTTGTCTCTTTGGTTACATTAAAGAAATGGTATATACTACTAACACTAACTAATTTTTCACACGTATACTATTTAATTCCAAATAATTTTTCAAACATAGATTATTTAATTCCAAATGATTTTTCAAACGTATACTATTTAATTCCAAATAATTTTTCGAACGTAGATTATTTAATTTCAAACAATTTTTCAAATGTATACCATTTAATTCAAAATAATTTTTCAAACGTATACTATTTAATTTTGTTTACATTTGTTCGTATAAAGAAAGAATAGATTTTATGAATACCTCGTGAATGTAAAAATGTGTTAATTTTAATATATGAGAGTCGATGATGAATGAATAGATCGTAAAACTTGACATTAACAACTTGTAAAGAGTCAGACTCGTTATTGTACGGCAAGGGATTAAGGGGGAAGGGGGAGATTCCTATTAAAAACATAACAAACATCAATTTATTTTAAATTGGATTTTCTGAATATTCCTGGTAACGTGTCCTATGAATTTATATCATAATTTATAAACTTTGATGGAAAAGCAGATGTAAATCCGTGCTTTTAAAACTTTAAAGATAATCTTCCCAGTTCAAGAACGAGAACCAAATCTTGTTGCGACGTAACAATGCCAAGTTTTATACACAGAGCTGTATAGAGCTCGAAAGGCTGGAGAAGCAATTAAGGAATTGGGTCTTGAAGTCTTACCCCATCCTTCGTTCTATAAGAGTTCCAGCTTATCCCAAAATGAAAGGGACACTCGCGAGGTCACCGGTTTAAAAGCAACTAAGACTCGAACAAAATCGTGAGAAAGCTGAGGGCACAAGATGGTGAATTCTTTCGCGACGAAAAGTAAACATGCCGAACGAAACTCTGAGCTTCGAGTATCATTTTTTATTTTTGTTCGTTCGCGTAACTCGTGGATTCGTGAGAAATTTTCGATATACATAGAAAACGAAAGAAGTGTTTGGTTGACAATTTGCGATCTACGAAATACGTGTCGCTGATGATCGATCTCGGGAACCGAGGACACTCGAGGCTGTATTTTTTCACGGATACGAGATAGTGATTCTGGCGCACTAAGCTAGTTTCTCGAGGTGAGAAATTGATTTCGCTGACGGAAGATAAAAAAGACGGAGAAGAAAGCCCACGGTATAAACTTGACACACTCGGATGAAAGGCAAGTCCCGTTGCGCCCTACTTTGCAGCTTTCGTATCTCGAGATAGTGGACAAAACTACACTGTTGCATCCTGAAACCATTTGAACCGTATAATTATGATCGGAAGTGGTCGTCGAATGAATTGAAAGCAACTTGAGCGATCTATTAATGCAGTTTTTAAGCGATACTTAATCAAAGCAGCTGGTCAGAGCATCGTTTAGCGAACTGTACGCACGTTTCTCATCGAAATAGATGGAAGAAAATAAACTTACCGTTGTCTCGTTACGTCATATTATAATACGGAACAGCAATAATAAAATATAATGCATCGATAGAAATCTGCCAGTACGAAAAACGAATCTACGAACTTGTTAATGTCACCGTCGTTTGCGTCACTTACACCGTATTACCACATTATGTACTATTTTACATACGAATGTCTACATATTTTCGTGTTACATAATCGACTGGATATACATACGCGGCTATAGAACGGAAAGATAAGTGATTTATGACCTTTGCAAACTGACCGATGTATTAGACACGATATGATTACAATTCGTAAGTGATTGTACCAGATAAAAAACTTGTGATTTTGCTAGTATAAGTAATTATGACAAATATTCTTCTAATGTTATGAAACACTGTTAGAAACGAGGTACTTTAACTATTTAACAAACATGCACTTAATTATTTATTTTTGTCCGTCAATGTGATCATCTCTCTTAATAACTCACGAAAGGAATAAATTAGTATACATTATATCAAATTATACGAGTATTTGTATGTTAGTAACAATGGAATTTTTCGATTAAACGAGACAATTTGCGATTCGTTTTAGGTGTACCGCAGAGCCTCCAAGAAACTGGAAGAGTCGCCTATCAAAGCTAAAGTAACGCTGGAAGATGAAGAGAAAATGAGGCGACTTCTCACTTACGAGGAAGCTCCTGAATATCTTCAACACAATCCTTACATCCTCCATGGATATCGAGGATATCTCACTACAAAATTATGCGTCGAAAGGTTCGCACATTACGTTATTTCTCGTCAACGCCTATATTTTTTATGAATTTATATTTTCTAAGGATATAAAAGAATACAAAGAACCGGTTGTTGAATGTAAATAATTCTAAGATTTCAAATTGCTATTATTATCTGTCGCATCCATAAAACAAAGTTTCATTGAAGAATTATTTATTTCAGTATATTCTGGTGGACGAACGAAACAGTAAACATATGGAGTCACATATTTGGATGGATGTTATTCTTCGGTTTAACGCTATACGATCTTTGTCTACTGAATATCCACGCACCGATGGGCGACAAAATAATCGTAGCCCTTTTGTTAATTTGTTTCCAGGTAAAATATTGTAATGTCATCGATGTATTCGTAACGAATTAAATGTCGAATGTTAAAACTCACCATTTCGTTGTTTCAGGCCTGCATGATATTGTCGTCGGTGTATCACACGTTTTCCTGCAGAAGCGAGAAAGATTATTGGTGTTTCTTATCGTTTGATTTGTTTGGGATTGCTTTGAGCCTTCTGTCGATATACATGTCCGGAGTTTACTACGCATTTTGGTGTCATAAGGTGAGTAAATTATGTAACGAAAAAACTCTATATTTGGAAACGTTAATTCTTTAGTGTTTCATTTAAGTACCAGGTTCATTACTTAGCATTTTAACGCAAGAGAATAACTTGAAAAATCGCTTTTTCGAGACGCACGAAGCGTTGTCTGATAGAGAAACATTTCTCGGTGCAAAGTGAATGATTACAGTTTTAATAGTTTAATAGCAGTCGAAACTTTATTATTAAACACCTCGTAAACCGTTAACCTACAGGTATTCCCACAGGCTTTGATATTTAAAATGCATCATTGTGCAGAACTTTATCGATGAATGAGACTTGCACCGAGTAATAACCCCTTGAGAACTGTTTTATTTATTTGCAAGACAAAAGATGCATAAGCACGATTTGTTGTTAACCCTCTCTCCCTGTTTCAAGCATTGCTAGATCCGCCACTGATGCTAAAGAATTAAACGTTAGATGTTCTTTGTATTTTATTATGTTTTTTGTGTGCATTATAATTTCCATCTGAATAAATTTGTTTTTATCACAAAAAATAAAAGACATTGAAAGACGAGTATCATCAAATAGCAACATTGTGTTTTAAATGAAAAACTTTCTCGTAAATTCAATGAATAGGAAACTATTTTAAATCGCAAATGTTATTGACTTCTGTATAATTATTCGCATTACAGTTTGACGCAACTTTAATCGGTTATAAATACTTTCAACGACGTCCACGAAATCTAAAACTGTAATAAGTAATGCTCGCTGAAATCGATTAATAAAATTCAAAGTAACAAATGATAATAAAAAAATTTCTTTTTTGTACTTGCATGCACGCGAGCATAGTTTAACTTTTATTTTGCTCGATATTTCGACGTAACTTTTGGTGCTCCTTAATACAAAATTAAAAAATGGCGACATTTTGATATTATTTCAATTTTATTGATCTTGGAGCTGAAGAAATTGAAAAGAAAATGGGAATTCTTTTTAACAAATAAAAGTTAAATTATGCTTGAACTGTCCTATTGAACTGTGTCGTTGAAGACTCTTTTCAAAGTGTCTTTTCGAATGATTTTTAAATAATGATATACCGATGGTCTGTTTGCAGGAATTGCAGAGCTTTTATTTAATAACCGTGCTGGCAATTTTTGTGTTCGCAATGGTACTGCAAATACCAAGACTGAACGTCAATGGAAACGTCAAGCTAGTCGTTTTTGTCGCATGGGCAGCATATGGAGTACTGCCAACGCTGCATTGGAGCATTGCTATGGGCGGTATGGACAACCCGATCGTTAGAATGTTGCTCCCGAGGGTACTAGGAATGTATGTCATTAGCGGTGGAGCATTTGCCATTTATGTGACCAAAATACCGGAACGCTTTTATCCAGGTAATTACACCACTCAAACGTTATTATTTCGTATTTGAACGACAAATGGGTTGCGACGTTTTATAAAACGACAAAAGAAATGAGAAAATTGCTCGCGATACGATTGTTCAATTTCTATTCGGAAGAAAATTTTCTTACTTAACGTACAAGATATTGTACAAGGCAAGACCAAACACGGAAATTCAGATAACTATGAATGACCATATTCTATTATTTTGCAACTGGCAAGAAAGCAAAAAAATTTACAGCCAAAAGTTATTTTTCAATCGTAAACAATTGGGGAAAAATAATGATAATTTAGTCTGCATTTAATCCAAAGTGGATATTGAGAGTGAACATTAAAGGAAAGCAGATCCTTGGTCCACTTCTAACGAAACGAACGGATGATTCATCCATAGTGAAGCTGCAGTGACGAGCTTAAACGTCTTTGATGACGAGTGAATATCTGTTTGAAGCATAACCTTTCGCTCGTTTATTTTTTATCTGGCTACTTTCATTCGTCGACATTTTCAAAACTAATGGACAAATCATTTAGTAGCTTTCACACGCGATGACCATCCAAAGTGAAGAAATCTAGAGAAAACTAACTTCTGTTGAAAACATTCTTCCTCGGATTATTGAAAGTTTATTATTATTCAGTGTCGCGTGGGACATCCTATATTTAACGCGTGAGAAGCTACTTAAACCGTCCATTCTCTCAGAGAATTGATAGTTTACATACAATATGGTTGAAACGGAACAATAACAGTCCGTCAATATTATTGATATTTCTTTCTGCACGTTCCCGTACTTCATCAAAACAACAACACGCTCTATTATTTATTCAAAGGTTCTAAACTTTTCTAAATTTTTGACGTCACTCGTTGAATAAATTCATGCGAAAAATCAAACGATAAGCAACGGTATCGCGAAAAATACTCGTTCTTACGTCTGCATTGAATAAATAAGTACGCTCGATTACTCTAACCAGGCAGGAAGTTTTGCTTCGATCGATAGATCCGTTCTGACGGCGAACTAGAAGGGTTTCGATGAAGACGTTGAACGGTGGGCGCGACTTCTTCGCAGTCGAAGGCGTTTCAGATATTTTTAGGTCGACGTTATCCTTTTACACGGAATTACACTCTCTTTGCCCGATATTGCATTTCCAGGCAAAAGAAAACCACTGACCTATATTTTCAAGTGAATGTCGTACGAGGTTTACCAGTTAATGCGATACAAAGTGTGCAAGAAAGTTGTTAAGAACTAGTAATTACTGTCCAACTCTGATGTACAATACAGCAATCGATATATTCGAAGAGTCAAAATATTTAATTCAAATTCGAGACTATTTTCTATAATACAAAGTGTGTAGAAAAATTATAAAACTGTAAAACTAATAATTACTATCCAACTCTGATGTATAATAGAGCAATCGATATATTAGAAGAGTCAATACAATCAATTCAAATTCCAGACCTTTTTTTACAATACAAAGTGTGCAGAAAAATTGTTAAACTATAAAACTAATAATTACTGTCCAACTCTGATGTACAATATTGCAATCGATATATTGGAAGAAGCAATACAATTAATTCAAATTCGAGACTATTTTTTATGTCAATAATTTCAACGATTAATAGGAGGTCAGACTACATGAGATACAACGTCAATAAAAAATTCTACCATTGTTACGTGATCGAAATGTTATTAGATTTGTATTATTTTGAAGGATGGGTGGATTACATCGGTTCCTCTCATCAATGGTGGCACGCGCTGGTGGTATTGGCTCTTTATTATTGGCATAACACTGGGATGCTGTACGTGGAATACAGAATGAACCACGGCTGCCCGAGCAACATAAAATTATTATGACAAGCGGGGTCTGACGACCATTTAGGTATGAAATCTAGTTACGTAATTATTTCCTGTTTGTCTAGAAAGGTCAATAATCATCGAAACACTTTTAATTCCGGGTTTAACCGCCCAGGAACGGCCCTGAGTGTTTCATTAATATTTCAACCGTGTTATGTAAAGAAGTAACGGATGTCGTATTCGTACGTTGATCTACGATTTATATTTCACGAATAGAAATAGGATTTTGTTCGACAGATTTTTGAGCCTGAGTTATTGTGTGCAGTCACTTAATTTGTAAGTCAATAGTTCTTTGTATGCTATGCATTCTGTGGACCACAGAAATCGTTTCACACAGCAAGCATTAACACGACCGTGCATTTGAATCTGAATGCTTCTGCACGTTCGTATACATTTGAAATTGACACTGATTGACGCTGATTGAGTTTAATTCTCGACATGGTATTCTATAGCATTTGTGGTCAAGTACAAAAAAAACTATTGACAAAAAGAAATTAAATAACAGACTGTCTATGAAACTGTCACTATCCTCGAGACCATACGTATAATTATACTTTTCTGTTTTAAGTGTTCATTTATCAAACGTTAAATTAATTCACACTATGCATGATTTTTCAAATGAAAAATATCAAATTTATAAGAAATAACTGAAATGTGCATTTAAATTAGTAACAGTGCAAAATAATTTTTTCAATAAACGTTACGAATGAATTGCTATATCTACCTTAAAATAAAAGTTTCTCAGCGATACTTTATACAGGGTGTTCGGTCACCCCTGGGAAAAATTTTAATGGAGGAATTTAAAGGCCAAAATAAGACGAAAATCAAGAATACCAATTTGTTAATGGAGGCTTCCTTAAAAAGTAACAAATAAATTCAAAAATTTCAAATCGTTCTAAAAAAATTATTTTCGGTTGCAGGGGTCAATTACAATTATTTTTGGTTATTACACATACCCCCGAAATCCTACGCACTTTCGAGAATAAAATTCCTTACTGAAAATCTAATTAGGTGGCTTCCGACGAAAAAAAAAAATTTCAAATCGTTCTGAAAAAATTATTTTCGGTTGTGGGGATCAATTATAATAATTTTTGGTGAATAGACATACCCCCGAAATCTTGCGCATTTTCGAGAAAAAAATTCAGTACGGGCGGAACTTTAAACGTTAATAAATTTTTAACGAAGCCTCCATCAACAAATTGCTATTCTTGATTTTCGTCTTATTTTGGCCTCTAGAATCCTCCATTAAAATTTTTTCCAAGGGTGGCCGAACACCCTGTATGTTGCATAAAAGAGTAAATCGACATTTACAATACATAAAATAAAATGAGAACAATATTTAAAAAAAGTTTTATCACCAATAGTTTCAAACTGTACAAAAAAAAAAAAAAAAATGGAACATTCCATATTTGCAATTCAAATGTTTGTTCTCTATTTTGTTTTTACGTGGAATATGTTTATGTATACGTACATATAAAAACGTGTTTCGTATCGTATTAAGTAACAACTTTCTATTTCAGGCCATGGATTTATTATGGAATGTGCTTGCGCTATGGAATTCAATGTTTGGTCGTCAGATTATTATAAGAAGCTGCCGTTTTATGCCATCGATAGGAAAACAACTTGCACAATCGAGAATCCATTGCGTGCGTATCTGCAGCAGCAAGCGCTATAGTTCTATACAATGTGAAATAATTAATTTCAAACGACTATCTGTGAAAAACTCTGCGAATGGCGCCGCGTCCTGTGTGCCCAATATTTTTAACAATCCAAAGTGAACGTCACTTTTCAGCAGTGTTGAGCAAAATGTAATAAGATTAACAATTATGATTATCAATTATGGCCCAACTCTGCCATAACAAACGTCTATTTTAAAACACAGGAAGCAGAAAGATATTTGCTGTTATATTGCTTATAATTTGTTTCGCTAAAAATTACGTAACGCGTGAAATTTATTACATAAATCTATGTACAGTGCGGCGCCATTTCTTTGAAAACTTCTAACGCGTCCTGGCATTAACAACGTTTATTTATTTCGTATTTTTAAGCTTTAAATAGGTTTATCTCTTTTCCTTTTACTTTAATTTTGTAACAAACAATCTCTTTAAGGACTCATTCTCATTTCCGTTAGTAGATTTATACCGTCGAGATCAGACCTGGGCAAATGTTGTTTGGGACAAAAATGAGAAATATCGATTTATTTAGAACAATAGAAATATTTCTTTTTCGTTTCAAGTACTGTTAAGACAATGTTTGTTAAAACAAGACATTTTAATGTATGAGTCACTCGAAACTTGAATTCATCGATTCCACTTTTCGTAATACAAAATTATTGGTTTTTTTATATAGAAACAACCGTGAAATAAAATAACATTTTATTTGTAACGTTCAAAAGTGTCCAGTTCTGGTCAACGCACACTCGATTCTGAGAATCGAGTTACGATCTCGCTACCCTCACATTGTAATCGTTCGAATTTTATTTCAATAAGACAAGTACGATCGTAAATAATTAGCAAAAAATTTGTTATCGTACGACGGATTATGTTTAAGTCGAAGAATTCTATTGAAATTCTATTCACAAATGTTTACACAGATAGCGAGAGCAGCAATATTTATACGCACTTTGCACAATAATTTTTTTTAGCAAATTATTGTTCTTTAACGGCACTGTAGGAACGGAAAAATCTGTGCAGGTATTTGATAATAGCGCTATAATGTAATAAAACATTCATAATATACCGAAGGTTATAAACTTCCTGTCTACTCGGTGCCTTGGAAAGTTTGTGAATAAAGTGATCGAACACGTTAAACGCTATGAAATATATACAGGGTGTTCGGCCACCCCTGGGAAAAATTTTAATGGGGGATACTCGGGGCCAAAATAAGACGAAAATCAAGAATACCAATTTGTTGATGGAGGCTTCGTTAAAAAGTTATTAACGTTTAAAGTTCCGCCCGTACTGAATTTTTTTTCTCGAAAACGCGCAGTATTTTGAGGGTATGTCTATTCACCAAAAATGATTGTAATTCACCCCCGCAACCGAAAATAATTTTTTCAGAACGATTTGAAATTTTTCAATTTAATTGTTAATAACTTTTTAACGAAGCCTTAAACGAAAAATTGATATTCTTGATTTTCGTCTTATTTTGGGTTCTACAATCTCCCATTAAAATTTTTCCCAGGAGTGGCCGAACACTCTGTATACATATGTAGAAATAATTTAGTCGTTACTCTGAATTTGTTAAGAAATTATGTTTAGATATTGTTTTAGTAATCTTATTCCCAATGATTATAACGTTTTATCGACTACTAATAAATACGTGCTTCGTGATCCAAAATTGTTGCTCAGAAATTGCAAAAATAAGCTAATAGTTCTTTTAATTACTCTAACTATTGTTACTAAACGTTTAAATTGTTACATAATGTGAATAGTATATTGTAAAGAAGTATTAAATTAATTGCTACCGAAACGCAATGATTGGTACATAGAATATATATTTGTTAAGTACTTCTTACACTTTGTCTTTTGCTTTTACTTTGAATAAAATTTTTAATAAACTGTGCATGCTCTACGTCACTAATTTACGTTTCAACATTTTGCATCGTTCGGTAAATATCAGAAAAAAAATTGTAAAACCATATTCATGTTCATAAATAAAATTACTTACAGTATTTTTTCAGGATTCTTACCAGATCTTTATTTATATCTAGGATCATGTATGAAAATACCGCGGATGTAATAAAGTGTTTCATACAATTGTTGAATAAAATTGTTATCTGAAAGTACATAATTTATTTATTATTTCAATCACCTCTGAGATTTTCGAGCACTTCAATTTTTATCAGAACAAGATTTTTAATATCCCTCACATAATAGAATAAATCTGTAAAATCCGTGCTAAGATGATTATACATTGTAATTTAAACAAGAAAAGAAATTCTTTTTACTACGCCTACGTATGAACATACAATTACTATAAAAACATATTATTCATCAATTTAAATTATTTATAAAATGTGATATCAAGATTTCGAGGCATGTTTTTATTTAATAAAGTTAGAAATGTGTAAAACATTTCTTCTATTTATATTAATAAAAAATCAAAATCATAATTTCCATGTTTTTTATTTATATTATTCTCTACCTTTTTAGGGATTTTATAATCCCTTATAACTGTTCCAGATATTATTCGGGTCTAATTAATATCTAACTAAATTCTTCAACCATTTTTCTACACATTTTTTCATGTAATTAATTATGTAGTTACAGACGATTACGGTAAGCGATAAATATTTTAATCATTAAATTCGGCGCTAAAAAGTGCCGAAAATACCTGGCGCCATCTAATATCAGGGATTCAAACTGCTAAAATCGTGCCAGGATCACAGAATGTTAGAGGAGGTATCTGGTGTACAGGTTCCCCCACTCCTGTTACTCCTGGTATGCAGTACATAGCTTGATTATTCACTAATTACATACTCCTTTCCTGGGATTAAAATATAAACTTTTGGAATTTAAGAATATAGACCCTTGTGAACATTCGAAAAAGAGTAATTAGTAAATTATCGAGCAGTGATTCATTAAAAGAAGCCATTTATTACAATACATATTGTGGCGCCAACTAGTGGCGAAAACAGCGTATTATTTTTTGACAAACAATTTCTTGATAATTTACTAATTACTCTTTCTCTGGGAATAATTTATGAACTTTTAGAGTTTGAGAATATAGCGAAGATCCTTGACAACGATCGAGGATACTTTTCGTAACTATTCCATGCGTTATTAAATAGTTATTAACCAATATCGGGAGTCGGCACACTGTTTCTAACCTATTAACGCGACACCTTAAAACTATCGCTATTAACTAATTAATTAGAGCGTGGATCGTTGCAAAATTGGTCCTTGAATATTCCCAGGGATGTCTAGTTGTTATGAGATAGCAGATTACAAATATGTGTAATAAAGTAGAAAAGTAAAGAAAAAGCAGACAGTAATACAGTCGTAAATGTTCCGACTCCCGATATTTGTTAATAACTTATTAATTACTGGCGGAATGGCTATAAAAAGTATCCTTGAATGTTTGCAAGGGTCTATACTATATTCTTCAATTCTAAAAGTTCATATTTTAATCCCAGGTAAGGAGTAATTAGTGAATAGTCAAGGTACTGCGTAACAGGAGTGGGAGAACCTGTACTCGGGATACCTCCTCTAACATTCTGCGATCCTGGCACGATTTAACAGTTCGAATCCCTGATATTAGATGGCACCACATATTTTTTGTATTTTTAACCGAATAATATAGTATAATAAGACTATTGTGCAGTCTTGAGCACCGAAATAAACAGTCTCTGAACTTTGAACTCTTAATTTTTATCACAATGATTAAAATAACTATCGCTTCCAGGAATCATTTCAAACTTATTAATTAGATGGAGAAATGCGTAGAGAAGTGTTTGAAGAACTTAGTTAGATATTAATTAGATTCGAACAACATTTGGAGCAGGCATAAGGAATTATAAAACTTTAGAATTTATAAAAATTAAGGAATTAATGAGAAAGGTAGAGGAGAGTGCAAATAAAGAACATGGAAAATATGTAAGTACTATGATTTTGATTTTGTATTAATATAAACATAAAGAATGTTTTACACATTTCTAACACTGTTAAATAAAAACATGCTTTGAAATTTTGATAGTATCTTTTACAAATAAATTAAATTGATGAGTAATATGTTTGCACAATACTTGTATGATTTAAATAAGAGATTTTTGTAATTTCTATAGTAAGCTGAGTTACTCTGTGCATATCAAGATTTGGTGTGTTCCTGATAGGCACAATCAATAGCTATTTCCATTGCCAAGAATTCAGCAGTAAAAAAGGAAAGCATACTTTACGGCATACTGATCATATTTTAACTATCGAAGAAAAATGAACAATAACATTGGAATTGGATTCATATACCTCTCCATAGTACCAAACGTTGAAACAATAATCCCTATATTTTCACCAACAAAAGTGACGAAATTTCTCTTTCTATTTGTCAACGACAATAATCAATTAGATATCTAAATTTTGACAAACTTCGTATTTTGTAATTCATTCAAAATACGATAAAAATTATAAAAGTAATTTATAGGCTGGGCATTTTATTCGTTTAGGGCACATTAGAAAGAAAACATCTTACAGTTTTGCTTTCTTGACATTCTTTGGTAGCTTACGTCTTTTCCATGAGGTGTACTGTGGTGCAAAACTCGTTTTTAGGACATTGAGTGCATTACTTCTTTCCGTTGACCGAATTTCGTATATATTTACTATCTAAACGCGTTTCAACAAGTCAGTATGCCGAAAAATAAGGGTCAGTAAACTTTTATATCGTATTGTGTCTTTCCTTCTTGTTAAAATTGTTATCTATGCAAAGAATCGTGTAATTTGAAATGTGCAATGTGGTTAGTTTGGTCTAACCTGTTAATGTCAACCTTGCTCCCGAAATAGTCGAATACAGTATAACAGAAAGTTAAAAATTTGCCCGTGGTCATCTTTCTTTTTTGTAAAAATAACAATTTAAGTAGTATTCATCTAATTTATTTTTCTTAGGAAAGGGAGGTAAAAACAGGAGAAGGGGTAAAAATGAAAATGAAACAGAAAAAAGAGAGTTGGTTTTCAAAGAAGACGGACAAGGTAAAATTCTAAACTGATAATAAATACAATTGTGTATTTTGTTTCGGTATTGAAACATTGTCAATTTTGTTGTGCAATATTAGACATATAAGAACATATATTATCGAGAAATAAATAATATTTTAAGCAAATAGAATCATTGAAGTTTAGAAAACAATTCTAAGTATCGATACTTTTTTATTCTACTATATTTAGAATATGCACAAGTTACAAAAATGCTTGGCAATGGAAGGTTAGAAGCAATGTGTTTTGATGGTGTCAAACGGTTGTGCCACATTAGAGGAAAATTACGGAAAAAAGTATGGATCAACCAAGGTGACATAATATTGATTGGTTTGCGGGATTACCAAGATGCAAAAGCAGATGTTATATTAAAATACACATCAGATGAAGCTCGTAATTTGAAAACATATGGTGAATTCCCAGAAACTGGTAAGCAATTATATGGAAATTGTCCAAAATTTGTGTTCAATTGAAAATCACAATTAAGATTTAAATTCAGTATACAAAACGTTAATATCACGTTTTATCAAATTTAAAATTTTGTTACAGTGCGTATTAACGATACTGTCACCTTCGTTGAAGACGGTTTTGACGAAGATATTGAATTTGGTGATGAAATTAGCGATGATGATGAAGATGACGTTGACAATGTGAGTATATTATATAATGTTAAAACTGCAAAATGAGAATGTATATATTTTAAGCAGATTTTTTTATTGTTTAAAAGTGATTAATGATTTAAGCATCATTAATTTCTCGTTTCATGTTTTACGATTTTAGAATTTTGATTGTGATTACATGTCACATAACCTTTCTTCTCTTACAGATCTGACAACCTTCAATATAATACAGTGTAAAAGGTACAAGATAAAAGTGCATGGAAACACCTATTTGTTTTACAAAATGCTATCATTCGTCGCGCAATTAAGATATTGAATTTTTTTTTAAATAAGTAGTCAATTTTCTGTATTTACAAATAAATTTCCGGTTGTGTGCATATTATTGTGTTCGATCCAAGATTATTGGATTTTGAATTTTCAGGATTTGTAATTATATTAGACCTATTGTATTCACTATATAGCCTATCTTTTACTTTCATGTGACTACAAATAATCCCATTTTCAAGGGATATTACTGCATTGGATTAATATTTTTTTTCTTTATATATACTAATCTGAATATACTTAGTTATAATAATTTTGCTATTTAGCCGAATTACACTAGATACAAATAGTTATATACTTATGTGCAACATAATTATACTCTCCTCGTAGCAATTTTCTTTTGTATATTTTTTGTTTTATACAAAATTGTATAATATATACATCATCACTACTTTAAACAGGGGAAGTAGTGAGCACCATACATCATAGCAATTTCTTCTGCATATATTAAAGCGATCATTTGTTATATAAGATGCAGACAACTACTCAGAAAAGTTGTTATGTATTGTATTTTATAGGCAATTCAGTGTAATTGTAAGATCAAAATTATTAATTATGAGGGAAACTATGTACAACTATCGATACTGATATATTGAATTTTTGTTTAGAAATATTCATAAAAAAATGATATAACAATCCATGTGATAGGGGATAATGCGTGTTTAAAACTCGGTTATTTTCTTGAATATAATTATATTACAATTTACGTTATGTTATAGATTCCATACAAACACTATCACTTCTCCCTTTTGTAGTTAAATTAAAAATTCTTGTCCGAACGTTCGAATTATGTTAACTTCTGTATAAAATAATGATTCCATCAATATGTACTAAATGAAATTAATGTCAACTGTTAATAACAAATAAAAATGTATAAAATATTAAGTTGTTATTTACTGAAGCATGTCATTTCCTTAAGTGCCAATGTATACTGTTCTAGAATGATTGACGACTTAAATAAATTATATAAAGTAAAATTTAAATTTTAACAAAATACCATCTTTCTAATTACAAAATGTACAGCAATACCTTGGATATTGGCCGACGTCGGGGAACGAAACTGGTCAAAGTTGAAGGCAGGTATTGTATAGAGCTGGTAAGATTGCAATGCACAGGAATGCGGACCCAATTGGCTCATCTACACTCAAGAGTCCCCGACCGATTACTGTGCCCAGTCTCGGCGTATCACCAAGACCGTAACCGTGGAAACGGGTAATCAGTGGTGGGGACAGGTAGGGCAAATGAAGAATTTTTCTTTCGCCTCTTTCGTCCTACTCGTAAACTTACCAGCTCTCTACAGTAAATATAAGTATAATCTAATATACATATTTAAAATATTTAAACCCATCCAAATTATTAAACTGAAAATAGTTATCCATATTTTGGTAAATATATATATATTGTATATGTATTCATGATAAGGATTTATTTATTTATAGTCATTTCCAAAAATTCCATGAATACGATAAACTTTTTCCGTTAATATTACATATATTGTTTTCAATAAATTAAAGGTTTTTCGTATAATCGACATAAAAGAAATCATAAGTGTTACATGTTTGATTTGAAGTAGGCAGTACCTGTATATTTTTATCAGCGAATAATTAAAGTTTTATGCTCGAGCTACCTTTTAATCTCCGTTCATCTAAAACTCTTAATAAATTCAAGGAAATTGATAAAGTGTAATAACAGGGGTCAGGTACAGATATAGCCCCTTCGTGTATCATTCTTTTGTTACAAGTACATTGAGGATTGTAATGCAACAATTTATTTATTACATTGTCGTTGATAACTCTATCACATAATAGTATATGGTAAAATTATACCTTTTCTTTCCTCTGTTATTTTTTTGATATCGTACGCCATACAATGGCATTATAATTTTAACGTAATATTGTAATATTCACGGAGGGGTAAGCATAGAGGAAAGTCGGTGGCGTGTATGCGTTATCCACGAAACATAACCGACAGATTGTACAAAATTACCTTCAGAATTAGAAGCGCACTGATGCGATACTGAATGTTAAATACTGATTCAAACGCATGTGTATGAAACGATGTTAAATCATTACATACCTTGCTTATGTTAGTTACAACTCATGAAAAATTGATTACTACGGTTAGAATGCAGTTACAAAATCTTGCAATGAGTTTCGATATTCAATATAAACTTTTGTAACCACGCCATTAATAAATTACTACTTCTATAAAATTAGTGGAGAATAACGTAAAGTAAACCTACTTAATTTTAAGTTGAATACCGTTGATGGTTCTATATATCTTTTATATGGATCGATATATATTTTCTCAATCGAGTTAATCACAAACTTTCATTGAAATACTTTTAGTAAAAATTAGAGCTAAGCAAATAAATTTTTTAATTTATTCGAAGCGTTTAATTCGTATTGAGATTTCAGTGTTATAGAATTGAGTAGGTTTATGCTGCCTTGCTCTCAGCTTGAGAATATACTAGGTGTTGAGCTTAGACAATTACAAAATGTGTATACTTTGTTCGATGTAACATTACTGGCTTCTACAATATATTTTTCATAAATAAATGATATTCATTTGAAAGTAACTTTTCAAATAAAAATTAATACTTTGTTTTAGATACATGTCGAAACACAAATACTTTATAGTTAATGTTAATGTATATACAATATAAAATTGCTTTACTTAAAACTTTCGTATATATTAAAATTTCTTAAATAGAAGAAAGTAAGATAATATAAAAATAGTCAATTTATTTTTATATATTTAAAGGTTCTCATAAATCACGATGTTGCAGAAGTAAGAGAATCTTAAAAAATTAAGTTTTTAAATAATTTAAATAATCCTTTTTAAATAGTTATTAAATAAGAAAAATTTTCTATCCATTTTTTGGAGAAGTAACATTTTCGTATGCCTGTATTGTGTGTATTTTCAAAACACATATTAGCCAGTAAAGTTACGTGGTCGACTTTCAAAAGTTCGTTTGCACATCTCTTTATTAATGTACGCAATATAGTAAAGATAGAAGTGTTTTGTAAAAAATGTACTAATATACTGGACAGAAATGACAGTGAATAAAAAAATTCTGTTGTCAGTGGGTTTTACAATAGGTCGTCGTATTACATTAGGTTATGTCTTATGAAAAAGGGAAAATACCTTTTTTGTTTGGTAATACGAATCATATTTTATAGCAGTCGGAATATTTAAATGCCAGTATCGCAACGTCCGTGATGAGTTACAATAAAATGTTACGACAGTACATGGGAGCATAATGTTTTATTTTGATGCGTGTGTGATTGTGCCTTTGGTCCTTAGGTCAGATAGGCTCTAGGCAAGTCTATTAAACATAGAATAACAGTCATTATAGATAATAATTTATAAACTTCAGATGCATAATCATATCTTTTCAATATATTATACATTAATAGAATACCTTATTTAAAGTATGTATATATTTGTTCTTTTTAAATACATACTATATGATTCCTTTCTGTGCCTTTTAAAACTGTGTTATACACTGAAAGCTAATGCTGCTTAAATATTAAGACGTGTTTCGAGTCATTAAAGTTTAAACAACATATTTTCTATAATCGTCATGTCATTTGCTTTTTTTTTTTCTCTTTATAATAGTAATAATAATTTACACGATCGTACGAAGGATAGATCGCCGATTAACATTCCCTCCGATCTTAAGATTTATGTGTCTAACAATTTGTCCAATGATTCTGCTATATAAATAAAGTATTCGTGTTACAATATTGCAATTATTACAATTGTATAATAGTACATTTATATAAGTTACGCTAAGAAATTATTATATATACAATTAAAAATTGTTAGGAAATATTTCTTTTAAATAAGTTAAATTTACATTGTATTTCGATTCATAAAAACATTTATTCTTTGTTGCCATTCGAATCGCAAATGATGGCGTAGACCATGTAGCCAGAAGTTTTCCAAATCCTCTCGCCTTGTCAAATTTCCATTAACTCAAATAGCAACAAAAATTCCATTTCTTTTAGAACCTCTCTTTTTTTCTCTTTCTCGCTCCCGGTGTATGTATGTGTGTGACTCAAGTGTTGTTACAGACCTATAAAGCGATGTATTGCGCGGATAGATATACAATCACCCTAAAGCTAAAACGAACTGCCAAGTGGCGAGTTTTTGCGAAGTCACCGTTAAGATCCTATTTTAATCATTTCGTCTCTCATACCGTTTTCTTCCATAAGAACGTTTACAAATATATATCGCTGTAATGTTGGTCGAGCGTGCATTCGAGACGAACACTCTCATTTTCTGTTCGTCCATGTTGTTCCTGCAATACGCATACTCCTTCGTTACTTTCTCCTCTTGTCTTTTCGCTTTGAACAACATGAGAAAGGCGTTGTACATGGACGGGTTAGCTTAGTGAAAACTAGCGGATCAAGCTAGTCGGACTAGCAACGACATACGCTATTCGATCGCAAGATTAAACGTAAATACGTAAGGCAATTTAATGTAACAAAAAGGCAAGCAAATCCGAAGCGTAGGCCATGAGTGTGATAGTAAATTGTCGTGCATGCTTTTTTTTCCTGTGCTCTCGAGAAGCACCGCGATAATAAGATTACTTTTGCATTGACATTTATAGATACAGATGCGAACAGAGATCCATTTTCGATCTTTGTACAGAGAACGTTCCGTTCGACGCTCGAGGATGCGTCGAACTGGATCGGTGCTTTCTTGAATTAGTGCTAAAGAATTTCTTTAAACGTTTTATTTTCCTTTCCACGGTCGTCAGGTGATGAAGGATTCTACTTTGTTCCTATTATCGCCCATGAGACTTTTGATGCTTCACTGATCTCGCCTTTCTTCCATCATGAATCGATCGACGATCTTCTGCATGGAATCTCGCAATTCGTCTGCACCACTGACGGCACCGCTGGTCGTTGTAACAACTTGTACAGTTCTCGTTATTCTGCAATTAAGATATTGTTTTTTTATTTTTGAAAAATTACTCGAATTAGCTTCGTACGAGCATCGTCGTTCGTGTTACCTTTCCTGCGTTTCAGGGTCCACTTCCGTCGTTGTCGTTTCCATGAAGGATGGCTCGCTATGTTGCAAGAAGTCAGATTCTGTGTAACAAAACGAAAACTTATCAAAATGCATGCTCCTGTGCACGGGATGCGTTTCTTACTATTTTAGCGGTTCACATAGATACAAGTACCAATTGTATATCTCTCAATTTTACATCATGCCCAAAACAAGGGGTAATACTAGACACATATAAAAAAAGTAACAACATTGCTATACAATTGACGATACATAATATATAATACGCATTTTCACTCAATCAGCCAACTATGCAACCGCTTTTCTTACACTTCACGTGTTACTTTCGACGAGTCGTTACAAAAATTTTGCGCGTTCCTACGTTCATTATCTTTAACAATTTGGTCTCATAACGTGTGCCACAGGAAGCGAATAGTATATCGTTTAAATTACATCGAAGCATATAATATTCGGTTCTTAATGCTTCGACTCTGTATCCAACGCATGCGATATACGTTTATTCGAACAATTAAGTTTCATCTTCCTTTTTGTCGACATTTTACTTTCATCACGTGTTATTGAAATACTATGCACTAATAGCAGCGCTTGAGAGTCCATATTCGATAATTTGTAGTCAAGTATAGTACAGTTACTGGTGGCATGTTTAGAATATTTCTCGCAAGAAAGGTTTCGATCCTTTGGACGGTCGTGCCAATGAAAATCTTTAAATTTTTAAAGGAATCGAACAGAGGAAAAACGTTTCGACTATAATTATTATTTATTATAATGCAATATGTCTTGCAAATGAAATTGAAGCACGCGTTTTTCCGTTTCCAATTGCTTCGAAAATTTATAGAGTTTCATTAGCAGAGCAAAGTCGAACGAAACCTCTCTTGCAAGTAGGACTGTGCTGCACGTAGCGAGCTCGTGTGAAGCGCTGATAAAAGCTACTGAATAGTAAAGCGTTTAGCAGTTAGTCATGAGATATATAAGTACTCAGACTATCCGAGATACAACAGAAGAGTATTCACTACGGTGAAAACAGAAAGGGGGTTTCGTCGGTGAAAAACAAGTAAGAAACGTTCGTAACAATATCTAATCTAGAAGAATGTCTAAATCGGATCTATCGAATTCCGACTTCATCTACGTAAAGGAATTGGCTGAATCGTCACGAAACAAGGGGCCAAATGCTACTTAATATACGTTGTCTTCAACAAATTTTGAAATAAATGATATCACAGTAGCTCCTCGTTAAAAGTCTGGAGTTTCACCTCGATAACAGTTTTGGATCACCTTATGATCGTCGATTCGATACTTTGTAATTTTTTCAAGTATTTTTAAATTCGATAGAAATTGGACTTTTATCGAAGAGTTATTGTACCCGCCTCCAGGCGATAAAAGACATTTGTACTAAAACGGAAAGAAAATTGTTTACAGCCACATCTCGACAGTTTGAGCTTAATCGTCGTAGAAACGGTTTCGTACTTACAATTTTCGACCGAGGGAAACTCTCTCTGGTTTCGACCGTAGCTCTTTGAAACACCCTGTGTATAGTGGCAACAAGTTTAAAGGGGCGCGTACTAACTACATCAGTTAGTGTTGTTAGACGAACGGTCAAGTATTATTGAAAGTATTACTACGGTTTAAATAGTATTAGCTTCTCTCGAGGGAGGAAAGAGGTATCTCTGTGCATTTCTACGGGTTTCGTGTGTCTCCAGTACTTTTCTTCCGAACAGAGGTGCTTGTTAACGAATAATAACCACTTAAGGCCGTTTAAAATACAAATCTTGAAATATTTATTAAGATTCTCGTATAACTAGTCCTTTCGAGGCTACTTTTACGTTAAAGAAACGCGAGGTTTCTAATTTGATAGCCACCACGAAGCGAAACGAAGGAAATATTTAAGATATGTACCTGAGTTTTATTACTGTTATTAAGTAAAGTGCTGTAGATATTCATTTTTAAGTGTATTATTAAATATATTTCTGTCAAAAGCACACTTTTACTGGCTACGTTTTGTATTTTAATAATTAATGAATTTTATCGAATCTTTAACGTTACACGCCTGGAAAGGATTTGTAGTTGCAACGGACACGTTGAGACAATTACTATCGAAGATAATCGATCAGAAGAAAAAGTCAGGATTACCTCGGATGCAGGGAAAACTTGCTGCACGATTATGTCTTCGGCAAGTTAGAGTATTGCAGCTTAAAACGCAAATGTCGGAGCGCTTCCAGTTTCGCTAAGATGAGAATCTACCCTAAAATGCGTTCTGCATTGACAAAAGCTGCGGTCGTCTTTTATCGGAGTACCTTTTCAAGCGGTTGTAGGTTCATTGGATATCAATCTGTCCAGCCATTTTGTATGGTGTATGGGTTTTGTGTCGACACGTACGTGTACATAGATAAAGGCTACTTACATGACGATTCGCCTAACAATCCTAACGTGACTAAAAACACGATTTGTTGGTCCCTCTACACTTTAGCTTTATCTTGAGTTGCTTATTGTCAGAAGAGCTAGAAAGGGTAAATAGTGAACTATAAGACGCATGAAAACAAAGTGAAAAAACGAGCTCTTTTTTTTCGGTTTTCTTGGGTACGTGCACCAAGCGTAGTAAATGGTATCAGGGGAAAGACAAATTATTGGCGTGTAAAACGCTGCAGGAGACAACGACTTCAGACTGATCTAAAATGCAATAAAGATCATGCGAGGTGTCGATTAGAATTAAATCATGCATCACAGGCATTCGGTATCACGGTGGGATCGTTCAAACGTGTCAGAAAAAGAAAGCTTGCATACGTATCACTTCCAAGTTTACCTGCCTCGTAAATCGCGTCACACGACTCGAGGTTCTCGTCGAATGCCACAACGAAGACAATATCTACGCAATTTAAACAAATTTCGTTCTGTACATACATGTTTCACACAATGAAAATCATACCAACGTTGTGTGAAATCAGTTGGCGATTTTAATGTCCTTGTCGGACTAAAATTTTTCTTCTTAAAAACATTTTTCTGGGACAGTGCATACTTTGCAAGTATGTTTATCGCTGAAAATAATTCTTCCAGAATAATATTCCGTGAATTTTCAATTTGTTTTATCAAGAACGAAGCAAAGTACCTATTAAGAATGTATATTGTATTGTGTAACACGGTATTCCTAAAACGTTTGCCAAACATTCTGCAAGCATGTAAAATAACTCTTGAATCGTTAGTCGGTTCAATCATTTTATTATAATGTAACGTTCTCGCTCCCGTTTTTCGAGTAACTAAAACGTAATATTTAAAAGTTAAGTTGAGGAAAGAGAAAACTACTCGCAAAAGAATGAACTATAAACAGATGTTAGAAGCTTACGTAAATTATAAATGATAATAGAAATAAAGTAAGAAATATTAAATTAAGTATATGCACGAGTGTCGTTAATAAAATGAAAATAAAAAGGTTCAATATTTATGGAAATATCGAAAACGTTATATCATAATAAAAAACTTAAACCGACCAACGATTCTAGAAATCTTTTTATTAACACTAAACCTACCACGACCGGTTTAAATGTTTTAAAAATTTTTTAAACCGGACAAAATTTGGTATTAAATTATTAAATAGGAAATATATACATATATAGCATAGATGAAAAAAAAGAATCTTTAGTTTCCACTGACTTAGAAGAGTCAAACAAACGCGTATTAAAAATACTAAAACTTTAGACGCGTGCAGTTCCGAAACTACTAGTGCTTTATTCAAAATTGAGCCATCGTTAGAAGTGGCAAGGCCTCCCCTTTAAAATGCTTTTTGGTTTATGTCGATACGACTTTCCGTTTTCGAGATATCGCAATTTATGTAAAGTGGTATTTTTCTTAATTCGACTATCTTTGTCTCCGTCTAACGCATCGGACCTCTTTGTCGCGCGTGCATAATGCTGACCTACTCCGCGTAGGTGACTGCCGTGACCTAGTTTCGGCGTAGTATTTCCAAGAATTTACTACGCACGCGAGATGAATGAACTCGCGCGAGCGCAACGAAATGTAAACAAAGCTTCGGACCCTTATATCTTTGAAACTAGCCACCGCATCGACTTGAACCTAAAATCGTTATATCTCCGGAACTAATAAAGCTATCGACTTGTTCGAGCGCTTATTTTAAAGGGCTTTTCATCCTCTATCCTATGAACGTAACAATTACTATAATTTCAGCTATCTTCTATGTTTATTTTGTCATTTACTTTGACTCTATGCACCTAAAGAAATTTCATCAATTCCTATTGTTTACACGATTGGTATGCGATAACACTGGATTGTAAATTGTTCATTTAATTTAAAATGAATCTAAATTTTCATACAGGATGTTTGCATAATAACTATTTCAGCATTTTTTCGTAAATAATTGTTTTCTTTGGAACTACATGAAACTATGGAACATGAAGTGTCAGTAGGTTTAGCGTTAACACAAATATTAATTCTTATCATATCGCGTGAAATATCTGTAAAATCGATTAAAAAAAGCTGTAAGAGTACTTTTGTAAGGTTGGACATTAGAAAAAATGTTCAATATAATTTCTTCTTTATATGCATATAGTAAACGATTGTACGGTTTTGAGTAAGAGTTTACGAACGAGTTTGAAACAAGTTTTGAAGAAGACTGCTACTGAACATTTTCTCCCATGTGCAATTTCGAAAGGCCGCCATTTGGCAGCTTCAACGTTCGAATGTTTAAACGAATCGTGATTCGAACAGTGCAAACACTTAACGTTTAGTCAAACATTTTATGAACATTCTATCAGCATCTAGTGCTCTGTGATTCGATGGTAGAAGTACCCGTCTGGGCAAACAGTGATTATTCAATTGTCAGAAATAGGTTGCCTTGTAAAATAAATAAAATTTTTGGCATGGGATATTTTAAACGTTCGCACCGGTGGTTTACATGGTTGATCAAAAATTCCTTTTAATAGAAATAAATAAAATGAAGGGTAAATCGTACCCAGCTTGCCTTGGGTTATTGTTAGAGAGGGTGTAGATGGCACGTTGGAATGTTTGTGGCTCCAAGGTAAGAAAAATTGCTAGTAGGACCACCAACGTAGCGGCGGCTACGCTCATCCAACATGCGCAGCCTGCTCTACCGGAAGTCTTCGTCCTAGGTGTCCCTTCTACCGTACTTCGCCCCGTGCTCGAACAAACTGACTGTATCGAACTGTCTGTTTCTGTCACTTAAAGATTACGCCTATGAGCTTCTCTATCGGGTTCGTTCGTTTCTGATAAATTGATTTTACTGAATTCTGCGCATCCCACGCCGTGATTAGTATGATATAACAGCGGGCGAAGTATATGAAGAAAATAGCAGGAATTAACGAGCCAATGTTCGATAGATTCATTTGCAGCGATGCGGCTGATTTTGATAGTCTGATACACATGATAAACAAAAGGGTTTTCGTAATTCAAAACATTGATAGCCCGAAAGCTGGAGAGCTTTGCGTGCGTTACTCCTGTTGTTATTGACGAAATTCAGTACTCATTGAGATTAATTGTCAGTGTCTGGATTTAGTTGACCCCAATGTGAAGCTTTGCTTGGGACAAGGAGTAGAACAGTTCTGATCGTACAAATATTTGACACGTATGATGTACAATATAGCAAACTGCGTTATCCGGATAATGAAATTATATAAAATTTTGCTATTTGTAGTAATAATTGGGAATTTTTCAGAAATGGAACGATATCTGCGATTACCTGACAAATCTTGTATGCATAATATACACATAGTGATGTAATTGATATGTATCATTATCGTCTCTTTAATGTTCGCACTCTTATTACTTTGTGATTTTGGCATGTGATAAATATACACATGAATAACCATGAAACACGAAATAAACAATTCTGGATTTGGTTCATTTGAAAAGAAATATCATGCTCTTCTAGTAACATAAATTCGAAGAGTAGATTAGAAAATGTATTCGGTATCAATTTCTCAATTTTGAATAACTGCTGTAAATTGTAATTAAAATAAGATTTGCTCGAAGTATATTGTTTTTTCCATTGGTTAAGAAACGAAAAAATTGAACAAGCAAAATTATAATTTGTTTGAAGCATTGCAAAGTGTGATATTTCTTTTTAAATACGTACAATTTCATAAATTTTTATTCACCATATAAAATGTCTGACTATGAATGAACATCAATGGAAAGTATGCAAGTCCCAGAAGCCCCTGATCACAACTTTATCCGTTCAACCAAGACCAACGGGAGGCAAAAAAGGGGAAATCTTCTTTCCGAACGAAGCACATTGAATCGACCACCAAAACCCTATGATATAGTTTTCGCCCACGATAAATCCACGAAGAATCAGAAACCACACAGGTACGCAGATTTACGACTGCCTTTCACAAGCTTTGTTTTTCCTCGCGAATAGTTATCGTTTTATACGGTCAACATCCTTCCACCTTATGCAAATACACCTCAAGTTATAGTGTTATACAAGCTCGTAGTCATGCAATGCTGTGTGTCAAGTATACATACAGTATTCCCTCGCTAACTGCTCGAAATTTTCCACTCGATAACTGATCCGTATTCATCTCCATCGCTGTTCTTATTTATTTTAATTTAATTTAACTTCATCCACCGATGAGTGTTTTGTGGGAAATTTTAATTGAAGGTAGAAAGAAATTCTAGAGCATATTTTTCTATAATTATCCTTTACTAATTTTTCTCAAATGCGAAGAGTAAAATCAAAGTATTTAATGTTTTTTTCACAAAAATCGCTATCTTAGGTCGTTATGGGTACGAACGATGAAAGATAGGGCAATTGAAAACTTGATTTCAGATGAACTGAAAATCGTAGAAACTATTCAAACGAATTAACATTGCGAATAAATCGTCATGGAGAGATATACATACATTATCTTTTTGTAAGATTCAATTCGCGATCAGTTAACAACGGAACACTGTATTACATTAAGTATGAATATAACATTTCCGCTTTTTACCAAGAAAACCAGTTTCTTCGACTATTTTTATCCGTTACAAATCAATTTCTAATATTTCTCGTATTTACAGACTCATAAATCCCGAACGCAGTACAATTAACGATTAGAGATATAAAAATCAGTACTAACATTTTGCGCTTCTACAATAAATTATTACACCGGTTTTCGATTTAACGTTTGTTTCACGATGTAGTTAACGTTTCGATCGAGAAGATCGTCGAAACGATATCGTTTTACAAGGCGAGTACGAAGTTTATCGCTGACCAGACAGAACAGAAATTACTAAAGGGGTGCAGGTGCATGCATAAAAAGCGATTCACAATAAAAGCGTAAAGAACGCATAATTCACGTTCTTGGATTTGATTACGTCTCTCGGGTAACTTGGTTAGCGGGATATGTACATTGCTTACTTAGAAGGTTAGCTGTGAGTGCGGTACCTTGGTCGTCCTCCAACGGGGACAGCTCCGCACCTTCGTGCAGTGCTACATCAGACCCGCTGGAACTGCCCAACGTTCGCCTCTTGCTTGGTGATCTTCTTCTCGGTCGCGGCGAACCATCACTATCAGTGTCACTGTTTAGTTCGTGCCGTGAGCTACCGTTCTTTGCATAAATGTCGCCGTTACCGGAACCAGGCGAAGTGTCTTGGGAGAACTGATTGTCCCATTGGTCAGCTTTCTCGTCGTTAAAGTACGAACGTTCTGTTATACTCCCGTGGGCCCATGGTTCCGATAGCTCGGTGGTGCATTTTATTATTTTGCTAGACACCTGCTCAACGGACGGCGTGTCCCCGTAGTCGCCGCTAGTCGTCATCGTTTTAACGATTCGTTCGGTCTGTTCGCCATCGACAGACTCGGTCGTGACGCATCGTACGGTCGTCACAGTTTTTACTATCGTTTCTTTCGATATCACCTCGTCCGTGACGACGTTTCTCTCAGTCTTTGATATCGTTGTGCAAGTCGTGTCGTCGGAGCCGATCGGTAAATTATCTAGAATTTTTATTTCCTTCGTAACAGTTTCATCCGATTTCGCTGGATCCGATTCGTTATCTCCTTTAGTTATCGTTACAGTTTCTATTCTCTCTACGATTTCTCCGACTACCTCGTCAGGTTTCGCGGTATCCAAAATGGAGGACGCGGTCGTCGTCGTCGTCGTGATCGTTTTTCGCGTTTCTTTCGACACTTCGAACTTTTGCGAATCGATTTCCTTCTCGGGATCTTCCGCATCTCGTCTTTCCTTCTCGCAAGACGATTTCTCCGGCTCTTCGCTGCTTTTGTCTACGCGTTTCGAGGGACTCAATGACTGCGCGACGATGGAATTTATCGTTACTTCCGGTCGATTTGCTTCGAATTTTTTCGCGTGCGCGTCGGACTCCATGTTCGTCATCATTCTGTTCATCGTTTTCTCGTTCTCTATAGACTTTTTTATCTTCACTGGTATTTTACTTTTTGGGCTGCTCTTTTCCGGTGAGTGTTCTTCTTTGAACGGCTTTGATGGCTCTGCGGTCTTATGTTTCGGACTGTACGCCGTGTACGAGGTATCTCTGAGATCTAGATGGAAGTCTGTTTTCATGGACGACCTGGTAGAGTGTCGCGGGGCGGGAACAGGTTGCTTTGTTGGAGTAGAAGTAGCATGCCTCTCTACAGTCCCATCAATCTCAGCCGAATCATGCCCTGACCCATCCAAAAGGACATGGACAAGAACAGGAACAAGGACATAAAGCACATTGATACACACTAAGAATTTCGTTTCTAGCCCAGCTGCGACAGTTGGACTAAAAGATTCAGCGTGTTTGTTTCACATACGTATCTCGTGTGTACGCGCATACACACTAAAAAAAACTCGTGTGCTCACACACGCATGCATATTATCGCATAATATGCTTGTGTGTGTGTGTGCGCAGCACACTTCTACATTTAGTATTTAGTTAGTATCAATACTGCAACAGGATTAGTTTGTTTATAAAAACACTCATTAAAATGGTGTCTAATCGTGGCGCCTGAATCTTACTAAAACGTACCCTGTAAAACAACTGTGTGTTATTTAAACGTATTGTTATTTAAACGAAAATAAAATATCGTATTTTTACAGAGAATTCAATCGAAAGCGTGAACCGTGGCGAGACTGTTAGAAGCGATTACTTCTTTACAGCGAAGAATCAGTGATTAAAGTACATGTTGCCTACGAGCTAAGTAAAATTACAGTTCACTAAGCTACGATGTTTAAACTAAATTTTTTATTTTATTCGATAGAACTACGTAGAAGATAAATTTAAGGCGTCGCGAGTATTTGAATTATTGTACAGAGATCACGTATATTGGTCTGTCGTTTACTCTACGCCACAAAGAGGTATCTATTTAGTAAGAAACGTGCGCACAATATTAGTCAGTGTAAAAGCGTCGGCAGGTGCTAACTATGGAAGATAAAGCTAAATATAAATGAGGGCACCAAAATAGAATCAGCTAACGTATTGATCTTGGGCCTGTGATCTGTGTTCGTGAGTTCTATATCTTTCTTGACCATACATTACCTGATTTTGACATCGAGTATGATCGATCGGCTAGATTCTGTGCTCGTCTTGCAGCCTCTTCGGTAACGTCTGAAAAAATAATTTAGCGCCGCATGAGTAAACGGAAATAACAATATGAACATTGAAAGCAATGAACTGACAAAGATTAGATGAATGATGTTTCCCTGCATGGCATACCTCGGTTCATGCTTCGCTAGTTGTGGTTTCCTGTTAATTCAATGATATATATTACCGTATAATAATAATATATGATGTCTATGTTATGCTATAATAAAATAAATGGATAATGACAAATAAGGTGGTTGCTTTCAACGGATAAATTTATATTACCAATGGACAACGAAAGATTATATTCGGAGATTACTGTTAAAATAAATAGCATAAAAAACCTGAAAACATGCATTAAAGAAATGTTAAAAAAGTTAAAACGCACAAACTGAAAATAAGAACAGCAAATAAACAAAAGTCATGTAAACGGGTTGTCCTATGTTTTGCTACGGTTGATCATGTACCATCTTTTTTCGTTATCGTATATTTGAATAATCATACTATAAAGTGAGCGTTAATACGTAAATGTAAAGTTATAACAAAACTAATCAATCTGGAGAGAAAATTGCAACACAAAGGGGGGCTTGATTAAAACGGATCCATAAATTAGACAGTAATTTACTACAAAAACAATGGAGTATGATTCTAATCGTCTCGATTCCGTTACAACGAACAAATTATTTTCCACTTTATAGTACGTTGAATATTTTTCTCTCGTAAAGGATCATATAGACATTAGTACACTAAGAGTGACTGAGATCAGAGTGTTAGAATTTATTACAAATGACACAGTGCAATGGCCGTTCGGCCATTTTGGTACGACTACCAAAACTTAAGTTACAGAAAAGCATCAACTTAATTAATCATGTTACACACAGCTGGTATGTAATATGTATAACGCAATTATTGCAAGATACCTTCAATTCTACTGTCAGTGTACTCGGCGGGACTGGGTGGTGGGGTCGCTGCCGTCCGCACAGACTTTGTTACGACTGTGGTGACGGTTTGTCGTGTGTGAGGTTCGAGGTGCTCTACTTCGCTAGATACTTTTATTATTTTAACTGAATTATCGAACGAACTACTAGGGCTAAATCTCGAGTCGTCGGAGAAGCTAACTTTTTGTGGAATGCGAGATAGTTTCACAGATTTTATTCCGGCAGCATGATCGCCATCTTTTAATCGAACGAGTGCTTCAGACTCTGATCTAGAAGCTGGATCTACCGTGTGAACCATTGGACCAACAACAGTTTTAGATTTAACGATAATATCCCTTCCACTTCCTGAACTTGGAACGCCCGCAGACGCATCTGTACGTTCCATAGACTTGCGGCCAGGCATCTCTGAATCATGTAAATTACGATTGTCTTGGAAATATGGTTTATCGAACGTGGCATCGTGCTTCAATTCCCTTAAAAACTCAACTACGTCGTTTTTCACGTCGCTACCATCCGAGTACGGTCCCCGTCCCGTGAACTTCGGCCTCGTGTGAGAGGTATCATCGATTCTAGTGTCAGGAAGAACTATTTCGTACAGTTTCTCTGTCGATGAACCACTACTGCCCATTACATTCCTGGGAACGCCTTTCGTAACAGACACTTTTCTTTTTGGTTCATCGAGAACATCTTTCACGCTTTCAGGAACTTCGTCATGATCATGTTTTGAACTTTTAAATAAACCAGAGAGGAACCCACTACTTTTCTCTTTTGCCTTTTTAGCTTCTTTAGCAGCTTTGTCTTTCGCGGATTGTGCAGTGTCAGCAACTGCATCGGCACCCGACGAAATCTTACGTTTTATTGCATCCGCATCTTCCTTGATTTCCTTGGACGCTTTGTCCTTTGCTTGCTGTGCTCCAACAACAACACCATGAGCAGCATCGTGCACTTTCGTGCCAGCTTTCTTCACCCCCTCAGACACTGTGCTACCGATAGATTTTCCAGTATCCTCCGCCTTCTGCACCCCGTCAGATACAAAATCGCCAAACCTGACTGTGGTTTCTCTTGTCGAGGTGGTAACTTTCTCTTTAGAACCCTTCAAACCAGTAAGAGTCTTGTCTTTCACGTCTGCTCCCCCGTCAGCTAGTTCTTGAGCAATTGATAATACTTGTGCTTCAGCGGCTTTGGAACCGTCTGCCAGCTTTTCGCCAATGATTTTTCCACCATCGGAAGCTTTTTGCATACCAATGGACGCCTTTTCGCTAACTGCGTCCTTGGAATCCTTCATAGCTGTAACAACACTATCTTTTGCAGCACTTATATCCTTCATTTTTTCGGCCGCAGCTTTTTGAGCACGAGCTTCTTCCTCTGCGGCCTCTTTCTTAGTTTCATCGAGGAAATCTTTTACATCGTCGGAAACTTCATCAGCTGCATGTTTCACACCTTTGAATAGTCCAGACAGGAAACCGCTGCCCTTCTCCTTAGCAGCCTTAGCTTCTTTAGCGGCTTTATCCTTTGCTGCATGAGCTCCATCAGTCACGGTATCAATGCCTGAGGAAACCTTTTGTTTTACAGCATCAGCATCTTCTTTGATTTCTTTCGACGCTTTATCCTTGACTTCTTTTGCTCCAAGGGCAACACCATGAACAGCTTCTTGCACTTTCGTACCAGCTTTCTTGGCCCCATCAGACACTGTGTCAGTAACAGCCTTACCAGCATCAGCAGCCTTATGGACACCATCAGATACTGCTCCGCTAACCTTGACCTTGGTGTCTTTGACAGAGGTAGCAGCTTTATCCTTCACTGTTTCTGCACTTTCAGCTATGTGTTGAGCCGTTTCCCGACCCTTACTCTCAACAGTTTTCACTCCACGGGCAAGCTTCACACCGACGTGTTTACCAGCATCAGACACTTTCTCTATTCCAACAGATACTTTGTCACTTATTTTGTCCTTCGTGTCATGTACAGCTGCTGCAACTTTATCTTTAGCATCTTTAACATCAGACGCTGCTTTGTCCTTTGCTGCTTCCATACCTTTCATCTTTTCTGCCGCAGCTTGCTTAGCTCGAGCTTCTTCTTCTGCAGCCTCCTTTTTAGTTTCATCAAAGAATTCCGTTATGTCCTCAGAAACTTCGTCAGCCGCATGTTTCACTCCTTTAAACAAGCCGGACAGGAATCCACCACTCTTTTCCTTAGCCTTTTTAGCTTCTTTAAAAGCTTTATCCTTTGCCGCATGTGCACTGTCAGCAACTGTATCGATACCTGAGCAAACCTTTTGCTTTACAGCTTCAGCATCTTCTTCCATCTCCTTCGATGCTTTATCCTTCACCTCTTTTGCTCCAAGGGCGACACCATGAACAGTCTCTTGCACTTTTGTGCCAGCGTTTTTGGCACCATCAGATACTGTATCCGTAACAACCTTACCAGCATCAGCGGCCGTTTGCACGCCATCCGATACTGCACCGCTAACCTTGTCTTTGGTGTCTTTGACAGAGGTTGCTGTCTTGTCTTTAACATTTGTTAAACCAGTAACAATTTTGTCCTTCGCCGCCTCTGCACCTTCAGCCATGTGTTGTACAGCTGCTTGAGTCTTACCCTCAACAATTTCGACACCTTCTGACAGTTTCTCACCAGTTACTTGCCCTGCGTGGGACACTTTTTCGCTTACTTGATCTTTTGCATCCTGTACACTTGTTACAACTTTATCTTTAACATCATTAACACCTGAAACCGCTTTGTCCTTTGCTGCTTCCATATCTTTCATTTTTTCTCCAGCTGCGTCCTGGACTCGAGCCTTTTCCTCAGATGCCTCTCTTTTGGTTTCGTCAAGGAACTCCTTTACGTCCTCAGAAACGTCCTCAGCTGCATGTTTCGCACCTTTGAATAATCCAGACAGGAATCCACTTGTTTTTTCCTTAGCCTTCTTAGCTTCTTTAGAGGCTTTATCCTTCGCTGCATGTGCTCCATCAGCCACAGTATCAATGCCTGAGGAAACCTTTTGTTTTACAGCTGCAGCGTCTTCTTTGATTTCTTTCGACGCTTTATCCTTGACTTCCTTTGCTCCAATGGCAACACCATGAACAGCTTCTTGCACTTTCGTGCCAGCTTTCTTGGCCCCATCAGACACTGTGTCAGTGACAGCTTTACCAACATCAGCAGCCTTATGGACACCGTCAGAGACTGCTCCGCCAACCTTGTCCTTGGTGTCTTTGACAGTGGTTGTTGCTTTGTCTTTTGCTGCCTCAGCACCTTCAGCTACGTGTTGTGCAACTGTTTGCGCCTTGCTCTCAACAATTCCGACACCTTCTGATATCTTTTCCCCAACAACTTTTCCAGCATCGGATACCTTCACGCTTATTTTATCCTTGGTATCGTGTAGAGTTGTTGCAACTTTATCTTTAGCATCTTTCGCGTCAGATACTGCCTTGTCCTTTGTTGCTTCCACATCTTTCATTTTTTCAGCTGCAGCTTGTCTAGCTCGAGCTTCTTCTTCCGCTGCTTCTTTCTTGGTTTCATCAAAGAATTCAGTTATTTCCTCAGAAACTTCGTCAGCTGCATGTTTCACACCTTTAAACAAACCAGACAAAAAACCACTGCTCTTTTCCTTAGCCTTTTTAGCTTCTTTTGCTGCTTTATCCTTCGCTCCATCTGCACTGTCAGCAACTGCGTCCATGCCTGAGGAAACCTTTTGCTTTACAGCATCAACGTCTTCTTTGATTTCCTTTGACGCTTTATCCTTGACGTCCTTTGCCCCTCCAACCACACCCTGTGCAGCTTCTTCTACTTTGGTGCCAACTCTCTTCGCGCCATCTGATACTGTGTCTGCAATAGCCCTCCCAGTATCCACGGTTTTCTCGACACCATCCGATACTGCACCACTAACCTTGTCTTTGGTGTCTGTAACAGAGGCTGTAGCTTTGTCTTTTGCAGCCTCAGCACCTTCAGCTATGTATTGTCCAGCTGCTTGAGCTTTGCCCTCAACAGTTTTGACTCCATCAGCGATCTTTTCACTGGTGACCTTACCAACATCGGACATCTTTTGCATTCCGTCAGATATTTTATCACTCATTTTGTCCTTCGTATCGTGTACAGCAGTTGCCACTTTATCTGTAGTATCTTTAATACCAGAGACTGCCTTGTCCTTTGCTGTTTCCATATCTTTCATCTTTTCTGCTGCAGCTTGCTTAGCTCGAGCTTCTTCTTCTGCAGCCTCCTTTTTCGTTTCATCAAAGAATTCTGTTATGTCTTCAGAAACTTCGTCAGCCGCATGTTTCACTCCTTTAAACAAGCCAGACAGGAATCCACTTCCCTTCTCTTTAGCTTTTTTAGCTTCTTTGGCTGCCTTATCCTTCGCTGCATGTGCACCATCAGCCACAGTGTCGATGCCTGTAGAAACCTTTTGCTTCACAGCTTCAGTATCTTCTTTGATTTCCTTCGACGCTTTATCCTTGACATCCTTTGCTCCGAGAACCACACCTTGTGCGGCCTCTTGCACTTTCGTACCAGCTCTCTTGGCCCCACCAGACACTGTGTCAGTAACAGCCTTACCAACATCAGCAGCCTTATGGACTCCATCAGATACTGCTCCACTAACCTTGTCCTTTGTATCTTTGACTGAGGTTGCAGCTTTGTCTTTCACTGCCTCCGCGCCCTCAACCACGTGTTGTGCAGCTGCTTGAGCTTTGTTCTCAACAGTTTTGACTCCATCAGCGAGCTTCTCACCGGTGACTTTACCAGCATCGGATACCTTTTGCATTCCATCTGATACTTTCTCGCTTACTTTATCCTTGGCATCTTGTACAGTTGTTACGACCTTATCTTTCACATCTTTCACGTCAGACACTGTCTTATCCTTTGCTGTTTCCATATCTTTCATTTTGTCTGCAGCTGCTTCCTGAACACGAGCTTTCTCCTCAGATGCCTCTCTCTTGGTTTCGTCAAGGAACTCCGTTATGTCTTCAGAAACTTCATCAGCTGCATGTTTTGCACCTTTGAATAGCCCAGACAAGAATCCACTGGTCTTTTCCTTAGCTTTTTTAGCTTCCTTAGCAGCTTTATCCTTTGCTGTGTGCGCACTGTCAGTTAAAGCATCAATGCCTGAGGAAACCTTTTGCTTGGCAGCATCAACGTCTTCTTTAATCTCCTTCGACGCGTTATCTTTGACGTCCTTTGCTCCGTCAACAACACCCTGCGATGCTTCTTGTACTTTCGTGCTTGCTTTTTTCACACCATCAGATACTGTATCCGTAACAGACTTACCAACATCAGCAGCTTTATGCACACCATCAGCTACTGCTCCGCTCACCATGTCTTTCGTATCTTTGACAGTGGTTGCAGCCTTGTCTTTTGCTGTTTCTGCACCTTCAGCTATGTATTGTCCAGCTGCTTGTGCTTTGCTCTCAACAGTTTTCACTCCATCAGCAAACTTTTCGCCGGTAACTTTGCCAGCATGGGACACTGTTTCACTTACTTTGTCCTTGGTATCGTGAACTGTTGTTACAACTTTATCTTTAGCATCCTTCACATCTGAGACTGCTTTGTCTTTTGTTACTTCCACATCTTTCATTTTCTCAGCTGCAGTTTGTCTAGCCCGAGCTTCTTCTTCTGCAGCCTCCTTTTTGGTTTCATCAAAGAATTCCGTTATGTCCTCAGAAACTTCATCAGCTGCATGTTTCACTCCTTTAAACAAGCCGGACAGGAATCCACCACTCTTTTCCTTAGCCTTTTTAGCTTCTTTAGCAGCTTTATCCTTTGCTGCATGTGCACTGTCAGCAACTGTATCGATACCTGAGGAAACCTTTTGCTTTACAGCTTCAGCATCTTCGTTGATCTCCTTCGATGCTTTATCCTTCACCTCTTTTGCTCCAAGGGCAACACCATGAACAGCCTCTTGCACTTTTGTGCCAGCTTTTTTGGCTCCATCAGATACTGTGTCCGTAACAACCTTACCCGCATCAGCGGCCTTTTGCACGCCATCCGATACTGCACCGCTAACCTTGTCTTTGGTGTCTTTGACAGAGGTTGCCGTTTTGTCTTTAACATCTGTTAAACCTGTAACAACTTTGTCCTTTGCTGCCTCTGCACCTTCTGCTACGTGTTGTGCAGCTGCTTGAGCCTTGCTCCCAATAATTCCGAGACCTTCTGACAGTTTTGCGTCAGTGACTTTTCCAGCATGGGATATTTTTTCGCTTACTTTGTCCTTTGCGTCGTGTACAGTCGTTACAACTTTATCTTTAGCATCAGTCACGCTGGCGACTGCTTTGTCTTTAGTTGCCTCCACATCTTTCATCTTGTCTGCAGCTGCTTGCTGGGCACGAGCTTTCTCTTCGGATGCTTCTCTCTTGGTTTCGTCAAGGAAGTCCTTTACGTCCTCAGAAACATCCTCAGTCGCGTGTTTCGCGCCTTTGAACAGTCCAGACAGGAAGCCAGTACCCTTTTCCTTAGCCTTTTTGGCTTCTTTGGCTGCTTTATCCTTAGCCGCATGTGCACTGTCAGCAACTGTGTCAATACCTGAGGAAATCTTCTGTTTTACAGCATCTGCATCTTCTTTGATTTCCTTCGACGCTTTATCTTTGACGTCCTTTGCTCCGATAACCACACCCTGAGCAGCTTCTTGTACTTTCGTGCCTGCTTTTTTCGCACCATCAGACACTGTGTCCGTAACAGCCTTGCCAACATCAGCAGCTTTGTGCACACCATCAGATACCGCTTCACTAACCTTGTCTTTGGTGTCCTTGACAGAGGTTTCAGCTTTGTCCTTTGCTGCTTCCATACCTTCAGCTATGTATTGTCCAGCTGCTTGAGCTTTGCTCTCAGCAGTTTTGACACCATCAGCAAGCTTTTCACCGGTGACTTTACCAGCATCAGACACTTTCTCTATTCCAGCAGATACCTTGTCACTTATTTTGTCCTTCGTATCATGTACAGTTGCTGCAACTTTATCTTTAGCGTCTTTAACACCAGACACTGCTTTGTCTTTTCCTACTTCCATGTCCTTCATTTTGTCTGCAGCTGCTTGTTTAGCTCGAGCTTCTTCTTCTGCAGCTTCTTTTTTGGTTTCATCAAAGAATTCCGTTATGTCTTCGGAAACTTCGTCAGCTGCATGTTTCACGCCTTTAAATATGCCAGATAGGAACCCACCGCCCTTCTCTTTAGCTTTCTTCGCTTCTTTTGCAACTTTATCCTTTGCTGCATGTGCACCATCAGCCGCAGTATCGATGCTTGTGGAAACCTTCAGCTTTACAGCATCAGCATCATCTTGGACCTCCTTTGACACTTTATCCTTGATCTCCTTTGCACCAAGGGCCACACCGTGCGCTGCTTCTTCCACTTTCATGCCTGCTCTTTTGGCACCATCTGATACTGTATCAGCAAAAGCCTTTCCAGTATCCACGGTCTTCTCGACACCATCTGCCAATGCACCAGTGACCTTGTGTTTCGTATCTTTCGTAGAAGTAAGAGCCTTGTCTTTAGCTTCCTTTACGCCTTCAACAGCCATGTCCTTTGCTGCTTCGGCACTACCAGCTACGTATTCCACAGCTGCTTGTGCTTTACTTTCAGCAGCTCTAACACTTTCAGACAGCTTTTCACCAGTATGTTTACCAGCATCAGACACTTTCTCTATTCCAGCGGATACCTTGTCACTTACTTTGTCCTTCGCGTCATGTACAGTTGCCGCAACTTTATCTTTAGCATCTTTTACGTCAGAGACGGCCTTGTCTTTTGCTGCTTCCATATCTTTCACTTTTTCTGCAGCTGCTTCCTGGACACGAGCCTTCTCCTCGGATGCCTCTCTCTTGGTTTCGTCAAGAAAGTCTTTTACGTCCTCAGAAACATCCTCACCCGCATGTTTCGCACCCTTAAATAGTCCAGATAAGAATCCACTGGTCTTGTCCTTAGCTTTTTTAGCTTCTTTGGCTGCCTTATCCTTCGCTGCATGTGCACCATCAGCCACAGTGTCGATGCCTGTAGAAACCTTTTGCTTCACAGCTTCAGTATCTTCTTTGATTTCCTTCGACGCTTTATCCTTGACATCTTTTGCTCCGAGAACCACACCTTGTGCGGCCTCTTGCACTTTTGTACCGGCTTTCTTGGCCCCATCAGACACTGTGTCAGTAACAGCCTTACCAACATCAGCAGCCTTATGCACACCGTCAGATACTGCTCCGCTGACCTTGTCCTTCGTGTCTTTGACAGTGCTTGCAGCCTTGTCTTTTGCTGCTTCTGCTCCTTCAGCTATGTATTGTCCAGTTGTTTGAGCTTTGCTCTCAGCAGCTTTCAGCCCATCAGCAAGCTTTTCGCCGGTGACTTTGCCAGCGTGGGTCACTGTTTCACATACTTTGTCCTTGGCATCGTGTACTGTTGTTACAACTTTGTCTTTAACATCCTTCACACCAGATGCTGCTTTGTCCTTTGCTGCATCCATATCTTTCATCTTTTCTGCTGCAGCTTGCTTAGCTCGAGCTTCTTCTGCCGCTGCTTCTTTCTTAGTTTCATCGAAGAATTCCGTTATGTCCTCAGAAACTTCGTCAGCTGCATGTTTCACACCTTTAAATAATCCTGATAGGAATCCACCGCTCTTTTCTTTAGCTTTCTTTGCTTCTTTAGCAGTTTTATCCTTTGCTGCGTGAGCACCATCAGCTACAGTGTCAGCACCTGACGATAACTTTTGTTTCACAGCATCTGCATCTTCTTTGATCTCCTTCGATGCTTTATCCTTAACGTCTTTCGCTCCAAGAGCAACACTCTGGGCAGCTTCTTTCACTTTCGTGCCAGCTTTTTTAGCACCATCAGTCACTGTGTCCGTAACAGCAATACCAACATCAGCAGCTTTGTGCACACCATCAGATACCGATTCACTAACCTTGTCATTGGTGTCTTTGACAGAGGTTGCAGCTTTGTCCTTTGCTGCTTCCGCAACTTCAGCTATGTATTGTCCAGCTGCTTCAGCTTTGCTCTCAGCAGTTTTGACTCCGTCAGCAAGCTTTTCGCCAGCAACTTTACGAGCATCGGATACCTTCTGCATTCCATCTGATACTTTTTCGCTTATTTTGTCCTTCGTGTCATGTACAGCTGTTACAACTTTATCTTTAGCGTCCTTTGCGTCAGCCATTGTCTTGTCCTTGGCTGCATCAATGTCTTTCAATTTTTCTGCAGCTGCTTGCTCGGCACGAGCTTTCTCCTCGGATGCCTCTCTCCTAGTTGCGTCAAGGAAGTCCACAACGTCCTCAGTAACGTCGTCCGCAGTATGTTTCGCACCCTTAAACAGGCCAGATAAGAAACCGCTGCCCTTTTCTTTTACTTTCTTAGCTTCTTTGGCGGCTTTATCCTTCGCTGTGTGAGCACCATCAGTAACAGTATCGATTCCCGATGAAACTTTACGCTTTACTGCATCGGCGTCTTCCTTAAGTTCTTTGGACGCCTTGTCTTTAGCGTCCTTTGCACCGATAACAACATCCTCGGCAAATACATGCACTTTGGTTCCAGCTTTTGTTGCACTATCAGACACTGTGTCAGTAACAGCCTTACCAGCATCAGCAGCCTTATGGACACCATCAGATACTGCTCCGCTAACCTTGTCCTTGGTGTCTTTGACAGAGGTAGCAGCTTTATCCTTCACTGTTTCTGCACTTTCAGCTATGTGTTGAGCCGTTTCCCGACCCTTACTCTCAACAGTTTTCACTCCACCGGCAAGCTTCTCACCGACGTGTTTACCAGCATCAGACACTTTCTCTATTCCAACAGATACTTTGTCACTTATTTTGTCCTTCGTGTCATATACAGCTGCTGCAACTTTATCTTTAGCATCTTTAACATCAGACGCTGCTTTGTCCTTTGCTGCTTCCATACCTTTCATCTTTTCTGCCGCAGCTTGCTTAGCTCGAGCTTCTTCTTCTGCAGCCTCCTTTTTAGTTTCATCAAAGAATTCCGTTATGTCCTCAGAAACTTCGTCAGCCGCATGTTTCACTCCTTTAAACAAGCCGGACAGGAATCCACCACTCTTTTCCTTAGCCTTTTTAGCTTCTTTAGCAGCTTTATCCTTTGCCGCATGTGCACTGTCAGCAACTGTATCGATACCTGAGGAAACCTTTTGCTTTACAGCTTCAGCATCTTCTTTCATCTCCTTCGATGCTTTATCCTTCACCTCTTTTGCTCCAAGGGCGACACCATGAACAGCCTCTTGCACTTTTGTGCCAGCTTTTTTGGCACCATCAGATACTGTGTCCGTAACAACCTTACCAGCATCAGCGGCCGTTTGCACGCCATCCGATACTGCACCGCTAACCTTGTCTTTGGTGTCTTTGACAGAGGTTGCTGTCTTGTCTTTAACATCTGTTAAACCAGTAACAATTTTGTCCTTCGGCGCCTCTGCACCTTCAGCCATGTGTTGTACAGCTGCTTGAGTCTTACCCTCAACACTTTCGACACCTTCTGACAGTTTCTCACCAGTTACTTGCCCTGCGTGGGACACTTTTTCGCTTACTTGATCTTTTGCATCCTGTACACTTGTTACAACTTTATCTTTAACATCATTAACTCCTGAAACCGCTTTGTCCTTTGCTGCTTCCATATCTTTCATTTTTTCTCCAGCTGCGTCCTGGACTCGAGCCTTTTCCTCAGATGCCTCTCTTTTGGTTTCGTCAAGGAACTCCTTTACGTCCTCAGAAACGTCCTCAGCTGCATGTTTCGCACCTTTGAATAATCCAGACAGGAATCCACTTGTTTTTTCCTTAGCCTTCTTAGCTTCTTTAGAGGCTTTATCCTTCGCTGCATGTGCTCCATCAGCCACAGTATCAATGCCTGAGGAAACCTTTTGTTTTACAGCTTCAGCGTCTTCTTTGATTTCTTTCGACGCTTTATCCTTGACTTCATTCGCTCCAATGGCAACACCATGAACAGCTTCTTGCACATTCGTGCCAGCTTTCTTGGCCCCATCAGACACTGTGTCAGTGACAGCTTTACCAACATCAGCAGCCTTATGGACACCGTCAGAGACTGCTCCGCCAACCTTGTCCTTGGTGTCTTTGACAGTGGTTGTTGCTTTGTCCTTCGCCGCCTCTGCACCCTCAACCATGTGTTGTGCAGCTGCTTGAGTCTTGCTCTCAACAAATCCGACACCTTCTGACACTTTTTCGCCCGTGACTTTTCCAACATGCGACACTTTTTCGCTTACTTTGTCCTTTACATCGTGTAAAGTTGTTACAACTTTACCTTTAACATCTTTCGTATCAGCTACAACCTTGTCCTTCGTTGCTTCCGCATCTTTCATTTTCTCAGCTGCAGCTTGTCTAGCTCGAGCTTCTTCTTCTGCTGCTTCTTTCTTGGTTTCATCAAAGAATTCAGTTATTTCTTCAGAAACTTCGTCAGCTGCATGTTTTGCACCCTTGAATAATCCAGACAGGAATCCACTTGTTTTTTCCTTAGCCTTCTTAGTCTCTTTAGAGGCTTTGTCCTTCGCTGTGTGTGCACCATCAGCAACTGCGTCCATGCCTGAGGAAACCTTATGCTTTACAGCATCGACGTCTTCTTTGATTTCCTTCGATGCTTTATCTTTGACATCCTTTGCTCCGACAATCACACCCTGTGCCGTCTCTTGCACTTTCGTGCCAGCTTTCTTGGCCCCATCAGACACTGTGTCAGTAACAGCCTTACCAACATCAGCAGCCTTATGCACACGGTCAGATACTGCTCCGCTCACCTTGTCCTTCGTGTCTTTGACAGTGCTTGCAGCCTTGTCTTTTGCTGCTTCTGCTCCTTCAGCGATATATTGTCCAGTTGCTTGAGCTTTGCTCTCAACAGCTTTCAGTCCATCAGCAAGCTTTTCACCGGTGACTTTACCAGCTTGGGTGACTGTTTCAGTTACTTTGTCCTTGGAGTCGTGTACAGTTGTTACAACTTTATCTTTCGCATCTTTAACGCCGGAGACTGCCTTGTCTTTTGCTTCCTCCATATCTTTCATTTTATCTCCAGCTGCTTGCTGGGCACGAGCTTTCTCCTCAGATGCCTCTCTCTTAGTTTCGTCAAGGAACTCCTTTACGTCCTCAGAAACATCCTCACCCGCATGTTTCGCACCCTTAAATAGTCCAGATAAGAATCCACTGGTCTTGTCCTTAGCTTTTTTAGCTTCTTTGGCTGCCTTATCCTTCGCTGCATGTGCACCATCAGCCACAGTGTCGATGCCTGTAGAAACCTTTTGCTTCACAGCTTCAGTATCTTCTTTGATTTCCTTCGACGCTTTATCCTTGACATCCTTTGCTCCGAGAACCACACCTTGTGCGGCCTCTTGCACTTTTGTACCGGCTTTCTTGGCCCCATCAGACACTGTGTCAGTAACAACCTTACCAACATCAGCAGCCTTATGAACACCATCAGATACTGCTCCGCTAACCTTGTCCTTTGTATCTTTGACTGAAGTTGCAGCCTTGTCTTTTGCTGTCTCGGCACCTTCAGCTATGTATTGTCCAGCTGCTTGAGCGTTGCTCTCAATAGTTTTGACTCCATCAGCAAGCTTTTCGCCGGTGACTTTGCCAGCATGTGACACTGTTTCACTTACTTTGTCCTTGGCATCGTGTACTGTTGTTACAACTTTATCTTTAGCATCCTTCACGCCGGATGCTGCTTTGTCCTTTGCTGCATCCATATCTTTCATCTTTTCTGCTGCAGCTTGCTTTGCTCGAGCTTCTTCTTCCGCTGCTTCTTTCTTAGTTTCATCAAAGAATTCTGTTATGTCCTCAGAAACTTCATCAGCTGCATGTTTCACACCTTTAAATAAGCCTGAGAGGAATCCACCACCCTTCTCTTTAGCTTTCTTGGCGTCTTTAGCAGCTTTATCTTTTGCTGCGAGTGCTCCATCAGCCGCAGTATCGATGCCCGAGGAGACTTTTTGTTTTACAGCATCTGCACCTTCTTTGATTTCCTTCGATGCTTTATCCTTGACTTCCTTTGCTTCGACAACCACACCCTGTGCAGCCTCTTGCACTTTCGTGCCAGTTTTCTTTGCACCGTCCGATACTGTGTCAGTGACAGCCCTACCAACATCAGCCGCTTTATGAACACCATCAGTCACTGCTCCGCTAACCTTGTCTTTGGTGTCTTTGACAGTGGTTGCAGCTTTGTCTTTTGCTGCCTCAGCTCCTTCAGCTACGTGTTGTGCAGTTGCTTGAGCCTTGCTCTCAACAACTCCGACACCTTCCTTCAGTTTTTCGCCAGTGACTTTGCCAGCATCAGATACTTTTTGCACTCCATCCGATACTTTCTCGCTTACTGTGTCCTTGGTACTCTTTACAGCTGATGCGACCTTATCCTTTGTGTCTTGTATGCCGATCGCTGCTTTGTCTTTTGCTGTTTCCATATCTTTCATTTGTTCTTCCGCTGCTTTCTGTGCTCGGGCTTGTTCATCTGCTGCCTCTTTCTTGGTTTCGTCAAGGAACTCCATTACGTCTTCCGACACTTCGTCTGCTGCATGCTTAGCACCCTTGAATAAACCTGATAGGAAGCCTGAACCTTTTTCTTTAGCCTTTTTAGCTTCCTTCGAAGCCTTGTTTTTTCCTGCTTCCGCACTGTCTACAATAGTCGAAATTCCTTCCTTCGTAACGTCGTGTGCTTTTTGTATAGGTTCGTCCGCTTTGTCTGTAACATCTATTGTAGCGTTTGCAATATTTTGAGTATCTTGTAAGAATTTCGCCGTAGTTTCACGTAACGATTTATCTATGCTTTGACTAGAATCTTCTTGCGCGGGTGTTTTTTCCCGTGATCTACTTCTGGAGTCTCGGGATAGTTTTGGGCTTCTAAATTTGCTCAGAATTCCGCTTCCCTTATCTTTATCTGTGGTTTCTATAATAGGTACACTGATGGGTTTTGTTCCATCATCCGCTTGATGCATAGTGTCTGCGGTTTTCTTTGTATCTTCTAAGAATGTTGCTGTTATTTGCCGTGTTTCTTCGTCTCCACTATCAAAGGATGCTTCTTTGGAAGAGCTTTTCTCTCTCGAAGCGCTCCTCTTCTTACTCCTGAGCTTTGGACTTTTAAACATGCTAAAGAAACCGCCGCTTTTATCTTTGGTTTCCTCATTCTGATCTTTTTGATCTTCGATTGATCTTTCCAAAGAATCTGATTTTGTCTCGATACGTTTGTCCGGACTTTGTTCTTTTTGCAATGTATCCTTAGCTTTTTTGCCATCTGATTTTCCATTCATATCTCTATGTGGAGTACTTCTGTCTATTTCTGCTTTCTTTTGCACTTCAGAAATATCGTACGAATGCCCATTTATTTTGTCCTTTGGAATATCTTCATCGTAGTAAACCGGTGAAATGAAGGTATGCAAATTATTTTTAATCACTGTCTGTCTATCATCGATCGTAGGAACTGGATAAACAGCTGTGCTTTCGGCAGTTTTCCGCGTATCGTCCAGGAATTTTTCCGTAGCATTTCGAAGCTCTTCGTCACCGCTGTCGAAGGATGCTTCTTTGGACTTCTTCAATTTCTTTTCTTTCGACTTCGGACTCTTGAACATACTAAAGAAACCGGAGCCCTTGTCTTTGTCCTGATCGTTTGAATCGCTAGAAACAATTGTAGGACGATCAGGCGCATCTTTAGTCGTTGGTTTCATATCGTGTTTTGTTTCTACTTGGGTTACGGTTGCTGTGACTTCTGGTACCGGTTTTGTAACCGATGCAGTTCGCCTCGTGTCGTCTAAGAACTGCATAGTCGCCAATTTTATGTCAGGCGCTGTACTTGTTTCAGCTGGTTTCAAATCTGTTTCAATTTTATGCTGTACAACCGTAGGAACTGATTTTGCTTCTTCGTCGCCGCTATCGAAGGAGGCATCCTTTGAACCGGGTTGTTTCGTTTTCTTAAGCTTGGATCCCTTAAAGATTCCCGAAAGTATGCCACCACTTTTATCCTTTGATTTCTTCGATTCGTCTTCCTGTTTATCATCGTGTTTTACAGGGGGAATCTGTGCACTGTAAACGTCTTCGTACGCAGATATTTGTTTATCAGTCACAGGTTTCGTATCTTTTGGAATGTTAGTTTTAGCTCCCGTTTCCCTGGGTGACAATTGCTTTTGTTCGTCTCGTTGAACCTCTTTAATTTTCGCTGGTACTTGTTTTGTGCTTTCCTTCCCAAAACTTACGCTCGGTGTTGACATTTCGTCGAGTTCCTTACCTTCCTTAGACAACATTTCCTTCTTACTAACAACATCCTGAATACCACTAGAAATTGTCACTGTATCTTTAGGCGAAGTTGGACCAACTTGCTTCATTGTTATGGTTTGAGTTATTACAGGTTGATGTCCTGTTTTATCGTCGCTTCCCGAAACTACAGTTTTGGACGTAACAACCGTTACATTACAATCGCGCTTCCCGTTACGAACATAATGTTGTTTCACTATCGTCGGTTCGATGACCGGCGCGCCATGTATTTGTTCGATAATCGGTTTTTCCGATCTAATGCCCTTATCCTTTAGTTCCCTTTCACCTAACTGATCTCTAAGAAAACTTTCAACTATAGCACCTCTTGCCACTTTACTGTCCCGCGTATCATCATCACAAACCACCGACCACCCTTCCTTCGCTAACTTCCCCTTCTCTTTCTCTGCGTCTGCTATTACACCTGTTAATTAAGTATTACATATTTTAGGCATCTGTAAACGTGGCAAAATAAAAAGAACACATTTTTATTTCATTTCATCATGATTAGTGTAAGCCAGCTTTCTCGAAATTGCTCATTGTTTGAGAACAGCGGTTAAACTCTCGTGTAGTTTGTGCGTACAGTGTATGTGCTATGGAGCAGCCATCTTTATCTCAGTTAATTTATACGAATTTACAATTTACCAACTATTACATTCACTTTCGATAAATTTAACGTTCTGCATTTAAACTACAATTTTAAATATAATACAATTAATACCAGATGGTTCATTGAAAAAATCATTGATCTGATTATATTTTCAAAACAGTTAATATTATAATAAGAATGTAATAAAGAACTGGTGTATAGTATTAATGCTTTTAGACGAATTTGTTTAACATTGTGACAGCTGCTCCGTGCGCTCGCACAGTTAGGCCACACATATTGGCCGCTCATGCAACGCCAAAAAATTGCAGCGAACCTTGCTGAAACAAATTAATGGGTCGTGTCGAAGAAATAGAAGGCTATTAGTGGGTCATTAAATGAGACACAGAATTTGCATTATAATACAATAGTTATGGAATGTCATTGATAGAGCAAAAAGAAATAATCCGTTACGTAATTAAAATAAAAGCAAGCTGATTCAATTCGAAGAGATCCGCATCGGCGCTCCAGAACCTGCGAGTGAAAGTAGAAGATGATAAAATAAAAGGAAATAAATGTTCTAATGCCGACAATTTTCCACAAACTAAGAACTTTGACGCTTGTGTATCGTGTCCAGAATCAATACCGCGCTATAATTCTAGAAGTCGCCTTCTAGAAGAAGAAGGAGGTCTTCGAGCACAATTTAAAAGTACACCTGCTGAATATTACTGTTATTAAAAATCAAATTAATTGTTCAGTAAGTCGTGGTGTGGTGTGCACGTCACATAAATGTTGTTCTCAAAACAATCACATTCACTGTGAGTCGTAGATGATTAAAAGATCAGTTTGTGCATAGTAATACAGGACAAGTCACGAGAAACACAACACCTGAGCAGCCATATTGAATTTCAAGACAAGAAAAATGTTCAGGACAAGATTCAGACGGTTTCAAGAGTAGAAGATGTTAAAAGCAAGTTTTCAAATTATCGGACGTCTTTTCAAAATAATTCTGTAAATTTTTATTTTATCTGTTTACAACATACAAGGAATAAATAGAAATTATTTCATTTACACTAACCTTTGATAACGACAATCGGTTATAAAGTGACTTTAAAAGAGAAGTAATTATGTTCAGCATCTTTGTCCTTTAAAAACTTTTACACTTTGCACTACATTCTTTGTATCTTCAAATCCATGATACTTCAGCGTTTTGTTTCTTGTGACCTGCCCTGAATCAAGAACTGCATGATGCCATTAGAGAAAAAAATTGTGAAATTAGAATAATAATTTACTTGTAAGAACTCCATTTCAAGATGGTCGATCCAACGCTCATGGAGCTCGTTTAAGTTTCTTTGAATGTTTAAAGTACGGTAGTACTTCCTCGTGTTAAAAAATTAATCTGTGTCTATCAAACGTCTTCTATCGAAACTGATGAATTCTCACGCAAAAAACTGCAGGTAAGTCAAGTGCATGCATACTTAACGGATCTGCAAAGTCACTTTTCGAGGAAACTAATTGTCATACGAAAACAGTTTATTTTACAGTTCCGATTTATTTTTGCATTAGACCTCGTCCCTTTTTGGTTTACCACGCCATACTTTGCACGTTATATCCAATTAAAGTGTACACACGTAATTACTACTTCTTAAAAAATTGAAGGTACAAAGCAATTGCCTGCTCTGGAGGGAAAATATTTTAATTATAATACTTTGGAACGCTTCAAATTATCTTTCACAGAGGCAGAATTAATATTAAAGTACAATCTATCGATAGAATATTTAATAATTCATTTGTGCGAGTTTATTTGTACATATTTCAACTTCACTTAAATTTCTTAAATGCGTTAAATGAGAGATAAAAGTTAAATGAGAGATAAAAAAGTTAAAAAATATTTAAATTCTGATGTAGAACCAATATAGATACTACATCCATAAACATAAATGTACTAATGCAGGTCAATTCAATTATTCTTATCACGTAAGTTGAAAGCGACAACGAAATTTAATAAATGTCAATATTTTCATGGACACAGAGATATCTGATAAACGACTGAATCACAGTATATTTCCTTTACTTCGTTATGTGCGCGTTGGAACATATTAAAGTCGTTCGATATTATACTTCTCCTTCCAATTCAAGCAAGGTTTACACGAACAGTCTTTTTAGTATCTTCAATAATTTAAAAAGTGTTGCACGTAAACACTTAATCCGGACATACTGTATATTAAACTATCGTTATTTCAGTAATAATCAACATACAGTCGTTAAAAGTAAAACACTAAAGCCGACATTTATAAAATATTGCACTTAATCCATCGAAGCTACAACGAGTATCATTGAAATATTTCAGAATACGTATTTAAATAATTCGCGACGGTACTTTAACGACGAAAATAACAGCTACATTTTCGCGTAAATAGCGATGAACAATAACAATGAACACGATATCACTAGAAGCGAAATCTTAAATACAAAGCTATTTAGTGATTCGAATTTGGTCGACAAATGGTTAATATAAGTTGTCCTCGAACCAAGCGTGATATTATCGCGTTACATTAATCATGCTGCGTATTCTTTAAAGAAGATATGTAATCGCGGATGATAATTCTTCTATAAATTATGCTGTTTCCATTACGCGTTTTGTTTTGCAGCTAATCGAAGCGCGGCCCCTCAACCCACCATTTCTCCAAATAAAACTCAAATCACTTACCGTCAACTATTTTGTTGGCGTCTGCGATCACCCTTTGTCGTTTTTCATCTTCGTCAAGTTCGTCGCGTGATTTTTTACTCATCGTATCGGCAACGTGACATTTTTGTTCGATAAATTCGGCCATAACATCCCCAAGTTCTTTTTCGTCGCTTGCATATTTATCTTTGATGGGGGTCGAGGTTCCGTTGAATACAGTGCCGTTTGTGATTGTGACATGCTGTTTCGCTGTTAAGTGCAAAGAGATGTGATTTAAACAGCGTGATGAAACGATTTAGCATAGTGGTTCTTAATTTATGGTCCGCGGAAGATAGATTTTTTGGGGGTTCACGAACTTGCATATAGAAAATTTTAATATTTATTTTCGTTGCACACATTATGCCTAAAAGTATCAACTTTTTATTTTCAATGCTATTCTATGTTTTCCTATCAAATATAAATTCTATACATTATTTTGTGAAACGTTACTTGGAAAATGTGAATAAGCTCCATTAAACTAAAAAGGGAACCGTGGAAAAAAAAAAGATTAAGAACCACTGATCTAGCCGATTTGTTATCAAAGCACACGCGTCAAATGTAAAATTCAAAGCAAATGCATTTACAAGCAAATGTCATTTTTTTTATCTGCTTGGTAAACACAATATCTTAATTCAAGAGATTGCAGAATTATATTAAATAAAATTATTAAATATGCCATCACATCGAATCTTATGCGATGCAAATGAACATCTCGAATGTACAGCGGTAGCATGAATGGATTACTAAGAAACGTAAGATAAAACTTATGAGTTAATACATTTTTTTTTTTAGCTATGACACGGAGAGCCGGTGTATTATTCATAGAGAAAAATGCAAGCAGTGACGTCATATCCTTTCTAATGCCGTAATCACACAAGTGTAGCATTAAATGTAATTTTGGCCGAAAAATATTGTTTATATCACATTTAGAAAAATTTAGTAGAAAATAATACAATTGAATAAGATTTTAAAATACATACATGGTGTATCACGTTTAGTGCCAGTAATACTGAGGTCTTCCATAGATTCAGACTCCTAAAGAATAAATTATTTAAATAACAAACCTTTCGAAAATATATTACAATTTGTAACTTTTAATATATTTGAAAATTAAAAATTAAAAATGATTATTTGTCACGATTAATTTGCTTCTCTTACGCTAAATGTAAATTTTCGAAAATTTGGACTCTTTCAATTACTTTAAATTTATTTTAGAAATATCAATTAGGAATATTCACATTTATGTTTGAAAATACAAACCTTAGTTCTATTAAGTTCATAATCTGGATCCATTTTAGGATCCATCGTCGCGTCACGACGTAGGGAAGTATCCCTTGAAGGTCCCAATTCTTCTTTCAAAGAATCGAATCCAGGTTGATCTAATCGAACTCTGGCAACTGCTTTTTCTACGTCATCGGTTACCAGTTCGACGTTAAATATACATTTTTTCACAATATCTTCGCGGCCAATTTTATTCAACGCCTTTTCTAATGTATTTCCTACACATAAAAATATATTCCTGCTTTTAGCACGCAGTAACGAGCATGCATTTTAAATTTATAATAAAAGTTATATATCCGCGATTTAACAGTAAGGATAAGAAGTATAGGTCATCGATATTTGTACACCTTGGAGACAAGTTAAAATACATCTTATATGCTTCAACGATGTTCATATAAATAATTAAAAATTTCTCAATCTCAAGTAAAAACACAATTGATAACGACCTATTTTTCATTGAAAATAATTTTGCTTTTAACGATCACAGACCTGAAGTCACTGATATTTGACATCTTTGACAAGGGGACTTCCTAAATAGCAATAATAGTTCACTGACGTGTGTATTTGTCGCGTCGTTTTCGTATTCTTGATACAAAGATATAAACATATTTACGTTTATGCCTCACCAGGAATAAAAAATAAAAATTAGGACAAAATTATGTCGCACAAACAAGAAGCACGGAAGACACTTGATACACTATCACTTTCACTGTATTCTTACCGGGGTAAAGCGCACTTCTGTTTATTTTAACCGACCGCAGCACAGAAATGATGTGCTATGTGCATTGTTGCTGTGTGTCAGTGTCATTAGTATTGGCAAAAAGGGGGGGAAAGGAGTCCATAGGTTTATGTCAGGCATAATAATGCAAGGATGAGATCACCAACTACGTTGCTCCTCAGATTCCACGCGTCTTAGTCAAACACAAATGTCTGATTAATTGACCTTGCCGAGAAACAGGTTCTCTTTCAATTTTGCTATTTGCTACTATATTTAATAGTTTTCGTTTGATTCATTGATTTCTACACGTACCACATAATGTACGAAAAATTTTAAAACAATACTACCCATATTCCTGAGTAGAAACAATGTTATTATAAAAAGTCTTATAAGATTCTATTTATTACAATTAACGCTAAATTCGAAGGTAAGAACATAATGACTAAAATTAACGGAATAGCAATTGACTGTTAGCAATCTACTAAATATAGAAGCAAAGTAACTTGAAATCTGCGTACAAGTTCACTGATTCAACAGGAGAGTGAGTAAACCATTAAAATATTGTAGTACGTGGAATTATTTTATACTGTACTTAGTAAGTGTATTTATGAAGCTAATATGAATACTTGGAATAGTATATGTCAAAGTATCAATAATACTGCTATTGTAATCTGTTTAATATTAGAGCTGATGTATTAGATATTTTTATGTATTTAAATACCGATTAAAAATATATGAAAATATACAGATGGGTGCCCAATTATGTACAATAGATATTTATCATTCAACTAGAATTATAGTAATACCCGCCATATTAATTTCTTTAATTTCAAAATAACGCTACTTTATGAATTTTCAATATTTTACATTTACTTTATCTCAACCTATAACCGAACTCATATTTGACACAATTTTGTTTATACTTTGTATTTAAATATAGATCTGACCGGTTATCGCTTCCGCAATAGAAATAGATTTATGTCAAATGCATTTCTTGCTCAGCCGTTATCTAAATAAATATTAACACATCCACTGTCTACATAAGCAGAAGTGGGTGTCGGTCATCCATTCTAAGAAGTAATATAATTTCCAAGTCAAAGCTACTTTGATCCATACATAGGGCAGAGGACAACGAACCTGATAATCACATTATTATAAACAAATTTGGAGAAATCACATAATAAATATATGTAAACGATTTTGAAACAATCGATCGAATAGTTTTTTCCTTATAAATTGTTAAAGGTCCCTTTTTTAAGGCGTTCCAAGTGAAATCCTTTATGGTTAACGGGGTCATAAAGAATTTACTCTGCAAGTTGGCGAGCGTCGTACGAGGACAAGCATATGACATCATTGTTTTTATTAGACAGACACATAAAATATTTTGTCTGCGAGTACTGCAGCCTATACGTATTTTTTACACGGACTGTGCACGCAACAGTAATGCGATAATACACCAGTCGTAATACGAAGAAAATTCCTCGGGTCCCCGTATAGTGACCGTCGAGCGTAAAAAGTTGCTCGATAAGATACACTTCGGAATATTTCTTAGAAGTGTAAATATATCGCGTAATGACATAAAACTTACCTGTAGCTTTATTTCCATTACTCTGCCAAATCTTTAGCATTGCTGCAGCTTGCTGGGCAGGTTTATTAGAATACTCTTCTTTGATGGACGTCACTTCGTTCGGCGGAATATTTAATTCCTCCGCGAGTTTCTCCCAATCTGTGTCCAATAAATTCGCGATGTCGGTTATTCGTATGGTTGCCCTGTGAATGGCGTCTGGGCGACCTGAACATATAATTAACATTTATGCAACTCTCGTAGATTCCATGCTGCGCGTTATCCCCGTGTGAATCTACATACTTATGCCGCCGTCGCGTAGAAAACTATAATTCTTCGAGAGCTCTAGTAGATCGACTTCCGAGACTGTCTGTTCCGGTGATATTTTTTCTGGCAATAAAATATTCAAAGTGCATATCGGCGTTTGCGGCAATTCACCCTTGGGAACCTTTGGTTCGCTCATAAACATAATGCGACCCATCATATCGGCGGCATCCGGATCTTTTATTCTTGCTGTAAATGGTACTCTATTTTCTTTGAAAGCACTAAACGGTAGCTGAAGCTGCTCGCCGCTCTTTAATACCGGCACAAGGTTGCCCGAAAATTCCATATACTGCGTCTTTCCTTCCAAGACCTGGGAAAACAAATTTACAAGGTGCATACGCGTAACAATGCGATCATTATAATGAATGATTCACGCGACTACAGTCACTGACAAAAGTCTACGTATAAACTGTATAATAATCGTAAAATTTTTTCTCAGAAACTTTGATATAATTTAGGTTACAAAGGGCTAACAACTTGTTTATGAAACATCAGAGGTATATTAAATTTTGTAAAAATTCTTCTTATAATTTTACACATTGATACTTTTTTGGTTCTCCTTTCTAGGTACAAAGAATCCTATAACGATTTACCCTTACTTTGGCTTTTCGTGCCAGATTAGGGTGGTGCATGTAAACTTTTGCAATTGATTGTATGTCCATTTTTACCTCAACGTCCCGACTCTTCGCAACTTCCGTAAAGTGTTCTTGGTTCTCTAAAGTCTTATCTTCTTTATCGTCAGTCATACAGAAAACGCGTAACCTTGCTTCCAACGGATCTACTCGCTTTGCAAATACTACAAACCTGCGGAGGAAATGCATTTCAATAACGTTTTACGATCAAGTAAGATTGTAATCATGCAGGTAAAACGCAATTTATTGATGCTGCGAATACGATTTGCACTGATTAAAAAAATGTTTTCTACAATATCCCGTATTTGATCGCAGATATAGATTTTTTTTCTCTTTTTTTTAATTTGATGCACCGATTTGAAGCGTATACAAAAATATTCCTATTAACTGTGACTACATGAAATACTCTATGTATGTAGTTCTGTAAGCACACTACCGATCAAAAGTTTAGGTAAACCTACGATATCTACAGTTTGCGGATAAATATGAGATCGGGCGTGTACTATTTGATCATTTTTAAATTTTGTACAATGTAAACAGAAATAGAAGAAGGAATTCTGAAAGAAGTTGTGGGTTTATGATGAAGTGTTCTTCAAGAAAATCAAAATGTCTATGTTATGAAGGGTAGTACTAAAATATAAAGATGGTTTGATGAAAAGAATGCATTATAATAAATGTAAAACAATTTATGTTATGTTCGAATATATTTCATTCTACGATAGTTAAATATACGAATTCCTTTCTCGTTAAATACGTGTACCAAAACTTTTGAATGGTAATGTAAGTGCTATACGAAATAAAAGTTCTTTCCATACTCGAATGCATCTTACCACACAGAAAAATTGTTAACTTTCAGAAGATATCGATCCGATTTTTAGAGGAAATGTTCTACCTGCGATTACGGTAAGTAAATTTGTTTTTCTTTTTTTTTTTCTTTTTCTTTGAACGTTTAATCTGAGATATTTTAAAAACGTACTTAGCCATAAAAGGTACGTGTGTCGCATGTGTGTATAGCTCTGTAGCCATTTTCGTGGCTTCGGAAATATTCCGACAATCCATTAACCAGAAGCGAGCAGATACTGTGGTAGTAAAGGAAACGCAATCTTTGACGAACGTCAGCGGCGTCGAACCTGTGACATCCTCCCAGACTGCCCGAGACTGACCCCCTGAACGACATACATACCAAGTCCAATAACATTATTAAAATATGTCCGTGTTGCGAGCACAGAATCGACAGAAGTGAAATGTGTTGGACTGATCCGATGAGACCGAGATTAATTACAATTAAGACACTCCCGCGGCTAGAATTTTGAAGCTCCCTTTGATCGTCCAATATTCTCTAACATAGGATCTTTCCTCTAACTTGAGCATTTAAAATATTTCTGTTGCTATCAACAATATAAAATAACGTTTCAGGCAGCAGCAGTTTCGAAATAATTCTATTTTTGAATTAAATTTTAGTTATTTGCTATAAAAGAAATACTTGCAAATGAAATTCAAAACTGCAAAAGCTGTCTAAGAGCATATTCTTCAAGAATTAAAACTTCTGAATCAAAATTTTAAAGTAGCGAGTTGTGCATTTAATCTAGAATCAATTCAACCAATAATAGCCCAGTGTGTTGTTGTATAAAATAAGAAGTACTTAATTCGCTAGAAAAGTTTAAACTTACGTGTTATAACGCAAGATCACACGTTAAAAGATATATTAATGAACTAGCATCACCAATAAATATATTTCAAACTGACAACACTAGAAAAAATTCTATGACATAAATTTTGTTGTTAACATATAAAGTAATTGGCTATCTACGCATAGAGACAAAGTACACAGATAAACATTTAAGAGGTCTTACTACACACGGAAAATTAAAATAACTGGATTTGTTTGTAACTCCAAACAACTGATAACTCCATACATTATAGCATGGTTGTTTCAAATTTCGAATGATCAATAAAATTTGTATTTAATATCGGTCACCATGAGTGCGTTGATGTTAAGTGCTCTATCGTGTGTGAGTAATATAAAACGAAACAAATGTTGACCGAATGATAATGCTTGCCAAATGAAGAAAAAGCGTCATTCAAAAAAATCGCGCAGAAAGCAAACGCGAATTATGTGGGTATGCGTTTAATGTGATATAAGCGATAAAGAAACAAAATTTTGTGAAATAATAGTAATAAAAGCGCGTCGTTATGTATGTCAAAAATATACCTTCTGTTTCTTATAACGTCGGTAGATTTTGGAAAAGTTTGTTAGCATTTGACGATTTTGTATTATTAAATAAATAGAAACGAGATTTAAAAAAAAAAAAAGAAATATTAAGACGGAGAATAGAGAATTTTATACTCGTAACATTTTTGTATATAAATTTGTTAACGCTTGAACAAAGAAAACAGAGCGTGGCTGCAACAAATTTGTAACATTAAAGTAACGACAATTGTTAGTCTTCATATCGGTAACGTGACGTATGATACATATTACAATGATCTAAGAATACATATATCATAGATACACAATTTTTGTAAAAGTCATGAATTACAAGCCTAATATCGAAGCAGTTACCAGTCAAACGAATGTGCTGAAACAAAAACTTTGAAGTTAACGCTTACAATGAGCTAGGTAGTAAAACTTTATCTACGTTAATTAATAATCCATACCTAAATGACTCAATCCTAACAATATGCAAGCATTAACAATGAATCACAACAAGATATGTATACAACAATGGTACTCAACGAAATGTTTCTATGAAACATGCAGCTACCATCTCCCTTTTAAATCTCTATCCGAAGGTCTCCGGGACATGTGACTGAATTGCGTTTGGAGACATTATTAGAACATAATCGTACTTCTTATAACATCATCGTTTCGCGTTACAGAACACCGTCTAAATATTTAAGTAGCTATTCGAATGTTTTTATTGCCCTTTCGAACGCTTCGAAACCGTTTGTTATGATGCGTAGTAACCGACAGTATACGTAGCTATGATGTAATCGTAATTGTGCCATACGAAGAGGCTTTTAATGCAGTCCCGATGACCTGAGAACAGACGAAGATGCCTACCGCCCGCGTCATGCCTACTAAACTACAAATTGATCTTCGAATGCGTAAGATGTCTGATAAGAGCATATATACACCAAAGGTGTTGCGGCGTAACAGTTTCAGCACTTATCGGTAAGAGATTCTCCAGTAAGACGGTACGCTGCTCTACAATGTTACGTGCAAGCATATATTACCAGTTATGCTGCACAGAAGTCTCAACGTCGGCGCGTCTCCCGAATATTGATTGATCATGCCTTTGTTGGCTGCTTGCGGTACAGGTATAGTTAAGGTTATTGGTTTATGGAATTTTCTTCGTCTTGGTTCAACGGTTACGATCGGTGACACTGCCACTCTGTTACCAAGAAGTTTAGCTACGAGATCTGCTGGTATCGGATGTGCCTAAACATAAATACAATCCTCCACAGTCTAATACGTTTTGCAGTAACCAATATACTTGGCACTACGATTAGACATTCTTATGGATAACCGGAAACGCGATTCTACGTAAAAAAGTACAACAAAAACGTAAAATTAGTTTTTGTTGTATAGAACTCCGATCTTAGGGAGATTAATTTTGAAATTATATGGGCTACACGTTTGAATAATCAAGTCTCAACTTCATTGATCCATCAATATGTCCTATAACGCTTATACCTGAAGTATGAAACATTATAATTATCAAATTATCATTTGGAAAATTCGTGGCCTCATCCACTGATGGTGATACTATTCAAGTTTTTATAAGTATCGTTAGAAATTGTAAGATTATCGCTGGTGTTAATATTAAAAAGTAAACGACAAATACCTGAAGCCCAACTCGAATTTTTTTAGTAAGAGCTGCTGGTGGAAAGACAGCTTGAACTTGTGGGACAGCCGATGAGGAGACTGTGCCACCTTCAGGGCCAACTGCATGCACCTCTTGCCTAATGCGAGACACTACTGCGAAGTAATGCGGGAAGTCTGCAGTGAGTATCCTTACAATCCGTGATGTTTGGAGATCCTCGAGCTGGCTTAATTCTGAAACAGTAACAGCATACGTTTCGTAAGTCCAACTATGCCAGTCAAGCTTGGTAAATGGATGGTCAACAGGAGGTAAAAAGTATTCGACTGAATAAAAGAGTAAATAAAATAAAACGATCGTACCTTCTCCTTCAAAGCTCTCGTTAAGCACATCCTGGACAGCCTCCTCGCTGGCTTCCAAGGTGTGCTCGCGCCAAGTTTCTCCGTTGTCCGATCGAAGAATTACTATTTCTCGTTCCTTTCCTCGCAACGAAGCAAAATGAGGTACCTCTATGATCACGGGCCTGTTTGGAAGAAATTGAAAACAATTTAACATGTTATATTTTCATCTTTGTACGACGGTTTATAGGCACAACAGTTTTTGAATATTTTAGAATTAAATCTGTAAACTTTGTTGATTACGAAATTATATAGATTTCTCAATGTTCAGCATACCCTAAAAATTTGGCGCCCACGGGTCCAAGTTCAAGAATACGGCTGGCTAGAGCCTCCCCCTCCATCAAAGGTGGTGGGTTGGTCAATTTGTCTCTCCTTAAATATCTGCAGGTGACACGCATTGGCATTGCAGCTTTCCTAGGAGGAACGATTACACGCACTCCGCTGTGCCTGCAACCTCGCATTGCACCGCCTCGTGCATCCACCAGAAAGGAAACCAGGAAGCTGTCATTTACATAAAATAACGGGTTTACCAAAAATTTAAGGTCCCAAGGCGACGAACGAAAATGTCGGCTCAGCTCGAGACGTTATAATATGCCGAGAGAGTTGAAAATAAGAGCGTCCATTCCATAAGGGCTAATTATTCAGACACGTAATTATAAATAGTTGTTCAATACTATGACATGAAATGTTGTGCGTACACGGATATAAATTATTGCGGTCAAAAACATTTGGCCTTTTGGGAAATAATACGGATCATGCCATTTGCTTAAATTAAATCAATTATAAATAAATAAAAATAAACGATATTTCGGCTAATATAATATAGAAGTATTTACACTAATTCTAAAACTCGAAGAATTATTACAGTCTTTTGGAAACCGTATGTACAATTGCAAACAACGCTGTACATAGAAATAATGCCAAATTCGTTAAAGTATCGCGAAAATTTTGATAGTGTACAATTTTTACTTTCTAATTTCCGAACGTGGAAATAAATTTTTTGTAATTTTTCCCTAATATATTTATATTTTAGGTCGCTTAAAAAGAGGGCAATGTTATTTTATACGTATCAAAAGCACGCCAAGCCGAAAAGCGATTGTCGTTATAAATTTTTACTAAAAGCGAAAAAGTTAAGGGTTACAGGAACTGTTTTTAAACGTGTGTAGCCATTTTTTATCGGTTTTAATGCACACGATGGCGTTAAAGGTTCCGAATCCTTTTCCGCGTGAATTATAAAAATTATATGCTTCGCAGATAATTCATCGCTGTATGTGAAGGTAAGTGTAAAAAAATCATGTAAATCAATATAGTAGAATAAAAGTGCAAAGATGAATTGCATGAACAATGGAGCAAAAAATATCTTAAATTGAGTAATCATGACTGAAGAGTACGGCTTGTGGGCTTGTGTCAAGGATATGCTGCGTGGATATTTTATGGCTGCAAGCATAGAATAAATTAACACTGCGCAGCATAAAAAATAAATCATTAAATTTTACTGAATCGGGCTCGAGAAACCATTCGATTGCTTCCCGACATTGATTGATGATAAGTGCTGACGGTTCGAATTCAGCAATGAAACTAAGTATTATCCACAAAGTTGCGTGTGATGTGTGCACAGTGAATATAAATAGCGAATCCATATGTAATTTTAGAATGATTCAGTATTTTATTTCCATTTGCTTCGATGACGCGATGAATCGCAAAAATATTCAACCTCCTTGACAGGATTTTCTATATCTTCGGTATAGTCTAAAAATATCGATCGTGAATAAATACCATAAAGAATTGTTGGAGGAAGATGACGTAATTCTTTTGTGTGTTTATCGTGTTTTTGGAATATATTATAGCTTTTAGCGTCGAGTCTATCCTTAATAGCCAACACCATTTTCTGCTATCCCTTTCTGACCTAGATGCTGCGCTATCAGCTAAACGAGTGAGATATTGCCATAAACGAGGTATACGAGGTAGACCTTACAACCAATGTATATTTTCAGTAAAGAATTTTTTTCCTCGAAAGTGCGTAGGATGTCGGAGGCATAAGTATTCACCAAAAATGATTGTAATTGGCTCCTCCAACTAAAAATAATTTTTTCAGAATGATTTGAAATTTTTTAATTTCGCCGAAAAATTTGTCCACTGACTGAATTTTTTCCCCGAAATAGCGTAGGATTTCGGAGCTACGTGTATCCACCAAAAATGTTCGTAATTGACCCCTACGACCGAAAATAATTTTTTCAGAATGATTCGAGATTTTTTAATTTTTTAATTGGGCCACAAAAGTTCATAAGGTGTAAGGTCTATTCGTATACCCCGTCTGTAATATTGCATTGCTTATAGGCCGAGTTGTTAGTCTAAAATAAGTTAACATAATGGAATATAATATCTAATAAATATCTAATAAATGTTATAAAGAAATATGTTTTTCATTTTAGTAGAATCGAATAATATTTAATATAATTTGTTACTTCGATGTTAAATATTTTTTAGTACAATAGAAATTGTTGGTTGTCCCCATAATTTAGACAACATGGAGTCAAGATAAAAATCTGAGTAGGTCTCGTCGACAGTCGATCGAAACCTTGTATACATATATTCACTGTGCACTACGTTCCGTCTAAAGTTACTAAATTTCAGCGTCTACGGGCGTTGTGCAACTATAAAGGAAATGTACAAAGAACATAAATCATAGTGAAGAGCGGTACGGCAAGTAACAGAAGCTAAGATTCAAGAGAAGATCACTTACTTTCTCCACTGTGGAATTCTGCGAGTAGCGCAAATAAAATAACAGAGGATCGGGAACAAAACAAAAAACGCGTTAGTATCCATTCGTTCATAATAATGGTGATGAGAGATGACGACATTAAATGGTTGTCGAGATTCTGAACTAGCGCAACTTTTACAGATTTTCGAACATGTACTTCTAATACTTGTCAGCACGCACGCACAGCTCCCATTAAATGTTCTTAAAGTGGCTCCCGTGCTCTGGTGATGGTCGCGTATTCATTTAATTTTCGAAAACCCGCAATCATCACACGCAAGCCGCTTTTCTATCGTACAAAACTACAAAACAGGGAACAACAATAATAATTATGTATTATAGTAGAGACGCAACGAGGCCACATCACTCACATACTGCGGAAAAAAGACATACGTTAGGACAGCAACGTAAAGCAGATCGGCCCGAAATCTGTTATGGAGTTTCTTTCCATTTCTAATACGGTACAGCCAATTCTGGAATAGCGACAAAATTTCTCATACTAATCTTCTGTATGAAAAAGTACAGCACGAGCGTGTCTGTTAACGACAAATGCATGATCGACAGATTTCGGTACGTATGCAAAAAATAGCTTTAACTTGTCATGTAATGGGGAACAATTGTACGAGCAGCAGCCACTATGAGAAAAACGTGTTCAACATAGTTAATCTATCTAGAAGACGAACGATTCTTTCTCCATACTTACAAGAGCACTTCTAATGTGTTTTTAAATACATTAGATTATTTATTTATTATAGATTATTAAATGGAATAATAATAAAGTAAATGTTTGGAATTGAAAAACGATATTTGTAGATCACGACGACCATTTCAATTTAAACAGAACAAAATTTATATTTTTTTTTTTACACAAGTAGAATTCCATAATATCTGTTTATAACCACTCTTTGTAATCTTCAAATTTTTTCAATTATACCTATTTTTAGAGAAAAGATACATTTATGGATTAACATAAATTATAAATTATAAGTTCTTAATCTGGCATATACAGTTCTTCCTAATTTTGTAATTCTTTTGACTTTTTTGATCGAAGCTATTTCGCGTGCAATTCTATTCTTTTATTTATTCTTAAGAAGTTAATTAGATACTGGTTAAATTATTACCTTCGTCTAAAGACCAATAGACGATATATGAAATAAAGATCAATTTCACGGAACACAAAACAATTGAAGTAGATTAATATTATCGAATTAAAACGATACAGGGTAATTTACAAATTTATAGTATGAACTCTGCACACATCTCTAACTCAGCAAATAAATAAAAAAAGAATTATTAAATATTTGTCTGGAGACTAAGAATTTCTATACCGAATCTCCAATTTTAATCTATCCAAAGCGTTTATATATATTTTTAATGTTAATAAAAATTTTAATAAAAATCTTTCATTTGACGTAAAGCATGATCCAAAAGAAATTGGGGTCTATATCGATGTGCAGAGTTTGTACCATCAGTTTGCGATTAGCCTGTGCATTTTTAGTCAGAAAAACGCAAACCACTTCAAATCCTGTGACGTTTGGACGTAAACACTTGCTAAAAATGAAAAGTAGAAAAAAGAAAAACTACTCTGTACAAAAATACGTCGTGATCTTCTTCTACTTTATACACGGAAATGCCTAAACATATAAAAGGAAAATAATAAAAAGGGCATGTTGTACCTGTCCCGCCACATTCCTTGTCCTTTCGACATGGTACCAAGCGCTGCCAGCGACGTGTTTAAGGACTCTAGGGACGCTCTGATCTCAGAACAAAATCTGGTATGATTATGGATAATAATTTCATTTCATGCGCATGCTTTTCTTTTTGTTTTCGTGCACTTTACATCTCTTTCTCTTTATCTGCTGTTTTTCAGGAATATGGTGCGTTCGAGAAATCGTTACACGTTTTCAGATACCAGTGCGTGCAAAGATGTAGAGAAAAATAGTCCGTCGCATAGTTAATGTACGAGGAAAACGTTTTAAAGTCACACCGAAGATCTACTCGATAACTCCGGATCAGAGCAAATCATTGTCTCTTCGATACAATGAATATCCTGTCCTACTAAGCGCAAAGAGAGAATTTATTGTACGCGTTAAGTATAAGGAGTACCGTTGTCTCGGAAACATTACGCCTTTTCACCGCTTTTCTTAGAGATAACAAAATGACTTTCAATTCGTCTAGCTATTTCTAAGCATGCACAAGTTAATTGTAAAAGTACTATTTTTATTTCTTATTGGCAAGATATTATATTTTACTCTTTTCAGCTTAGTAGATCATTATATTGAGACTGTAAATTTCGTAACTCAAAGCTCCAACGGATTATGCTGATCCGTTCAGTTTTAGTAAGAGACATGGTATCCAGTCAGATTATTCATTCTGTCAAAGAATCGTTCATCCCAAAAAAGATATTTCACGAACAACATGCTTATTACTATATCATCTAGTAACTGCTACGAGCAAGACAGGATGTACACGGGGCACCAAGCGACTGATTCTTGTTTAGCTGGTTAACCGATTACATAAACGTCAAACCAAACACTCTGAATAGAATGAAAAGAAAGTAGATCAAAATAGCTTGCTGTGAGAAATATGATGTATAACAGAAGACTGATTAGTACGTAGTTACTGATTTGGTTCTCGTTGGCTCCATTTGAAACGTTTCATGACACCGTCGCAACGGTAACAGTTATGCAGTTACGCGTTCATTATATATGCAATTACGTAACAGGTTATGCCTCCGTTATAAAGAAATCGTTTATGTATACGGTCTAGTATTTACTACGAAACGACTTCATCGAAAATGATACTTTTAACTACAAAATTCAATATTAGAATTTAAATATCGATTAAATATTGTGTCAGTAACATAATAAGTCACTGTCTTGCAGTATTAAAATTTCTTATTTCTGTAATTTTATTTTAAATTATACGATTAAATAAGGTATATATTCCTTTTCGATCGTTTTACTGTATAGAAATGTTCCTGCGAAAAATCGTCTGAAGCCAACTAAAAGTTAGTTTAAAAATACTTTGGTGTACGAGGTAATAGAAAATTGAAGCCTATCTCGTATAAAAGTAAATTCCCTGTTTCACATATCGTTATCACGTATCAGCCAATAATCTATAGGGTTAATTATAGCAGGAGTCTTGCACCAACGCACACCGTGTCACACTATAATACACAACATTATTGTTTTGTAATGTACACTTTGTCGTTATCTTATAATTTTAGGTACGCTATCACTTGCGTGCTATGTGCTTCCGTGTTGTTCACCGTATTAGTGCTCCTTTAATTATATACAATTTTTAATCACAAGAAAACGAACGTATCGATATGCAATAAATTTAACTTGTTGCATGTACCGACAAATATAATTTTGACGAAGTTTTTCGACTCGATGCAACGACCCTAATTACATGGATCCTCTTGAACGTTACATTCCGTTTATTTAATCGAATTTCTTGTTCAATACGTTGACGTTACAACGTCATATTGTCGACAGTGAACACAAAACTATATCTCAGTGATTGTATACAATTACTATATAATTGGAATATCGGAATAATTTGTGCTAGTAATTCAATAACATGTAACGACGAATTGTTTGTTTTACAAGCGTGCAGATTCAAACTTTGCCAAACAGATTTACGTTTCGAATTTAATTTCCATCGTAGGTAGAATTTTCTGTTACGCTCAACACACTCAATTGTGTATTTCATTTAAGTGTTGCGTTTTTATTAAACGTCAAAACAAACCATGCAAACATAGAGATTGTCATTTAGATAGTTTCTCGTTTTAACAGTTCAGTTAGTAGAAGTCCGATTGAACTCGTATTTTTTGAATTCATCGTGCATACACGTTTACTCTGCAAACAATTGTCAAATCGATGAACAATGCAGATTCGTTGTTGTGAAAACGCTCGCGAGCAATAAATGTTCCAATCGTTAAGCAAGTCTGATAAATCCCGTAGACCAATAGAAGTGATCCAAAGGCAATTCGAAACAGATTGTAAAATATTCTAATGTGCTGCAGTTCAAATTCATTTAGATTTGCTTTTAGTCGATAAAGTATTTAGAAAACGTAAGATATTGTCAACACCTTTTCAAACACGTATCTGTCGTTAGGGTAAGTTGTACGTTGTTTGCAGAAACGAAGCAACGTTTTACGGTGCAATACAATTTGTGAAATACATTAATAATTAAAAATATAATTATAAAGACAATATTTGCTAAGCATTTCGTAATACAAGAGTATTATTTATTTTAATATCACTGGTACAACCTACCCTAGATCATACAATTTTTTATTATCGTTAGGAAAGTGAAGTTTATAGTATAATAGAAAAATATATATGAATACATACCCGACGTGTACTGGGTGCCTGTTGATATCAACATTATCTGGTTTGAGGTTGGCAGCGTTCGTACGTTGATAACTTTCTTTTGTAATCATCTCGGTTATGGTTGGTGCTGTAAAATATATAATAGAACTCCTTATAGGTAGACTAAATTATATCAGCTGTATCTGTTTACGCGAATACGAAGTGATTTTATTTTAGATAAATGGGACACTTGAATATGTTATCTTGTTAAGCAGGTTAAAATCACAATATTGCTAAAAATATCCGATGAGCCTGCTCGTGGTAGAGAAATCAGGATCAGAAAGAGTTAAATATCTTCCATATATTAAAGTTTGAAAGGTATAGCTGACACAAAAGTCGTCAAACTCTTGGAAATGTTCGAGAGAGAGACGAAACGCGATGAAAATAGCTTTTCCGTGGGCAGAGGCGCGCCAAAGAGTGCTTACTTCAACTTTTTAAATAGAAAGCCAAATCCTTTTTATACATCGATGCAATAACAATATCACGGTGACGCTGTATTAAAATGAATCGTTCAAGATGGCAGCAGATTATAAATCAACAAGTTTTGTGTTACTAAAAATTCTGGAATCGATGACTATTTCCATCGATGCAAATTTTCATGTTTGAATTGCAAAGGTGCACTGCCTTGCTGTTTCGGAATTTATATCAGCACGTTACCATGGTTGCTCGACAGCTTTTCGGAATGAAAAATATTTTTCTACCGACGCTACTATATCGAATAAAAATTTGGGATATTCGATGTATTTTTTTTGTAAATAATTACGCTTAAGAATCTTCAAAATTAATATAAAAATAAATCCAGAAGAGATTGGACATTGTACGTCTACTCGTAACTCGATGATACCAGTAATGGCATCATGAGAACACTTGGGAATTTACTTCTAATTGAACTTCTGCCATTTCGAACGACCTTTTATTACACCTTATTCCTACAATCTATCTACGATCACTGTCGTGCTAAGAATACACAAAATACAGCATTCCACTTAAAAGAAATTAAGATGGCCTTGACATCGTCTCCATCTTTCCATATACGTATAATCCACGCCACGTTACGTCACGAAACAACACATTTATTGCGAAAACGATTTTCTTACACTACCGAAACCGTGAGATATTTAAAATGAATGGAATTACTGCAATTAATCGCACACCGTTTTTTTAAACAATCGTGCAAAACATGACAATTTTAGAAACTAGGTCGAGCTGTAACTGGAGAAAATTTTGATTGGAAAAACCTGAATAGCTCAATGAGAACTATTTTCCTGTGACATAATTTTTTTTTCTCAAGTGCAACTATATGTCTTTTCTTTCGCATAAATTGTCGTTATTCTGCGTACGAAGTTATCAAGAGCAAATGTTTAGAAATATTTTTTGGGGATTGAATAATTAAAAATTACGTAAGTTTGTGAGAAATTTTCAACTTACCTCCGGAATGTCGATTATCCCTCTCGTCGTCTGTCACGTTGACACGCATCGAATCATCCCCCATGGATTTCATATCGTCAACAGTCATGTATCGATATTGCTGTTGGTCGCTAAGCATCGGATCTTCACCTATGATAAACGTGAAAAGCAAAATTGAATGACTGTTGATAAAAACGTAAATATAATTTGCAAGGTCCAGCTGGAGGAATGTATAAATCTAGAGTACTGTTGAACTTGCATGAACAGAATGTAAACGTAGTGAAAGATTATATGCATAAATGTAAATAAATGAGTAATGAGCCTGCAAATAAATGGAAAATCATTGCCATGAAAATTATCCCAATCAAGCCCAAAAAAAGCGAGCTTAAGTGTCGTGTTATCATGTACTCGAGAATCTGATTGCTGGCTTTACGCGTCGATCTGTTTGCATAAATCGATAATAAACAAACGAGACTGCTCGCGACGAGACAATGATTAAGGAATTTCCATCAGCGTGATCACCGTAAAAGCTAAATATAAATTTCAATTGTACGAGTACGCAAAGTTATATTTTCAGAATGCAGCCTTTAAATTCTACCAAGAAGCTTCGAGTATCCTACTTTGCAGATAAGATTCATGATTGATCTGATTCATAAGATGATGAAGTTGACCGAAAAACACGAAAGCCGTACAATTGTTTAAATAATTCTCCTTCGTGCAAATTCTTTTCGTTACGATAATATTCCAATAATGTTTAAACTATCTGCTCCAGGGTGCACGTAATACGCGTTCCTAAACATGTACGAACCAACGATAACAACGCAAACGATTAACAATCGTTGAAAACTTGAATAGCATTGAACGAATGTGTATGCAAATAATGATAACATAGAATCATTACCTATATATTGTAATTGATTAAGTAATCGATACACGAGCGTAAAATGTTTCACGAAAAGATGAAAGAAATTAAAATGCAAATAAAGACACGTATTAACAGTATCGTACTTTTAACACGACTGACAAATCTTGATTCAGTTACTCAATCACCTTGTACAACCTCGAATATTCCTTATCAGATATGCCAAGATTATAGAAGACAATTATCTAATAAACGGTCAGCCTACAAACTCATTGCCCACGTCAGATAGTGACAGCATAAGACTGAGCCAATTTAAATGCGATTCGAATGAAAATTATAATAGCACGGTAGTGGGCAGTTTCGTTTCTCGGAATGTACTTTCGTTTTCAATAAATTTCTAGCGTGGTTTGATATTGAAACACAACAGAGCTTAATCGAAATGTTGGTTATAGATAGCATCATTCAACTGACAATTTCCAACTTCAATTTTGAAAGAATTACCAAATATTAAATATGTGTCTCTTCTTTAAGAAGTGAAAACTATTTTGAATATGAAAAATACTTCGATTGTTTATGAGCACAAGGTCTCAATAAACATATTAGCAAGTCATAAGTGCCATTGTAGCCAAACAGGTTATAAATATCTAATTGGCTACAGTAGAGAAAAGAAACATTTTCAATGCTTTATGTGCACGCCAAGTTTGATCAAAATCGGAGATTGTCAATCGTATAAAGTTTCTTATTAGATGAGTCTATTATCGAACTATTAATTATAGTATGAAAAATATGTAACTATATCTACTAGTACGATATCGTAACTGCGTTTGGAGATACAAATTCTATCTATAGTTTAGCTGTTTGACCTTTTCGGTTTAGTCCTCGTCGATCGATTGACCGAAAACTCATTAATTGGATTTGCCCCTAATGCTTTGTTTCCTATTATTTCTGATAATTGTCGTTCTACCGTACTGCAAAATTTAAACCGTTATATTAAGATATAGGGAAAACTCGAATCGTTCCATGATACCGAGAACGTATTTGTTCCTGTTCTTGAAATAATAACAGAGATCAGTATAGCCAAGTTTAATTACATACAAGCAGCACAGAATTTATTTCCTGAACCGTCACTTAGATTGTAATTGTACGTTTCCTTGGACAAATAAACTAGTCACAGTGCGTGTAATTATACGATAATACGTCCAGTTTCGCAATTCTGTAATATCTAACAGTCAAGATATTATGTTACTATCTTTAGATGAAAATGCAATTTCTAGCCTGCATATTAAACTTGTGGTATACTGTAAGATTCTGTATACGTTTGCTAATATTCCACAATAAATTCATTAAATTCCCGCATAATTACAACGATAAGACTGATACTAAAATCCCTAAGGTTATTATGCAATTTACAGTAAATATTTTCCTAAATCCCTATTAAATCCGATTAAATTACAATCGAACGTTTCGTATTGAAAGGAAATAAAATTTTATTTGCTCTATCTTTATGCGTTCGTAGCTCCACGTGAGACTGATCAACTGTCAAAACAAATGGGAATAGCTTGCATCGCGTGTGATCGATTATCACACAATTAACGCGACATGGTCGAAAATTAAAAATATTATTCCTCTTTTACCTATATTTTCTACGATCCGTTAATATTCGTGAAACCCGTACAGAAATTATCGTGCGAGATTTCAACTTCTACAGGCCATTCACTTCCAAGAACCTAGCAAACAACTGTTGAAAATACGGAAATGTTTTGTAAAAAATCAACATTATCCAAATTACCACAGAATCGAACCGAGAAAGTAGCGCGAAATTATTCGAGTTTTCACTAGCAACCAGAACACTCTGAGTTTTCTCATTCCTGAATCACAATACGAGGAAACGATTGTTTCGCGTCCGCGGTTCTTATGACGTATCAGAGATTGCTCGTAAACATGGAAATGATGTCATCCCTTATCTCGAAGCGACGAACGTGGAATCAATAATATCTAAAATTAATATAAACATCGAGGAACTGGCCGGCAACGATACCACATGGAGAAACTGTAACGCGAAATCTCTAATTTTAGCGGTTGTTCAAGGACACCTTCCCGAAGCATTTCTGAAACACATTCTAAGCTACTTCCACTACGAATAGTTGACCTCATAGGCAGTGACCTATATCTTCCCGCGTGCGTGAACGCGCGAGCGCGCGGGCGCACTTCTGAAAACTAAACTGTGTAATCACGTCGAATCTTGTTGAATGTAGTTAACCGTCAGCGTCATAGACTAGAATAGTACAGAAAACGCCTGGTAATCGACGGGGACGCTTAATTTATTTCGCGTTTGCATCGGCGTTAATCGAATTCCGCCGATTCCACGTGTGCCGAGCGCGTTCGCGCGACAGGAAATCGTCGACGAACAAAATGCGCGTCACTCACCGCGAAAAGGCGCCCGAAAACGGTGTCTGCTGGTTCGCGATCGCGGTGACTGGGCATCGTGGCTCGGCTTCGTCACTTTTAACCAGATGCAAGAGCGTTTCGCGCGAATGTATCATCCGATTGTTCGCGTCGCGTCGGGCGCCGCTTCGACGATGCTAATAAACCTTTATCGTCGATTAATCGCGGCGCGAACGCGTCGCGTGCTGGCTCGTCGCTGAGAATAGCAAGGAAAATGTGGAAATCCACGGAAAAGATCGCGATACGAGGAAAATTGTCCATTTTTTGCGATGGCGATGCGAACTAGGCGGCCTTGATCGTCGCCCCTCCAAACGACGACGTTCATCGCGATATCATCGTTCGCGTCTTATGTCATTCATGCCAGTTCGTCTCATTGTTATGTCACTAGCGAAGATCACAGTCACGTTCCTTCTGACGCCCAATTAAGCGATCCCGACCCACCGTTTCTCTCTCTTCGCCGTTTTATGGCCTGATACTTTCGACACGTTCCATACGCTGCATTAGGCCTCGTCAGGAGATAATCGTTTCCTATATGGGCCGCCCAGTATCGTTCCGCGACGCGAATATCAATGTATGGTATTTCCTACGTTCAGTCATGTACGGCGAACTTTGTTTTCGAACGGAAACTGCGACGAGTTTTCAACAGACGCGCGACAGCGACCAGCAATTTCGTGTTTACGGTATTAGGTGTGCGGCACCGTAAGCGCGGGACAAAGTGGTAGCCTTAATGTTTTTGTTTATAATTAGGCGCACAGGGTGCCTGGAATTACTCGTTAATTACCTGACTTCGAAATTTCTCAAAAGACACATTAAAAAATTGAAAAGACATTCACAAAATAATTCAGACATAAATTGAATGGAACATGTAAATAGTTTTTTTGTAGATGGACAATTTAATGCGTCAATCGATTCAGCTGGTTATTCCCCGCGAAAGAGTATTTACTTATTCGTACCAAAAAACCATTACTTTAGAAGATGTTTACATTTCTTAATTTTCGAAGGATGTACATATTTAAGATGAGCTATGTTATTAGTCTTGTGTGGATTCCTATCATTTTGTCCCGCACTGTATCTTCGACGTCGTTTGCCGCTTGTACAGCAGCTTAAGCGTAAATATGCATCTAATTTTGCATCGGTATTTAGGTTTATGCGTCGAAAAGGACGACGGAATGTATCGAACGTACGCAGCCGCGCGAACGGATTGGGAGCGTCTCCGAGCAGAATGTTTAACCCTTGACTCCAGAAGGATCAGAGGGATGATCGAGGTCGTCGATCAAAAATGCTTAAAACTATGCTATTTATTCCGTGTGAAATGCACAACAGTAGAACCTCGATTATTGCACGCGAGATTCGACGTCTACAAGCGAAGGGGATGATCGCTAAGTAAGAAGTAAGATTGGAGATACAACGGCCATAAGTGGTGGGGATAGACTGTGTGATTGATTACTGTGAACCAGAGAACAAAAACCAATATATTTGAAGGTATTTGTTCTGATGATATCGTAATGTAATCACTATTTGGTTTTAACACCAGTATAAGATGATCCATACTAGTATTTGACGTCCATATTGCTACAAATATCGAAATATTATGATTTAAGATATAAAAATGTTTTTAATTTTTTAACAAATTGAATACATTTCTAAATAATTAAATTATTTTCATCGATGGAATTGAAGATTTCAGTGCACTGCAATCTTGCACTGCTTTTATCTAAAAATGTGACATCGATTTATGGAGTACATATTTCAAAAGAAAGTTTCAATATTTAACTGTTTCCGCAAGAATGAGTGTTTAACGTTTGTTAACACGTTATAGTGTCTAAAAACAAAGTCGCGTGGCGAGCCGGTTCATTATCACTCTGTAAGCAATGGTTATCACTTTATGTACACCACGATAATTATTATACAAAGAACCTTTCTTATATTCGCAATTTTCACTGTATTATTTGTATTTCAAAATCTGCGTAACATATAAACAGAAAAAAATGTATTAAACGAATTATCGTAATATATCTAGGTGATACTAGAAATTCATCTCATTAAAACCTTATCAAATTCAAGACCGAGTGGCACTAAAATTCAAACGCTGCTAAAAAGAAATCACCCTAGAGTTAACATACTTAAAATTCTTTCTACGAACAAGGGTTCTTTCTATCTTGAAAATAGAAACAAATCAAGTTTATAATATAACGTTAGAGCAAAGACTCTACAACTTCTTAAAAACCAGAACCCACATATCGAAACATTTGCCAACATTCAGACATATCCTTGGGGCTTGTCGTAAAGCCATGAAACATAATATTCGAAAGGCTGCAGAAAATATTCCCCGCAAGCCAAGAACCCGTAAGACTGACAATCGAATAGATCGTTTGATTCCTCGTCTATTTGACGTCGACCGTTTTAAGACCTCTATTGATATTCATAATGAAACAGTGCCACACCTGGATTATAAAATCAATGTGCAAACTGTACAACGCCTGCGAGTTTAGATTGATGGGCAAAGTGGCACTGCACGAACCCCTGATATCTGCGAAAAATCATATCAATTCAACGAAAGATACTAATCTGACGGCGACTTGTGAAGAATTTAGTACAGAATTAGTTGCCTGAAAAGTAAATTTTAAACATTACCCAATTTGTATACCTCTGAACTAAACGAACTCCTTAAATAGTACATCTAATTTCGGACACTTATGATACTTCAAAAATATTTTTCAATTTTCAACTCAGAAACAACACGATCGAGGGTTCTGTTTGGAACGGGGAATGTAAATACACGGACTGTAATATCACAGAAACGAGAACCACGTGACAGAAATAATGACGTTTGCCAACATTCCAATCGCATAACATATATTCTCAGGTGTTTTGGATCCAACTAATTCCGAAGCATTATTCAGTTTCCCCGAATCTTATTCTTTCGTAGATTCGACGTTTAATTCGTACCTCCGTCGAAATCGCAAACTTCGGTTCGTCAAACTCGACAAGATTACACCGAGCGGTTTCGAACAACGATCAGCGCGAAGAATAATCACGCTAAAAGTAACGAAAAGCGTAATGTAACAACGAATGGATATTTACATAAAGTGTCGCTGTTCCTGCTGGATGTACACCCGCAACACGCAATCTTCTTCGATTCCTTCCGTTTCGGTCGTCCCTTGGCCATGTCGACTAGTATTTTTTCGCGCAACGACGCGGAGAAAAACCGCGGGAATGCGATTTAAAAATATTCCTCCGGTAAATTCGGTGAAAAGCAGATATCGGTATTCTTATCGAACACCGTGGACACGCGAAGACAGCAACAAACTGCACCTCGACGAACGACAGTTCGCCACACCGTTGTAACTTTGTGCTCGGCTCAGTGAATACGATGTACTGACGATGTACGGTACGTACAGGACTAATTACATCACCGACTCAACTAACCGTCGACGGTTTGCGAGCTAGGTCACACGAATTACAATTAGCCCACGTTATCGCTACGCATTCATTGATGACACAGCGTGCAATTGTAGCCGGCCCGCCTCTCTATAGATCCTCTTCCTCGGCTCGCGTATTTATCGATACGCGATCGATCGGAAATTTGGCAAGCACCGGTAGGGCGATCGTGTTTCTTTGTTCCAGGCTCTATACTATTACTGGAGGTCCACGTTACGCAACCCAACAACGTGGTTCGCCTGATTAGATTTGATTTGTTAAATTGCATTAACCGCGCGCCCTGAATGCTTCTTTTCTTCCGCGGTATTTCGTCGCGTGCTAGCACCGGCGGGGTCAGGAACAGCGACTGAAGATTAATACAAGTTCGACGCAAAGACTACCTAACAGAAACGTGACCTCATTCCGTGAATCACCAATTTTATAATAGTAACTGCCTTCGAGCTTTTCCGCTACTTTATTTACATCCCGAACGCTTGCAACTCTTTTCTCGAGCTCTCGGAAGCGTGACTAGATGCAATCGTTGGCCACCGAATAATTTTTTTTCCCCCTCCACTCGGTGCATTAGCGGCGCCTTCGAGCGCGACCCGCGTAACGATATCGCGAACCGTCGTCGACGGACCGTGATTCGATTAAAGTCGTTAAAACAATTTTACGAGCGAAAATTAGCCGGTAGCGTGTAATTCGTCCGGGGGAAGAAATTTTTTCCTTCCACGTATCCTTGATTGCGCGAGACACGTGACTCCGTTGTTTAATCTATGTGGAAAACTCGAACGACCCGTTTCACGGACGATCGACCGTAGAGAATTTTTAAGAGGATGAACGAGAACACACGTAGCCCCCTGTACGTACTTCGCAAAGTGTGTGCACGTCCCATTTACGGTGTAACGTGATCAATTAACGTTAACTACCGCCGTTAGTGTTCGTTGATCGCTCGATCCGCGTTTCTCACGTTCTTATGCAAAAATATTCGAAACGCGTGGAATAAACAAAAAAAAAAAAGAAAAAATTCGCGAAAATTGCGATTCGATCCAAAAGGGAGAAAAGGCGAAAGAAAAACAGGCTCGTTATATAAATTTTGGTATTTTGGTCGTGAATCGTATTTGGCGATTTGCCAGCTTAGCAGGGGTTAGACTAACTGCACGAATAATATGGTACAAGACGCACACCGGCTGTTGCGTAACAGCTAAAGCAGAATGCGTGTAGGTACGAGAATGATACGTCAAAACAGATCACACAAGCCTGAGTCTGTTCCTGCCGACTGGCATAATGATCGCACAACTCGTTATTATGCAAATTGCATTAACAGTAGTAACGCGCCCTACTTCATTAATGTACCGTTTTCTCTGTTTTATGTACGAAAACGTGAGAACGCAACACCGACGTTCGATTTGCAAAGATAAATCTCAACCCTTCCTTGGGGGATGCAGCAAATTTTTTCCCCGTCGATACGTAAAGTTTTAAAATTTTATAAAAATTGACCAGGAAGCGATACAAATTTAGGTTGTTTCGGTCGTATGGTCAAATTTTGTCGATAGAACAGCAAACACCCTCGACGGTTCGGCCAATGCAGATGGCCCTATTAAAAAGGAGTAACGTAATCATGGTAGCAAAATTTCAAGATTCGCGTAAACATCAAAATGAAAGATAACAATCATTTTATAATATACTGACGAAGTCAGTTTCCGTAATATCGAGACTGTTCCAATTCTCGTAGGATAGCATGTGGATATGTATTTTACACACGCTGGAATCATTTCACGATTTTATTGCTGATGATTACTGCATTTTAACTATGTTTATCTGTGACGATTCATGGACGAACTGCAGTATATACTATTTTGCATAGTTACTACACTTTACGTAATGAATAAAAAAATACATACCTAGAAATAAATAGTATCTATAGTTTTAATGATTTCGTGTTTAATAACGTGGTTACATTTAAGCGAATACTTTGATTTTTCCAAATTATATAACAATGATATCGATCAAAATTTATTCAAATAACTCGAGAAAAAAATGTTAAAAAATATTTTTAATATCTAAACTTTTTTTATTATTTCGTTAGATCCTATCGATTTTAACGAGAATATAATAGTACTGCGTGCGTATAAATACCGTAATGACGAAGTTATACTTATGACTCTGGCATAATAAATGGATCTCATATGAGATACATCAGTGAGACGACTAATGAAAAGATGATAATGATCTCGTTGAATTATAAGTAGCAAGGATAACGCCAATTCTATATATAAACCTATCATCTTGTACCGCATATTTCATTGATTCGTAATTGCATTCTTTTTTAAAAAAAATAACACGCAAAAAACCATCTTCCTGTTTCCGATATCCATTTAAATCAATTATCAAAGAGTTCCCAAAATATTAATTTCTATATTTAAAAAATAAAATAAAATAAAGGTGTCCATTATAATTATAGAATTAATATCATAGCGATTAAAAATCGCGACAAACAAAACTTCTTTTAAATTTCGATAGCATTCAGAGTATTTTGTATAATGCAATACAAATTGTTTGCAGTGTTAGAAACTCAAAACGTAAATATCGTTGAGTAGGTTTTACGACTATTACAGGCGTTTCAAAGATACGGGGCTTGCAAATTTTACACGGGAGAAATGGAGCAACAAGGATGGTAAACGAAATGTGAACAAATAGCGGTTTGGGGAAAGGTATGTCTGTGCATGTCTCTGTATTTACGTCTCTACGTATTATAACAGGAAAAACAATCCACTATAATAAACTAAATAGTACGAAACATACAGGAATTTTCGTTCAATTGATTTTACGAATATCAACTGTTTAAACAGACAAATAATAATCGAAATACGTTCAAATTACAGTTTTAATTAATTTACAATTTAATATACAGTAAACAAAAAAAAAGTATACGTTCAATTTCTTAAAATAAATTCTTGACTATCTAAGTAAGTAACTAAACTGCAGACGAATAAATGCTTAGAAATTGGCATAATAAACGAAAAGCGTCAAGATTTAAAAAATGAAATTTAAAGAAACGAAAATGAATGATTCATTACACATGTACGCAAAATTCATTTACGTACCCATAATGCTGATACATGTATGTCTGTATGTATGTATATAGATATATATATATATATAAATGTAAAATGTTACGCGCGCGTGTGATATGTGAAAGAGTGACAGAAACAGAGTACAGACAACTTACGGGTATAGGTCATTTGGCCCTGGTAGTAAGAAGGAAGATACACGTGTTGCGCGTGTTGCGCGTGTGGAGGCTGCCCGTACACATTCATGGCTGCCATGCCGATTTCATCACCACCTACATCGTACGCCGTCGAGTAAGGACACTTTTTTTTTATCAAAAAGCTAATTTTGCACCATAAACACTGTTTCTAAATTTCGCTATCACTGGGTTGTTAAAAAGCTAACCTTACATAGCAAGAGATACAAGCCAACCGCGAGGGGACGCAGTTTTGTTCGTTTGCTTCGACTTTTTCGATACGCGTTATCACATAATTTACAACTTCCAAGAAAGTCACGAATAGTTCTGCCTAATTGTGATTACTCACCGAGAATCAAATCAAAATCTTTTATTTACACTGAAAGTAACGCAACATCACAGACCATATAGCACGAGACCATAATATCGAACTGAAAAGGGTAGTTCGATAAAAGTGAAGTACATATCCCTCAACTTCGATTGTTGAAAATCGATCTGCGACAGACGCCATATTTACATCTTTTCTAGTTAAGCAAACAAGCAAACCTGTTACGTTCATTGTTCATTGTAGTCGACTTCGTTTCAGCTAATTTAAATATATGTAAAGGTATTTATTCTACGATATGTATCCTATTTATTATACAAGTCTTACACAGATAATTGCAAAACAGATTCAGTCTCAAATATAAACTGTAACGCAATTATCTTTGCGAACGTAATATTTTCTACACAATTTGACTCTAAATTACTACCTATAAGAAGCGCTAAAATATATTACCTGTGTAAGAAGGCAACTACATTACTGAAATAATTCCGTTAAAATTCTAAACCTTCGTGGTCTATGATATTATACATAAAATAAGCCAAATATCTTTAAATCGTTACTAAATTTTATTTTTTTACGTCTAAAAACTATAGGTATAGGTTAGGAAAGTTAAGTATATTTCGTAATTATAGCAACAACCCAGTGAACATATGCTAAACACATGCTCTTGCGAAATGAATGTAACATAAACGCAACAAGACAAGCAAATAATATATATATCACCATCTAGCACTTCGATTCTAAATTTGAAATTTGGAAAATATTTTCTCTAAACTTTTTTCTCGTTATTTCAAGTATGGCGTCGTAGCTGGTAGTGCGATCGAATTCATAAATATTTGTCAACGAGTGTCAGTGTTTTTGCTGCCCGAAAATTTGTTGTATAATTATAATTTCTTGGGTAAGGGAATATCACTAGTTTGTACTGGAAAACTTATTGTAGGGTTCATGATATGCATTCAAATAAATGTGATCTTTTTGTGCTTTCATGCTCTAAACACATGCATTTTAAAATGAATCATCAGTACTAAATCATCAGTACTAAAATGCAATGAAATGGAAAATGTTATCATTATATACTCATAATCATTGTATATGCTACAGTAATTTATCTTTCTTAATTTATGCAATTACAATTTTACTCTGAAAAACTGCAATTTACATGATAATGTGTATATATAAAAACAGACATTTCTTTAACGAAATGCTATCGAAATATAAAAAATCGCGATATAATTATTTTCTCAATTGCAATTTGCTAGTATTGCAAAAACTATTACGTGAATATAATATCCATCGGTAATTGTTTATTTGAAGAATCATGTGCTGGAGTGGCAAAAAAATTGTTTAATAGCTATAAAAGCATACGATGAGAATTAATAATTAATTTCGAATAAGTTTCTGCTAAATCTATCATTTGAAGAAGTAATTTCATGCAATAATTCTAATCTGTAATAAAAATAAATATACGAATTTGGATATGTAAGTACTCTTGAGTACATACTATAGGCTGCACTAACTATAAAAAGCGCACATCACAGAAGCAAAGTTAAAATACAAGCATCTTGGCAATTTAATACTGCCTCTATTATACAGGTCTAATTCCTAAAACGCTAAAACATTATCTTAAAATACAAATATTAAATATATCAAGTTAAGAAATAAACAAATCAGAATATTAAATTTCAATTTGATCACAGCAAAACAGTGATCCGATTTGTCTATCAAATTATTTGCATTTTTCTAATTATTATTGCAATGATTTTTCTCGTCGCAATATTTTGATAATTTTAAAATGTAGCAACAATTGATATTTTTTTAAATAGGAAAGAAGTAAACACTTACCCCCTTCATCTTCACTATCGCTCATGAATGTTTCTTGCATCGATTCGGGAGCTTGGACTCTGTATTTCTCTTCAATAGTAATGGTGTGGGTCGTTGTAATGATGGTTTCCGTAACCACTTTCAAAGTTTCAATGACGCTAATGTAACCAAGTTTTTGTGCAATATCCAAAGCAGTTTGACCATTCTGTAAAAAATAAATTATTTTTAATAACGATACATAAGCAAAAATTATAAACAAGAAATGTTTATAAATTAACTTACGTTAGTTGTAGTGTTCGGCTTAGCTTTACCCTCCAACAATAAATTGATCACTAGTGTATGACCCTGTTGTGCAGCTTGATGCAGTGGTGTATATCCTGCATTAGTGCTACTATCGACGACTGCACCAGATCGTAAAAGGAATCGTACCATAGCTGCTTGACCAAAATGAGCTGCCACGTGTAATGGAGTATAACCAGCCTAAAATAAAAACAAATCAGTGTTAACAGAATTTTAATTTAAAAATTTTGTGTTTGCAAACTATAGTAAATAAAGATGCGATTGAATAACTTAAACGGCAACGAAATTGTGTTTAATATGATATCGCACCTTCGTTTTAGCATCAATCTGAGCACCATTTTTAACGAGGATAGAGGCAACGTTAACTTTGTCTTCTTGTGCGCACAAATGAAGCGGCGTGAGGCCATTCTACAAAAAATAAAAATTATTTGATAAAGAGTAATTTAAAAAACTATAACATTCAACATTTTATGTGATTCGTATTACCTTAGCTTTGTGATTTGTATCTGCTTTGTGCTCAATAAGTAGCGTTGACATATCAGTATGGCCTTCTTGTGCACTCAAATGTAGCGGCGTAAATCCTGCTTTTGATTCCGCGTTTGCTTTTGCTCCGTATTCTAGTAAAGTAGTTGCAATGTCCATCTGCATCAAACATAAACCAATGTTGTTACCGTCAACCGCATTCCATATAATTTGCTTAATTTGTATCTTCTATTATCATCACTTACTTGATTTTTACGTGCAGCAATATGCAACGGTGTGTGGCCATTTTTAGCCATAGCATGAGGCGATGCACCCTTATCAAGTAAAAGTAATGCTACATTTTGATGATCGTAGTGAGACGCCACATGAAGTGGAGTTACTCCGTTCTATATTTAATTATCGTGATTAGTATTTGACACGTACAAACATATTTAATATCATAAAATAATGAAAAAAGAACGCGACAAAATTGCTTCTAACCTTTCCTTGAGCATCGACTGGTGCGTTCTTTTGCAACAATAATCTTGCTACGTTCATGTTACCATATTTAGCTGCCAAATGCAAAGGAGTGAATCCCTTTTTGGTCGTAGCGGTAAGCGATGCGCCGTTTTCTAACAAAACGGATGCAACCTGTACGGGACAAATTTTACGATCAAAATCATTTATCTAAATATTAATCATGATAGCAAAATGTATGTTCATAGATGTACCTCTTCTTGACCCTCTTTAGCAGCAATATGAAGCGGTGTATATAAATATTTCGTCGTAGCGTCTACATCGGCACCATGTTGAAGTAATAACATTACAATATCAACATTACCCAATCGTGAAGTAACGTGAAGTGGTGTTTGATGTTCCTGCAATGTTCATATCGTTCAAATTTCACCGATAAACTAAGTACATCAAAGCGAAGAGTAATAACGAAGTTAATGAAAAATTAAAATGTTACTACGATCTTATATTATATTAAATATATCTCTTTACCCTTGCTCTGGCATCAACTTGGGCACCATTTCTAAGAAGTATCCTGATAATATCAGTCTGATTCGCTCTGGCAGCTAAATGCAAAGGCGTTTCGCCCCTTACAGTTGGTATATCAGGACTAGCTGCATGTTGCAATAAATAAATCACTATGTTCATGCACCCCATAAAACTTGCTACGTGTAGGGGCGTCAATCCAGACTAAGCAATAAAATAAATCTGTTATTACTAAAAAATAATAATATTTTTTATATTATTACTTTGAAAAAATCCACTATTTTCAATAGTCTCTTTTCCCCTAAACTATCATTATATTGGCTTAACTCTATAATTGTACACCAGGGTCATTTTTGCCAGAGCTGTAGCTCCCTTTAGAATTTCTTTTAGGTCAACAACAATTCGAGTATATTTTTACAGTATAAATACTTAATAAGTCTAATGAATACTTTTTATTTGGAAACTTACTATTGTGCAAATAGCTGCAAAAAGGCGCCACTCTTATGATCGAATATATGCAAAAAATAATGTTTTACAACACGTAGACAGAAAGTACGGTAATAAGTCTTTTTTTAACGATGTTTGATGTCAGCGTGAACCTTCTACAGTAATAAATATGTAACACCTTAAAATGATCAGTATTTGTCTGGTTCATTCGTTGTTTCATTGGACATAAATGAACCCAGTGTACAGTTTATGTTACGGCTCAACTAATGTATAGTTCTAATATTTCTCGATATTTTAGCCGAGACAAATGTGGAAGGAGCGACTAGTATAATGATATCTATGATATGAAAGACTAAACTATCAAACTAATGCGATGACAAAAATAAATACCTCTGTGGTAGCTTCGATGCTAGCTTTGTGCTTTAAAAGGAGCTCAACGACCTTCGGCCTGTTCTTCTTACATGCAATATGCAGCGGAGTGAAGCCGTTCAGAGCTCGTGCGTTTGGATCGGCATTTCTATCGAGTAGAAGTTTAGCGACTCGTACATGTCCGCAATGAGCTGCCACGTGTAGCGCCGTCAAGTAATCTACTGTCACTTCGTCTACCGGTGCACGATGATACAATAATATCCTCGCAGCGTCAACATAATCTCCTTGAGAAGCCATGTGCAACGGAGCAAGACCATTCTGTCAACAGAAAACAAAGGTCAGCTAATTCAATAGAGACGGACTCGAAAACAATTTTTACCTTCGTTTTGGAACCAATCGGTGCTCCTTTTTCGATTAAAATGTCAACAACCTCATGATGGCCAGATCGAGCCGCGCAATGAAGGGGTGTAAGGCCATCTCTCGTTTTCGCTTCGATATTCGCTCCCTTGCTCGTCAATAAATTCACCATTTTAATTTTTCCCCATTTTGCTGCCACGTGCATTGGCGTAATATTGTGCTGTAAAATAAATAGACACTTGTGATGCATAACTGGATCACTGTCATAATATCGACGCTTAGTTGGGACTCATAATATCGACGATCGAGAAATAGACAAATTTAGTTTTTCAATTACTTATTTCTGAGAAAGATTCGATGTTGAATTGGTTTATTAAGGACGCTGAAGATATCTATCATTTTAAGTTAATTTGTAAATTATAACATTGTAGACGGTGTTACGTAAGGATTACTTGCCTTTGCCGCGAAATTAACGTCCGCGCCTCTGTCATAAAGCAAGGAAGCAATTCGGTCGTTGCCATAATGTGCTGCTATATGGAGCGGTGTGAAACCGCTCTTCGATGTCACGTCGGGATTGTGGTCGTTCTGTAACAGATAAATGAAACAATCGGCATTTGGATTCCGTTCGTTTTCACTACGGATTGCATCGCATCGAACGCAGGACCCTCGGTGACAAATTATTGCGACATACTTGTAAAAGTAGGGCAGCCGCTTTGCAGTCATCTTTCTTAGCAGCAATGTGGAGGGCAGGCAGTCGAACTTTACCACGAGTGTCATTTTCCAATAGAACTGCTACTACCTTATCGTGGCCCTGTTGCATCGCAACTGCTAATGGGGTGAAGCCATCCTACGAATACGTATGAAAAACAAACGGATAATTTTGTGTCGAGAGTACTAATTAGTATGTTATCCATAATTTTAAATAACATTTGAATTGTATATTATTACAAACTTATATAAATCACTTGGTATTTTATAAAGAAAACATATTACAAACCTCAGTCGCCAATGTTTGATTAGCACCTTTACTCAGAAGGTACTTCACTACCGAATCATGATTTTCCTGAGCAGCCATATAGAGTGGAGTGAACCCATTTTGTGACTGTGCATTCACAGAAGCACCTCGTTGTACCAGCAATTGTACCACTTCCTCCTGACCAGCTGTAACGAGATATTAATTTTTACTCATGAGTACTCGTTTACACAAAAATGGAACTTGGAATACTTCCTACCAAATAACTAGAAATAATTAATTTAAATAATCTGTATCGTTCTCAGGAATATCTATGAATAACTTCAATTTATATTTTTCATTTCTTCAATCACGTAGCAAGTTTGGTAACAGAAAAAGTACAATAGCATGTATCTGTGTCAATTTGCGCTGACATCCTTGTCCCATATAAAAAAATACACAAAAGATAAGAATGGTAATGTCCACTCACCAAGAGAAGCTATATGTAATGCCGTGTTTCCCTTTTTGGTAGCGGCATCGACCACTGCGCCACGGTTGAGAAGTTCTCTGACGATTTCCAAATGTCCATCTTTAGCTGCCAGGTGCAAAGCATTTAAGCCATTCTGTAATTAATGCATCACCATTTTTTGTTAATAACGTACCTCGTTCCTAATGTTAGGTCGTATCGTTCCAAGGTTTTTTTCCCAAGGTCCACGCGATAAAGCAATAAAACTGACCGCGGTTTATGTACATACGTATCCATTCGATATATGTAAATGCTGGTAATATATAAACATCAGTATCAAAGTTTTGAAATTTAGCATTTCATGAAGTACTGTCAGAGATATTGAAGATGTTATACGAACTACTGTTCGACAAAGTTAGAAAACTGGCCACAGTCTGAATCCATTTCACGATCCACCTCCATTCAAAAAGTATTGGAAAGACTTGCAAATGTAGACAATGAGTGCCGCAGTCGACCATCAACAAAGTATGAACGCTTGCTTTTATAATACTTTCTGGACTAAAATATCGATATCAATAACGTTTGTTATAGTCGTAACGAACCATTTGGTATTTTTATGTCTATATCTCAAAGGCAAAGTATGTTAAAGTAAGAAGGTCAAGTCATTTAATTAATATTACATATTTTATATAAGTAATAAAACTCAATGCATGTATTATATAAAATAATGAACATTTTTTTAATGAAATTGCTATAAAGAATACAAATAGGTATTATGTAGCATCGTTAATGTGTAAACTTAAAAACAGGATTTTACTCTAAGAAAACGTTGCCAGTTATTTGGTACGATATAGAAGTTACTTGGTCATAGACTGCTGTCCAGCAATCAAACAATAACTAAGGAGTTTTATTGTAGGCAATTATACCATTTGAACTCGACATTAGAAGAAAAACGTCTGACTTTGGTTACACGGTATACAGTTTTGTTTCATCAGAGCAACGATAAATCACATGGTTTCGTCGGAATTCAGGCTCTTTTAAAATCATCGAAATTCTTTAGATAAAGAAATGAAACTAAGAAATTATGTCGAAAGTGTAATTAAGGAATTTTTAGATCGAAATCGAATCGATGGATAGAGAAAGGCCTAGATGGAAGAAAGCAAAGAAAATTATTCTCTGTAATTTTTTCTGCAAAATATTGAATTTTATAAATAAAATTGCACAGTATTGTTCAATATTTTAAAAACAAATACCATTTATCTGAAACATATTTTCATGTTTTACTATAGCTTTAATTGTCAATGCATAAAAATAGTAAAAAACATACCAGCGATTGAAACAAAACGTACAACGCGAAAACCATTTCGAACAAATGTTATTTATTTCCAACAGAGATTACAAAAATGGATGTGCTATTGTATTTAAAAAGAATAGAGATGTCCTTGTCCGCATGGAAAACCTCGCAGTGTACTTCGTACATCGCACATTGGCTACAAACTACAAAAACAGGGATTATGAAGTTGCTGGCTTACAGCGTTCGAAGCATTAATGTCCACTCCCGATTCCAAATACTCCAAAACCTTCTCCAACTGGCCAGCACGAGCTGCACGGAGAAACGCCGTACTAGGATCGCTCTGAAAAAAGTAGAAACGAAAAGAATTCTGATGAAATTGCATCGCAGAAATTGAAGCACTAAAATACTAATTAAAATGCGCGCTTGTAAATGTAATTAATGGTTAATTGGTGGTGTAATTCCGCTTCGATACTTTCTTTCACTGTGTGTGTGTGTGTGTGTGTGCTACGCGTGTGTTTAATCAGTCTCTGCGGTTGCTTTGTCGTGCCCGAATCAGACATGCTCAACGGAGCAAAAAATGTATGAATGTAAGGGGACACCTGTTACAGGTTGCTTAACGCAATGCCAAACAACATTTTTTCGCGGTAGAAATGTCTTTTAATATGTTTTCATATGTGAAAAAATAACGTTTAAGCCTTATTTGGAAATTGTGGAATTTTTAAACACTTTGTCCTGTGGTACTGTATTGTTATACGATGACTGTCGATTATTGGTAAAAATATGATACAAATAATTGGTTTTCAAGGGGGGCGAATTACAGTTTTCATGTATGCTTCTGTAATTTGTGGGTCAATCTGACCCAATGCATGGAGTTAGGCTTCTGGCGTCGGTTCTGGGTCTGTTACTCGGTATACGCATACTTCGTGAGATAAACAGATCCGATGATGTCAGACTACAGCCCAAAGTCGAGACGGCTTCAGTATAAATCTTTGGGGATCAATGCAACGCGTAACTCTGAAATTTTCCAGTATGTTTTGTTTTCGAAAATAGACTGCAGAGCAAGAGCGTGTATCTGCAATACATTATTCTTCGGCTTCGAGCGATGCTGCTTATTTTTATTGTAAGTAAAAACGCGAATTTTCGCTCGTATCGTCGATTATCGAACATCGCTGTTCGTCGGTGAAAATTGTACAAAATCGCGGAATTAGAAACGTAACAAATTTGATAAAGCGAAGGATGTATTAAATGTTGATGTGCTAATCTATTAAAGTTACACAGCCATCGTCGTATTGCATTCTGTCCCTGGGGATCGAGCGCAATTGGAATTAATCTAAAAAAGTAGGTATGCCACGCTACACTGTTTATTTCAAATCGTCCGGATAAGTAATTAATATGGGCGCCGTGCTGTCTGAAAGAACGAGATGTGATAATCCGTCTCTCTTTTTCTCTCTCCCGTATCCTTCACCCTATTTCTCGATCAATCTCTCCTCTTTCTCCTTATTTTTCTTTCTCTCTCCGTCGTTTTGCCTCGTCCGTTCGATTCTCTGTCGGGGACAAGCGCTTCGCTCACGACCTGTAACTGGTTCTATATGCCCCGATATATCGTTGAATCTTCAACCTACACACGATCCTATGGCAGCATAAATACGTCTGGGGAGGATATTGTCGTAAGTCATGGTAACTCAAGACAGAGTATTTTCCAATACCGTTCTCTGGAATGCCTTTTGTATCCCGTACACCAGTGGCCCACGAAATACTAACCCACCGTTTATTGCTGCATGGCTCGCGATCGTTTTTATACAAAATTCATGCCAGAATCACTAAAATCCGATCCAGACGAGCAACACAGCGTCGCACACTGTTAAACCATAACATACCCAAAAGAAATTTAAAAATGTTAAAAAATTATCCTTTGCGAGAACTTACTTTGGAGGCCAAAAGGAGAAATAAATATTATATAGAGTTCTAACATAAACGCTTTATTTTATCCAATGTGTAAATTTTAATTCAATGAATTGTTACATATAAATTTAAAAAATCAATTTTTGTTAATTTATAGATTCTTAAAAGGTATTCGTGAGTTGACTAAATTAAATTTAAAAAATATTACTTTAAAATTTATATTTGTGAAATTTTGATAAATGATTATTTGAATTTGAAGCCTGATATTTGTCGCTGTTGCACGTTACATGGTTCGGTAGCACTCGGAGGATATATGTAGATAAGTGTAATTTCTCGATATGCATATGTATCAGTATGTACCCGTATCTCCCGACACATCTACGATGTACTTAAATCCGTTGGTATGCATCTCGTATGCAACTCGGGTGTAAAGAACCTTCTGTGCTTGCAAAGTTCTCCGTCATGCTGTAAATAATTCAGCGAACCGTTACTCCGACACGTGGATAGTCCCTTCTATGTCTGTCTCTCCCGTCTTCTTTCACTGTCTTAAACTACCTGCTTCATCCCATTTTTCTTCAAGGTGTGCTGCATCTTCCGTAGAACACCGACAAAGGCCCGAGACGAACGGCGGTCAATGCACTCATTACTTTTTCTTCATTATAAAAACGGTCACCATGGGCTAGGGTAATTCTTAAATCGACAGTCACGCGAGAGCTACAAGTTTTTGTCGAACAAATCAAACCGAATCTCGTCGAATCGTAACAATATTAGATTTTAAATATTTTACTGCGCCAAAGAGTTTTAGGAAAAGAAAGTACTACATAAATTAAGATACTTTTAAAGGAGAAAAATTAAAAAATTAGTACTTTAAAATAATTTGATCTGTAGAAATCATTATTTAGTAGTCATACAAAATATACGAAATAATTTTACATTATTCGTCGTGAATTGCAAGAATGTAGTTAACGTACGAGTATTTAAATACATTCTTCAAGGTAGCCATGAATGAAAACATGGAGCGAATAAATAAACATTGCAAGTATTAAATATTCTACAGACAGTTTTATACCTGCAATAAACGTTTACAGACAGAATACTAGTATTCGATTTGTATCAGGAACACTTTCCTCTGGTCTTGAAACACATAGTACCAGTCGTCAGTTTACTTTCTTCGTTCGAATCAACTATCTGACGACAAGGGTTGGTTTCTATTTACAGGTGTATGCAGCTGACTCGACATAGTTTTCCTTAAAAGGTTCACGTTAATTGGATACCTTCGTTTGCACAAGAAGAAGTGCGCCGTCCATATTGATGTTTACTTTGAAATTAAAAGTAAGAAAATAAGCACAAGCGAAAGTTTCTTTCGATTTGTAATATAATACAAGTATCAAATTTCCTGTACCCAAAAATTGATTTAAACTCGGAGGTCGAATGAAACAGTAAGCTTTCAATAGGCAAAGCAAAATAGTACTTTCATATGAAATATTAACGTATTTCTAAGTATACACTGTCGTCCATAAATCACTGAGCACGCACTTGTCCGCCTTGACAAATGCAAATTAAAATACCATTTTCTAAAGTAATCTTATTACCTTATTTTGCTTTAAATTATTATTTTACTGGACAACTTACAATGCATATAACCTAAATAAATATGTAACTGTCCTCGATAAGCAAGAAGAGATTAGAATATTATTTTAGTATCACTCTAAAATAATTAATGACCAGAGTGCTATAATTTGTTTGAACTTTCAGGTATAATCCTTAACATACTGTATGGCTTGTGCTTCTTGTATAATATAATAAATTAGTAAGCGATAATTTCATTTTATGTCAATTCGTCCTTATTCTGCATTTACCGAGTGTCCGGTGACTAATGGATGGGAGTGTATGTCCGTTATTGTAGCTAATGTACACATAATATTTCATATAAAGTTAAATAACATCTTCATAGAATTCTGTCTTCGTCCACAACGCTTTGTCACAAATTAAATACGAATAAGGTTTTCGATTTTTCTTCTTAAATTCCAAATTTCACAGATTTATTTTTTCGTGGATAGATACGATTCACATTTTCAAATACTTTATCGTTCTAATTGTCTTTTTATATATTTATTACGTTTCTGCAACAGAATTGTTAGCCCTTGGACTTTTTATTACGAGGACACGTAAGTCTCGAGAAAAGTAATTAAACTCACCGCGGAAAACCAAACAAGAACGTTCAATTTTTTACACGTCAGGATACAATAATTGATCCGTTCCAAGAAAACTGTCGCAGCTAATGACTTACGCGCGAATGAGTACCCTCGCTTACTGTCTGGCCAGTAACGCTTTAAGGGCTTCTACAATCCCTTGGGGAAGATGAAAGAAGTCTAAACATAGAACGGCGACGTCGTTCAAGCTTCACTTTCGAGCCTCCCTCAATTTATGTTGTTCTTGTGTAATGCCAAAGATTAAAATAAAATACGTTTGATTCGTATCTCGCGGTATTTTTATACAGCCTATTCCAAGTCATGCTAAGAGAAATTAAACAGCCCTTACCGTCTTGAAATTCGAGGGTCCGTTTTCGAGATACATTAGAAATTTAATTTGGAATATTATTATTCGAAATAGTCTCGTTTCTCGGAAACGAATGATCTATAAATCCCCGTCTACTTGTATTAACGAGTAGCGTCGAAGTAGCCTCAAACTTTGCTAACAACGTGTTTGCACAACGCTGCATAAATATGCTTTTACCGGTACTTTGTTTGCACTTTTGCGTTACATTTCTCCAGGATTTGCGCGTTGCCAGGCTTCGACGTTTCGAAGAGTGTTATGACGATAAGTATAATCGCTATGCGTCTTGCTGCAATTTCTGGCTGTGTACCAAGCTAACTATAGCTATGCCGTGTACCAAACTGACTTCTGTAGTCATAGAATGCGTACGAATGACCGCACCGGAGTTCACGTTGCAAAGCGACAACCGGAAATACAGGTTGATGCGGAATAATCGTGCAGTTACTCGATGCAGCAAATTATTCACGACCATGACCTCGCAAACTATTTTTAGTCGTTAATTCCTTTAATACAGATATAAATGGAATTATTATAATTACGAGCACACGTTACAAATTAATTAGATTAAAATGGTGGCTGGTTGAATAATAGCAAAGAATAAATTGTTGGAGAATTTCCGATTCTAATCGCTCCATAAAGTGTATAATATTTAACATTCGATAAAAATATTACTATTTTAAATATAAGAACCTTAGGAAAACAAAAACATAATTTCAAATAAGTTGGGGGAACTCTACCGTGAATGTTTTTAGCTTCTAAGCAGTTTAGTTTAGTAGCACGAAGCAATTTGGGGGCACTCGGGTAGCACAAAGCACTACCGACAAATACTTGCACAAAATAAGCGTGGATTATAATATCTGGCGCGCATCAATTCAACCACAG